GGCATGTTTTACAGGTAGCTTCAGCAGAGCCACTTCCATCTCAGTGTGCCATGGGAGTTGTTCTTGTGTTTATAGATAAATCTGCCTGAGTCTGTTTTGGAGCATGTGAAGGCTAAATTTGCCTTCCTTATACTGCTAAATGAGGCTTTTGTTCAGGGCTGTTGACTTGATTCTCTCCTAGCCTAGAGAGGCTTTAGACTCACTGAAAGTGAGGTGTTGGTATGTTTGGTTTAGTTTGTTTTTTTTTTTTTAATTTCTTTCTTCCTTACCAGGTAAGTTTCTATGATACATGTAGTCCTTTTGTACAAAATCAAACTCCTCTCTGACTGTGTGTTGTTTTCCTGGAAGCTGTTTTCTTTTTCTTTCTCCTGATGCTAAGCAGGATTTCAGATGAATTTGAAGAGGGGAGGAAAACAATGCACTCATCAGTAGAAATGCAACAATTTTTGCTAGGATATTTAATGTTTGTTTTAATGTGCTGCTGTAGGATTACAAATTACTTTTATCTTAATCTTACCAATGTCTCCAAATTTGTTTTTGACCATGTCTAGCAACTTCATAGGAAAGTAAAGGTCAAACTCTTCTGTCTTTGGGGAATAGTGCATCAGGTGGTCTTTGTGGGGTGTAGAGATAGTGGTGGGGATTTGCTTGCCTGTGGAAAGAGGAGCAAAGCCATACATCTCACTGGCAGTATTTTGGTGGTTAAGTGAGGCTTCTAAGCAGGAAAGGGTAGAAGGTTGGTCAGCTTGTTTATAAGCTTGTTTGATTCTGGGACCCCAAGCACTTGGTGGTAACTGGTACCAAGACTGAAGCTCAGGGCGAGGTGCATGTACATCTCTTAAAATGAAGTGACATCAGAGTTGCATTACTGTAGTGGTAAGGTCAATTTACCCGTGTTCTCAGCTGGTTGTATCCATAGCTGCATGTCGAAACTATAGAATGTAATTGTCAGGTAAGGTGGTTTGTGTGGTGTCTCAAAGCAAGGGGAAAACACTAACAAAACAAATGCAAAATTATTACTGTCATTAGCAAATGCTTAAAAAAAAAAAGTGCACACTGTTCTGCTGAGGTTGATTGATTACTTGTGTGCAATCAAATAATTTCCTAATGAATAGCATTTTTTCTGTACTCAAGGGAGAAGGTGTAGTTTAATTTTTCTCCACAGTTTGCTAAATAGCTTAAATTATTTGCAAGGCCCACACTTTGAAGAGGTAAATGTGAAAGGGAACTGTTTTTTAACAGGCTTCTATTGTATAAATAACTCAGTACTTTTTAAGTTAACTTCTCTTTTTTTCTGGAACACGGCTTTATATTGTTGGACTCTGAATAATTTTAAAACAAGGTATGAGAATCACTTCATTATGTGTCCTCAAGTAGTATCTGGTACTTATGTAACTGTCTTCTGTAAAGCTTTCTGGATGAGACTGTAAGAGTTTTTCTGCTTGTGCTATTTTACAGGTTTCTGGTATATTTTTGTGGCTTCAGATAAAAAATGCTAATGTGTTATTGGCTGGGCTTAATAATTTTCTTAGTGATTAAATATAGCATACCCATAAATGCCTCAGATTGTCCTCAGGCAAAGGGTTTGCCTGATGACTTATAATTAAACTTAGAAATGTGCATGTGTTAAAAATGAGTTGCTGTTTTCATCTCTTAAATGCCCTACTACAGCCAAATTTATGCCTGCCTTCTTTTAATATTTGATGGTAAGTTTTGTAACCCAGAGGTGGCAACCTGCTTCAAATGCTGTCACATCTTGAGCATTACAATAGTGATTGTCAGAGATGCTGTATTCATAGAAATGTCTTGTTTTCTCCACTCTAAGGAAATTGATAGTGCCAATAGTGTTAAAATTGTCCCTGTTGTTGCCCAAGTCCATTGAGTGATCTCTTAATCACCAAGCCACATACTGAGCCTGTAAGAGTTGCAGATCTAAGTGAGTTTTTGTACAAAATAAAGATAAGGTTAAAAAGTTGCAATGTGTTCATTCTTTTCTGCTGATTAGGTAAGGATTCTGAGCAGGCTCTTCCTAAACGTCCTAAGAGCTCAGTAGAAATCTACAATTAGTAAGAGGATTTCTTACAGCCTGTCTGATACTCATGACAAAGAACCCTTCTAAATGCCAGCAGTGGTCTCTCAGACAAGCTATAGCAGGTTTTGTGCTCTAGAAAAGATCCATTTAGAAGTAAAACTCAAGATATATTGAGTCTAGATTCTTGCAGCTGTTGAAGTGGCTGTTTCAGGGGCTAATATAAATGTGTCTGTGATACTGTGATGTTCCTGTTCTCCTGTTCCTGATTTCTTTTGTCTTCTAAGCACAAAAATGCTTAACTTTCACTACAGCTCTTATCTCTTGTATACAGCATGTCTGAGAAACTACTTTCTCCTTAAAATCACAGCTTCTAAAATCGTGGTTTCATAAATCAGGCTTGAAGATTGTGAACTTCCTTTTGCTCTCATGGCAGACCAGTTCTTTTTTTTCCCCTTGTATGTTAACATTGTCATCATAAGCTCAGACTTGAGTCAATTGAGGTATGACTGTAAACTGTAGGGTCTCTGGAACTACAGGTGGAGACTTTATAGATCTGAGTTAAATTTTCAGTTTTCCCCACATCTTTCCAGAGTAATTGCAAAGAACTCGCCATTTCTTCAAGGTGGTGCGGTCATTGGATGCCTGTTTCAGGTGATCCATTAAAAGTGTGCATTTCAGGGCATGATGTGGGAAGAAACCTTAGTTTATCTGCTTTAGTAGATGACATGCTCTCCAATAATATTATGTTGTTTTCATAATTTCAGAGATAGCTGAAATATAACTGGAAGCATACAGCTTAGAGGACATGTCTAACATGTTGCCCTCTTAGTTGTACCTGAAGCTTTCATGGTTGCTTTTCAGGAGGGGAGGGTTGGACATACTTTCTATCTCCCTCCCTCCCTTCCTTTTTGCATTGCAGTGCTCAGCATATTAGTGAGCAGCAAATACGTACTCACTAGTGGTCAGACATAAAGGCTTTCTTTTATTGATAGTAATAGAAGATAACTTTTTTAGAGCTGAACTGAGTGAGGGTGACCTTGCACTCTCTTCTGTGCACTTAAACACCTGACCTTGAAGTAGCACTTACATGTTCTTGTGGCCAAAGAGCTTGATACTCAAGTACAGGTAGATGACAGACCAACGTAAGATCTGTGTGTAGTGTGTTCAGGGAACTTTTGAGCTGCGAGGAACAGGAATCTCTTCTACTTTCTATAGCAAAATGTGAGAACCTTGATGAGATGGGGACACTATTGGCACTTGTTTATTAGAAGACCCTCAAGCTGAAGATTGTCTTTGTTCTGGGATTGTTTTGACAACAAGCACACATGTAATGAAAGGATAGTGACCAACTAACACACTGCAGGAGTGTGCTAAAACTGTGGGTTTTCTTAGTAACCATGCTGCAAGGTCATACAGTCAAAAGCGGTTCTTTGCCTCCTTTCTTCTTTCTTCCCCCACCCTAAACATAAATAGCCACTGATCTTATAGTAGAGATGGTTGTAGTGGTGAATGTCAAGTTTTGGAGTAATACAGGTACTCAAGGAGCAAACAGCAGCCACATACTTAAGATCTTTAGAAAGGTTAAAAGGAAAAGGTGTAAAATAAGCTTTTATAGTATATTTATACCTGGTTTTTGTAACGCTTGAAAGTGACTTCTTCCTGTCTTAACTATAGTCCAGATGAGTCACTGCCTTCTACAGTATTTACTTAGAATGGCCCTTAAAATAAGTGACCAAGATCTGTTAGGAAAAAAATATGACCTTGTTATTAACGAAAAATGAAAAACATAGCTTTTACAGGAGAATTGTTTCTGGAGAACATGCTGAAGCTCTTCATTTGAATGGGAGCAGGAGCATTTGTTTATAAGAACAAAGAGTTAAAGTCCATCAAGATTGATATTCTTTGCTGTGAGTTTACCACCTAATTTGAATCTTAATTGAACCTTAGACAGTGATCTTCTTAAATATGGGGTGAAATGTAGAACAGATCAGTAAATCAAGAGGTGATGGTGGTGCTGCTGTTTGTGTTTACGGAAAGAAATTTGGCCTTTATTCCTACATATCTAATTATAGCAACTGGCAAAAAATCCACTGCATTGTAGTATTCCCAAAGTGGTGTTCCAGCTTGTGTCCTTGTGTCCAGCTGTTGGCCTGCATGAGGACTTGATCTACTCTGTCACCTCCTGTGTAGTGGCCTTGCTGTCTCTTCGTTTACTCTGTGCTAGAATACTTAGCCCTGGAAGGGTTCTTAAGTCCTTATAAGCAGAACAGGTTGCCCATCACAGAATCATAGAATGGTTAGAGTTGGAAGGGACCCTAAAGATCATTGAGTTTCAGCCCCACTGCCATGGGCAGGGACACCTTCCACTAGAGCAGGTTGCTCAAAGCCCCATCCAGCCTGGCCTTGAACACTTCCAGGGATGGGGCATCCACAACTTCCCTGGGCAACCTGTTCCAGTGTCTCACCACCCTCACAGTAAAGAATTTCTTCCTAATATCTCACCTAAATCTACTCGCTTTTAGTTTAACACAGTTACCCCTCATCCTATGGCTTGGCTCTCTGATAAAGAGTCCCTCCCCATCTCTTTTGTAGGCCATGTTCAGGTACTGGAAGGCTGCTATGAGGTATCCCCAGAGCCTTCTTTTCTCCAGGCTGAACAACCCCAACTCAGCCTGTTTTGATAGGAGAGGTGCTCCAGCCCTCTGGTCATCATACAACTGTAATGGCTTTTAATTGGCACCTGGCCTCGTACAGGGAACAGTTTAGTCCATCATATCCTAAATGCTGGAAGAACACTCTTATATAAGCAAGCATAAAGTTACAGTGATGATTATATTTAGACACCACCTATTCTTTATTTCTCTTTTGATGTTCATTTGTTCAAGATAAAATTACACATCCAGTATGAAGGCAGTTGATGGATGAAAATAAATCTGTTTGTCTAACCTTTTGCCATTCTTTGTTGCAGCTCTCAAGTTCCACTTACAAATATAGGAGTGAGGAATTCAAGAGACAATTTTCGCATCTGCCAGACTCAGAGAGACTCATAGTAGGTAAGACATAATCGCACCAAAAGTGCTTGTCTTCTGACTGATAACTCCAGATTGCAGTAGTGCCCAGGTGTTGTTTTGGGGTTTTTTTATGGCAAATTTGAGCTACAGCTGATAAGTTTCCTATTCTCCTCTCTCTGAACTAGCATCAAATGCCTTCAGGGAAAGTCAGGTCCATACTCCTCTCCTATACTGCCTGCTTTGTGAAAAAAGACAGATTCCTTTTTGGGGTTGAGAAGTGAAGGAGAGGATACAGAATTATCCTGTTCATCTAGATATGGGATGGGAGCCTCAGTGTCTTTTCCTGCCACTACTTTTTTAGTGGGTTTTTAGACAAAACCCTTCCTGACAGCAGTGGAAATTTGACTGTCTGACAGCTGTTAGCTGACAAGCTGGAAAGAAAGGTCACAATGCAGGGTCAGTGTGAGCACTGAGCATATAAACTCAACAAATGTGCATTGATGGGCTTGTGCAATGCAAGTGTGCGAAGAACAGAGGTAGAGTTAAATCCTGAGAGCAGTGAATTTGTTTTATGTTTTTTCCAGTATGGACAACCTACTTGGTGCCTCTTGCAGTGGCATAACTTCTATTTCCTATATTGTGAGTGTCTGAGTCCTCTCTTTCACTTTCAAGAGGCAACTAGTTATGACTGAGTCAGTTGCCATAGGTATTGTGAGAGGAGGGAATGATTCCAGTGTTGTAATAGCTTAGTACTTGGATACAAAGGTAAAGGATGTTGCTTCAGTGACTCTGTTAAGTAGGTAGATTATCCTTAGCGGAAGCTTTTCCTTTGTGCCCTGGAACTAATCCTGCACCTAGCCCCTAGGCATCTTGATTAATGTGACTTCTGGGACTAATACAGTGGGTGCTTGTAATTGAAAAGGCTCTTTTCAGAGGCAAATATCAGCTATGTGGTATGAGGACACAAAATTCAGTATTTAAGTGTGTAATTCCCATCAGCCATCGTAGGAGATCATTGGAAAACACAAACCAACCTTCATTTTATCCTGACTTTCATCCAAGTGCACAGCATTCTATTTGTCAACATGGTATATTGAGGGCAGACAAAAATGTTTTATGCCCTGTGCTGGTCTGTGCAGTTGTAGTTACTGCTCAGTCTAGGGCTGAGCATGAAGTACACTATCTGGGCCTAACACTATCTGTTAGTTCTAGGTTGTCTCATGCCTTGAGCAGAGGTTTTTCACAGCCCAGTGTACTAGGTTAGCTTACCCATATGCTGATGACTTGGGTGCAAGTGTAGAAGTAACACTCAGCTGAAAGAGTAGAGGTGGTGAGACGTGCATGTGGTGAGAGGAGACAGAAGCAGGTGGTAGAGAATATCAGGCTATGGTGCATAAGGAAAACATAAAGAAAGACATCTTTACTTTGAGGGTGACAGAGCACTGGAACAGCTGCCCAAAGAGATTGTGGAGTCTCCTTCTCTGGAGATACTCAAAACCTACCCGGACATGATCCCGCACAACTTGCTTTAGGTGAACCTGCTTTAGCAGGGGGGCTGGACTGCAGATGATGTCTAGAGGTCCCTTCCAGCCTCTGCCATTCTATGACAGATTCTTGGCACTGAAATGTTCCTTTTGAGCTCTGACTCCCTGTTTTGCTCCACTGCAAAATCCGAAGAAGGCAAGCATATGACCCTACCTCCTTTGCATGTGGTGATGCACCTTATTCCCTCTTTATCACTTGCCTTGCAGCTGTGCAAACATTATATAACAAATACACTGTCCAAGAATTGGGTGTTGTTTTTATACAAAAGTGCCATCGTGACTATTTAAAGGTCATCTCATCTTATGCAACCTGTAAGGAAGTGTGTACTGAGAGGCTGTCAGTATATGCTTGCAGCATGCTGAGTTCCTTCCGGTTTAATGGAAGAGAAATTAGAGCTTTCACTTGCACAGAAACAGTTAAATCCCTGTGTCCTTTTCCAGGCTCAGAAGGAGGCAGTTATCCTTTGAAATGCCTTCTGGATTTTTAAAATACTTGAGTTCATTACAGAAGTAAAACAGAAGAAAAGGATGTTACTTCAAAGCGTTGTTTTGATGATTCTCCTCATCACAGGATTGATAAAGCTGTGGAGCAAACTCTGAAGCAGTTTCAATGAAGGGACTGCTTAGGACTTGGAGAAAGATGTAGCATTGGGTTAATCTCAACAGTGTAGCACCTGCTCCATCACAAGCAAAGTCATTGCTTTATACAGTTTTTATTTTAACCCCATAAAAAGCAGTGCTCCTTTGGAATGACATTTTGCATCCTCCAAGCAAAGAGCTCTTCCTTTGCTTGATGCAGAGAAATTTATCACAGGCTTTACAGTGCTCAAAGAAGCAATTACTTGCTGCTGATGATTAAAAGAACTGTAACTGCTGTTACAGTAACTGTTCTTCACTTGAAAGTGAAGAAAAGTTAAAAAAGAAGTGACTATTCCACTGTAATGAGCCCTGTATATAAAGATTATATGAAATATAATTCTTTTTTTATAATGAAACAGAAGTGACTTAGACTTTCAAAGTGGGAGTTTAAAGGAGTGCCGCTAACTTGTCTGAAAATGTTGTTTATAGGCAGCATCTTAAGTTACTGGGTCTGAAAACTTAGAAGGAGAAATGCTAATCTCTCCCCTTTGTTTTGATATTCTCTCTTGTGTAAGTAGCTCATGGTGGTATTACTCATCACTTGCCCAGTGCTCTGGTATTTATAGGTCTGAATCCTTCTCCTTCCCCCAAACATAGAATTTGGATGCAAATGTTTTCCTCAAGTTCTTAACACCACAATCCTGCTGCCTTCCCTCTCCCTGCTCTCCCAGCATTCTGGTATCTGGTTAGTCTTTAAATGTGCACTTTAAGTTTATTGGTTTGGATTTCTTTAAGCTTATGTAATTCTGTTTGCAGTTGTGTCTCCAAGGGCTTGTATACATGCCTCATGCTTGTTGCAAGAAGGTTTATTTCTACTTGATTATTTGAGGGAGAAACCTAAGAGACTTTAAAGAATCATAATAAAAGTCTCTGTAGATGTAGGCTTATCTTGAAGTTAGGATGGTAGGGGACTCCTGAACATCTTGGTACTTGAACAAAAACTGTTTTCATCATCTTGTTGTACACAAAATCAAAATTCTGGCTCAGACAATACCAGATACAATGCTTTTCAAAATAACAAAACTTGCTGATACCTCTAAAGTTAAAATCATCAACATCCTGCATGAATAGGTACATTTCAGGTATTTTCTATACATAAGGTAATCTTATTTAGATTGGACCTTCCAAAAAGGATCCATCTTAACTTTCCAGCAGTAGTACTTCTGAAAATACCTTTTGTTTGAATCTTCAGGCTCTGAAATTATGAAAGTTCTTTGAGAGGCTTTTTAAAAGTGCAACCAAATTCTTTGCTGTTGTTCTTAATTAGCAGGTATCTGATGATGGGTAATTGCCTTCTAGATGAAATCTGTTTCTCAATAGGGATGTTTCAGCCAGAGGCAGTATCATAATAAAAATGACAGTCAGCTTCTGAAAATATCCCCTGCCTGAAGAACTGGATAGCTTCAAGCTGCCTTTTAGTGTCTTGCTCTGCAGATAGCTTTAGCTAGTGATAGGATCTGCTTAGTGGGAAATTATCTTACTCCAAGGTATGAACTACTGTTATGTAGGAGTTGACAGTATAATCTGTTATACTGTAAAATGTTTCTCTATTTTCTTGTTCAGGTGCTATAAAGTTTGACTTAGGAATACTTATTTCATGTATTCCTGGTCTTGCCTGAAACCCCTTCCCTGAAAATACAGGTTAATACACAGGGGGTCGATACATGGAGCGCTGTAGTCACACAGTTACTTCCTTCAGCTCTGGCTCTGGAGTGTTCCCAGACACTCTGGATGCAGCCTAGTACAAGTCTGTCTTCAAAGGCTTTTGAAGAGTGAACAAATGGGTTTTTATTTGTGTTATAATACTCTTATCTCATTTTAAGTTAACAGGTTTGGGTCAACTGAGCCTGCAATAAGTGAGTAAACTTGCTCTTGCTCTCTACACATAGATTATGCCTGTGCACTCCAGAAGGATATCCTGCTGCAAGGACGCTTGTATCTCTCTGAAAACTGGCTCTGTTTCCACAGCAACATTTTCCGATGGGAGACCACAGTAAGCTCTCTTAGCTCGCGCGAATCCCACCTCTTTTTTCGTCTTGGGCTGTTGGAAAATTGTCCCTCAAATATTACCTTGTCAATCTCATGCTAGTTACTGTGCGCTGAAAAGAAAGAGCCTGCATCTCTGAGTGGAAATGCAGGTCCGTTGCTCTGTGAAATGAAAATAGCATTGGAGATATCTGATTGCTGAAGTAAGCCTGCTCAGTCAATCACTCAGCCTAGCAAGGAGTTCAGGAGTTATGCTGAAGCTGATCTTTTACATTTCTGGATGATGCCTTGCCTCTCCTTCCCAAGGAGAGTTGCTCTGTAAAGGGATGTAACACACAATGTTCTCCTGCAAGACCAGGAGCAGGATACAGTACATGGTGTTGCCCTGTTCAAAAACTCTCTAGCATTGAACATTGCTTAGTTTGGTCTCACATGTAAATGCCAGCATCCAAGAACAGCTGAAGAAATCTATAAATGATCTCTACAAGTTCTCATGTTGTGGTCTGTAGCTTTTGAACAGTATGAACAAAAGTATGTATTTGTGATATGTTATCCTTCTATTTCAATTAAGTTAATGAGTTAAAATTTTCAAGTAGTTTTTGCATCTGCTGTAGAAATAGCATGAGACAGTGAATGAGAAAGGGAAGGTAACCTAGTTAATAGGTGATAGAAATGTATCAAAATGTTCTGTGGTTGTGAGTCTGCTCATACCTTAAGTTAATCTCTTGAATTCTACTATATATGCTCTGAAATACACAGGACAGACAACAAAATAGCTTGTGTATTTGAGACAAAGAGGGTGCATAGAAATGCTTACTTGGAAACCAAGCTTAATTTCATCAGATGGTTTTGATGATTGCATGTTTCTTATTGTAGACTTGAGATTTTATTTTTTTAAAATATTTTTGAAATGACATCCTTGAATATATAAACTTACTCAATGACTGATTTTTCAGCCAAAACAGCATACATCCTGGTAACCTCTGCCTGCCTATGTGGCAGAGCAGTATCTTAAGTCAATCTGAGCTCATCAGCTGCGATGCTTAGAGCCAGGCTTTGGGATCTCCTTAGCAGGCTGTGTAGATGCAGAGGGAGTGGAGGACTTTCTACACACAGGAAAAAGCAAAAAAAAAACCACAACCCTGTATGTTCTTCCTTTCTCTAAGCTAAATGGCAGCACAGCCTTGTCTTCAAGGGAAGGCTGTAGGCTGAATAGAAGTGGCTTGTTGCAGCCAGTCAGACCATATTCTTCCAAACATTTCAAGTACTACTATGCAAGGCAAACACACCCAAGCAGGAAGATTTCTTTGCAGTGTCTGGATGGCAAATAAAACTCTGAAAATGGACTGGATCGCAAACTTCTGTAAGATAAAGACATAAACAAGATAGTATGTTATCTGATCTATGTTCTACCTTACGTATAGTGTACTGATTGGGATTGGATATCAGATCTGTGGTTTGTATGTGGTTGGGCTTGTGCCCCTAATCCTTAAGTGTCGTTAGAGGAGCAGAAGGAAAGAGAGAATTACTTGCTTCCTTAGTCCTACTATGAAAAGAAGAAGAAATTACTCTTCAGTCATCTTAACTTGCTTCTACTTTGGAATGCTTGCTGTTAAGGTTAGCAAGTGGGGACAGTAATTCCCTTTTATCTCAACTGGTTTGCATCCCAGGGTTTGGGGTTGGTTTGAGTTCCTCTTGCATGTTCTGTGGCTTTGTAAATTTCTTAGTCTTAACAATCATTTTAAATATGTCTTACTAACTCTGCTTCTGCTTAGATTTCTATAGCCTTGAAGGATATCACCTTCATGACAAAGGAGAAGACTGCTCGGCTCATTCCAAATGCCATACAAATAGCAACAAAAGGAGAGAAGGTGAAAACCTGTATTTAAATACAGTTGTTGGCTTTTTTTAAATGATCATGTCCAGGGCAGAGCACTTGTAGTTTTAAATTAGCATAAGTAACTTCTTTGTCAAATCTTTGAATGTAGTTAGGATTAGAAGACAGACTTGGTCTTTTGGTCCTTGGGCATATTGGCTTTAGAATTCAACTTTAGTTTGACTGCAGACTAATGCTGGTGCAGTTACCAGAAGGTAGGGATTGTCCCACTAATTCTCAAAGGAAAGCCATCTGAAAACTAAAAGTTCAGGGCCTGAATACACACTGTATGTCCTTGAGTTTGCCATCTCACTGGATTTAAAGTGCTGCTTGAAGAAAATTGCTGAAAACAAAAACTGACAAGCATGATGGGCAATGTTCTTATGTGCAGTGCACTTCATGATACTTCTCTGTCAGTGCCTTGAAAACAATAGTTCTTGGCTGCATACAGACAATAGTGTTTCAAGGTGAATCTGGAGCTGTTCTTTGTGAACAGACTGCGATTCTTCATATTTAGGTGTTCCTTCTCAATTTATTAAATACTAAGCCTCTTTCTCTACTAAACGAACTTTTGGATAGGAAAAACTTTAATACTGCAAATGATGCACCTAATGTGATCTCCTACTTCAATTATTTTTATTTCCCATCTTCTCATGTGAAAAGATTACTGAAAGTAATATGTGGTGGCAGGGCTGTGACCTGTAAGAAATAGGCATATGCATCCCTGATTTGTTCCACCTCTGATTTGGAAGTGGGAGAAAGATTTAACAGTGTGGTTAGCTGAGGGGGAGCTCTTCCTTTATACCAGAGGTACAAAGATTCCAATTGACTCTCCAGAAAAGCGAGTGTCTTTATATACTATGTGGAGATTGGGGAACTAACTCTCACTTACTAAGTGATAAAAAGCGTGGAGTGTGAGAAATATGAGCCTATGTTTGTTGGATGTGAGAGGAGTATGCCATTGATGAAAATCTTAAGATATTCAAGATACAAGGAGACATCCTGGGTTTCTTGAAACTACCTATAAGTGAGCTTTCTGTACGTTGTTTTTCTTGCAGTTTTTCTTTACGTCATTCAGTGCAAGAGACAGAAGCTACCTCAGTATCTTCCGCTTATGGCAGAATGTGTTGCTGGATAAGGTAAGCTTCTAAGTGTCACTACCTGTGGTTAAGTAACAAAGTTACTTTTTCTAACGTAAGCAGATGAGTGTTTGAAGGATAAGAGACTTTCCTTAATAAACTAGCTTTTCTTTCTGACACAGAAATCTAATCTGATTTCTTCAGCTGCGTGTACTTTAGATCCCAGATATACTTCCCATCCTTCTCATGCTGCCACCTACAACTTTGCTGTTGATGGAGCATTTTGCCTTTGAGGAGAAGTTGCCTGCTTCTCTTCACTACCAACTCAAGCAGATGTTAGTAAATTGGCATGCATTTGCTCGACGTTTTCTATGGCTAATTTGTGATCAAAAAGGCAAGAGGCTTTCTCAGTGAAAGCTTTTTTCATTTTAAGGAAAAAGCCAAAAGTCACCTTCTCAGATAAGTAAGCTGAACCTTTGCCAACCAACTCATTACAACTCCTCTGACCTTGAATAAATGCAACAAAGGCAGGCTGTATGATATGGAAGTGTGTTTTGGCAACTTCTGCTAGTTAGCTTGATTTATATTGCAATTTGTGAACACTTAAGCTAATTTTCTTTCTAAAAAAGTACTGACACTTTTGCAGAACATCACTGTAATGATGCAATTTTTGTAAACCAATTCCTTCCTGTTTATGGCTCTCGTTGTTTAAATATTTCAACACAGTTGCAATTGAACACTGAAATATCCATATATAACTCTGCAGTACAATGGTCCCCAAAGGCTTACAGCTGTTGTACTACTTATATGTAGTGCACACGGGTTTTTTGTTAGATAAATTTTAAGATGGACCAGAGGCGCTTTTGTCAAGCAAAGCTGAAAATAAAGGGAAGTGCCAATTAAAGCAAAAATAAAGTTTCCTGCAAATCTCTTATCACTCATATCAAATACCAGTTAACCATATCATCATACCCATCCTGCCTTAAATCCAGCAGTAGCACTGCAAAACCCACAATGTACTGTGTCATCTTTGGACTGGAATGTGCAACCGGAATTAACCTTGTTTTCTTTTGTTAGGCAAAGTTTGTCATGAATGGTAACTAATGTATTCAGTTAGTTTGTGGTTTTGGAGGGTGGATGTATGGGCATTCAGGTATACAAACCTGTCCATGGGGCTGGAACAGAAGCAACAAGCTTTGTGCTGTTCAGCATTAGTTTTTTCTGTGTGTTTCTATTCTTTGCCACTGAAATAAGTGTCACATCAGGAAAAGTTTTTCACTTCAGTAACTAAAGGATGGATAGATACAACAGTAGAATCCATGGACTGCATGTAAGATGGAATTAAGCCAGCAGGTTTCAGGGACCAGTGCATCAGAGTAGTGTGGGAACTCTCCTTATTCTTTCTGTCTGACCTTGCTATTAGCTTTCCTGTGTCCTCACTGAAGTGTGTTGAAAGATAAGTCTGTGTGTGAATTTCTGCTTGGAGCTCTCGGTTGTAGAAGGGAGCGTTACCATGAGGTGTATGTAGGTTTTCTTAATGCGTTACGTTTGTAGCTGCTTCTTGAAACGGGATTTCTTGATTGAGCACCTGCTTCTGCAATGTAGTAGTGAAATCTGATTCTCTGCTAGAATGTGTTTTGAGCCGCCTGTCGTCCTGCTTTATGAATCTCTACTGTTTAACCAAACTAGATCAAACTGTAGAAGGGCACTGAGGAGGTGAAAGTAGAAACTGCAGTTGCTAGAGCTGGGTCCACTGACTCTGCAACGAAGACAGCTGTCCACGGACCTGTTGGCTAAAAGAAAACCAGAGTGCATCCAAGCAGTCTTGCTGCTTTCTCCCCTCCCCTGCAACGTGGCAAGGGACAGCATACATTTGAAAGAGATTTTGTACATCTGAGGCTCTAGCATGATATCCAGTGCCATATGAGTATATGAAGCCTGGTGTTTCTGGGCTCCAGTGATCAAAGGGATCCTGTCAGAATTTTTTAGGCTTTAGGCTGACAAAAAACCCAAATCTCGCCCTGGAAGCAATTCCAAAAGGAGCTGATTTTAATTTTTGGTGTCTGCAAACAGCTAAATACTTTGAAGTCTGTGGGTAATTTAGTTATCTGGACTACATCTGCTGGACCTGGAGATTGCATCCAAATGTTAAATAAAGGCCTTCTTCTGGTGTCGTCAGAAGTATAACACTGAATGCAGCTGTCACAGGGCTGGTTTGCGCCACCTGATGGTGGATAACCCCCAATTTGCAGGATTTGGATCCAGAGAAGTAGAGTTGCAACTGCTTCAAGTCACATTTAGACAGAGGTTGTTTTCAGTCACTGGCTCTGCCCTCTTCAACACTTCCTGGGCATAGATTTCATGTTACAAGGTCTAACCTCTGAAGAGTGACCTGTCTGCTTTACTTGATATACCTTAAGCTTTCACCACCTGTGGAACTTCTCGGTAGGGTCAGCATGCCCTTTCCCAGATCTCCATCTTGTGGCCGTTCTGCCATGCACTTCTTAAATATTGCATGTCCTAGACAGTTGAATAAGTTGTCCTCTGTGAAGTCTGCCTTTCTATTAGAAATGACTTGCATTATGTAAGAAAAACAGTAAATGGCTATGTGCATTTCCATGCCTAGGCTTACTTTGGCCATCAAGGTGCTCTCCCCCAACTTTGTGTCACTGTTCTGACAAGACTCCTTGTCCCCTTAGCTGAGTTGTAATTCTCTAGCTCACAACTTCTCCTTCAAATCTTGCTCAGAGTACAATATTGTGCATTTGGTGCCCTTCAACTTTGGTTCCTCTGGGAATCAGCAAGTACCTTCCTCTTAAGATGGTCCAGTCTTAGGCTGTTTTTAAAAAATGTCTGTGTAAAGACTTTTTTTTTCTTTCAAGGAAAATTCCACCTTTTTTTTTTTTTCCCCATTCCTATTGCAAAATGTGTTTGGAGTAAGTCTCTTAGGCTTCTGCTTTGCCATTGTGTTTAAATGCTCCTCGTCAAAGGAGGAAGCATCATGGAAAATAAGGAATCATTAATGTAGGTCTGGAAGAGACATGACACCGGTCTTGATAAAACGGATAGCTGCGTCCACATCCACTGAGGCTTTCAATAATACATCAGTTTATAAAATCATCCAAAATTCCTGTTTTGCAACAGGCTTTGCAGATTGGTAAACCAAGTTTAAGTAATGACTGCTGTTGACAATAAGAGCAATGCCATGTATGCTTTTGCTTTATTTTCCTGAGGTTTATGGGTGTCAAATATCCTTCCAGTTTAAGGGAGAAGGAACAAATTAAAATCTAATTAGGCAGGTCATTCAAATCCCAAACAAACACAGTGCTCCTTATTTCTAATGGAACAAGATCTTAACTTAATCGGTCTCAATTCCCATGAGTCCTCTTCCTTAGAGTTGGATTTATTTTCCTATTGTTCTTCTTATGCTTTGCTGGGTAGAGATTTGCACCTGTCTCCGGAGTCATTGTAGCAGGTAAGTCTAGAGGTGTGAGAAGGGACCAGAATTTCTGATGAGCTGGGCTTCTTGTGGCAAATGTCTATCAGGACAGCAGTTTTGCCTTCCCTGGCAGCTTCTCAGGGAAGGTTGTAAAAAAGATGTTTATTTACACCTTTGTGTGCAGCAAGGGTGTTTAAAAGATCAAAGAGGGCTTGGTTTGATTCTGACCTTCATGTTTGGGTGGTTAGAGGGGAAGTTTGCTGTTTCCCTTGCAAACAATTGATCAGACAGAATTCAACATCAGAGTTGCTTGGTGGGAGCGCAGTGTGTGGTGGGGGGGTTGTCTCGGGGGTAAATCTGTACGGAGTGTCTTGTTCTTATTTCTGAATCTGTCCATAGGGGGCAAAAATCAGCAGCTTCACTTCATGTCAGCGGCATTCGGTAGTATTGTGCCATGCCACTGCTTTGTCTAGCCGTGAAACAAAGTATTGATGTTTTATGCTCCCAGTTAAAAAGACAAAGACATCTCCCAGCTGCTTCTTGTAGCCTTTGTTTCTGTACACAAAGAGAACCGAGGGGGGAAAAAAAAAAGGCAAAGAACGTCACCTTGAGTGGGCAAAGCAATTCATATTTAGGTTCAGCCTTTCAAGCTTCAGAGCTTCTCAAACCATCCCCTCAGAAGCAGAAGTCTGACCCAGAAAATTTGTGCCCTTCTTTGCCTTCACAACTAATCCTTTCTGATACAATCAAGCGAGTCTGGTTTGATCTTGGGCTGTGACCATTAACAACTTATTATATCTCGCTGAGCTAAGAATAATTGAGCAGAGCGCAGGAATCCTTTTTTAGAAGCAGAAGTTGGTAACATTGACTTCACAAAACCACAGGAAACTTCTTTATAGATTCCTAAAATGCGCAGCTGAAGGTTTCTCTGCTTTCCTCAAACCATTGAGCTCTCTGTACAGGGGCAGTCCCATTTTCCCACAGACTGGTGCAGAATGTGCTGGTGAATTTAATTACCTACATTAGCTGTTTCCCAGTTTGGGTTTTTTTTTTTAATGGCTGGAAATAAAGGCACTGGCAATATCAGGCAACAGAAGTGAAAGCGGTTTTGTTTGTCCTTTAATTTCTGGCTGAAAGGCGTATGAGGAGCGGCTGAGGGAGTTGGGACTGTTTAGTATGAGGAAGAGGAGGCTGAGGGGAGACCTTATCACTCTCTACAACTACTTGAAAGGACACTGTAGAGAGGTTGGTGCTGGTCTCTTCTTGCAGGTAATTAGTGACAGAACGAGAGGGAATGGCTTCAAGCTCCAACAGGGTAGGTTTAGATTGAACATTAGGAAAGAATTTTTCACCAAAAGAGTGATAGGGCATTGGAACAGGCTGCCCAGGGAGGTGGTGGAGTCACCATCCCTGGCTGTGTTTAAGGGCCATTTAGATGCAGTGCTAAGGGACATGGTGTAGGGGATGACTTTGTAGAGTAGGGGAGATGGTTGGACTCAATGATCCCAAGGGTCTCTTCCAACCTAGACGATTCTGTGATTCTATGAAAAGATACATCTTGGTTGTCTTTTGAAACCAGTGTTAATGCTTACTCCTGGTTTTTGCCATTTAATGAAGACATCTGCAGGTGGGGGTTCGTGGTGATGAGTTTACTTCTTCGAAGTACAGCCTGCCTGGGGAAAACAAGGCAGCTGTACGTTGATGCCTGTGGTTTTTTTTTAGCGCTGTGTTGCTTTGCCACTGGAACAGGCTGCTCAGGGAGGTCGTGGAGTCCTCTTCTCTGGAGATCTTCAAGACCTTCCTGGATGCAATGATGTGCTCTGGGCAATCGTGCTTTAGCAGGGGAGTTGGACTAGATGATCTCTAGAGGTCCCTTCCAACTCTGATTCCCTAGAACCAACCCTGGTGGCAGAGGGAGGTTGGGGATTAGCTCTGAGGACGTGGGTGGGTCGGGTTTTTTTTTAATGTGTCTTTTAAGGCTTGGGTTTGGATTTAATTTTGGATTAAACACCTTGAAACCGAGCGACCTCTGCTTGGTGTGGGGTAGGCCTCGGCGGCGGGGCCCGGTCGGGGCCGCCCCCCGCGGTAGGGCCGAGGCAGCGCCTTCCCCGCCCGGAGCGGCCGCTCCGGGCGGGGAAGGCGCTGCCTCGGCCCTACCGCGGGGGGCGGCCCCGACCGGGCCGGGGGCTGTATCGCCGAGGGGTGTATAAGTTGCGGGTATTTACATTCCCGCTTGTGGGTCAGCTGGTTTTTTTGGACGCGGGTGTAAAGTTGCGGGTGGTGTAAGGCGCCCCAGGTGGAGAGGGGATCATCTAAAAGCCCTTTTAAATAATGCACGGGTGTTTAACGTGATCGTTTCATGCAAATGGGAAGCGGTTACTCGCGTTACTGCTTCATTAGCACAGTTCTGATCAATATGGATTGTGGCTCAGGCACATTTTCCAGTGTGGCATCTCCCTTTTTAAGCTCTCTGAGGCTCTCTTAAATCCTAGAACTTTATTTCCTTTCTCTTTCTTTCCTTTTTGTTTGCTCTTTTTCTTTTCTCTTTTTTTTTTCTTTTGAACCCTTTACAGCTGAAGTGGACTTTGAAACTAGTTGCTTACATTGCTGATAGGAGTTTGTCGTACTGCTTTCGCTTCCTGACTTTCCTGATGATCTGAGGGAGTTTAAATACATCCCAGTAGCTGTGAGACTTCCTGGAGCAGGGCAAGAGAGATCATAAAGAAAGCAAAGAGTAGCCAGTGATGTTTCGAGGTAATGCTGTTACTGAGCAAAAAAGCAACTCTCTTGTATAAAGGGAGTTCTGATGTCGTTCCAAAGTGAGGACCTCCTGTCCCACCGTGGCAGAGCAGACAGTTGGCTGACCTAGACCCCGCTGTCTGTCGTGACCAAAACACTAGCCTCTCACCATTTGTAAAGCTCTCTGAGCATCCCGAGGAAACAGGCATGTATCTGTTAAACAGTTTGTCCAAGATCAAAGAGGGAGTCCCTGGCTCTCTACTAGTTACTGGTATTGTGCCGTGTCGAGTGAAATTCAAGAGGGAGCTAACTTCAAGATATCTGTGAAAACACTAGCGACACGTGAAGAAGCAAGTAGTGGCTGCAAGTGTGTGTTTTCTTGAAATAACAATTTTTCTCACGTCTGGTGTTACTGGTTGAACAATGATGGGTTGGGAATATATAATAGACAGGACTACAGTTCCCCAAAATGCTGAAATCTAATCTCGAAATGTGATACCTAAATGCTTTCAGTCCTTGTCAGAATTGAGGTTAGAGGCTGTGGCGTAACTCAAACTTCTTACTGTTTTACCTCCTGTGTCTTACTGTCCCATACTATAGTTCTTGACTAGCTCGCTTTCTTTCAGAGGCTGACCAAGCAGGAATTCTGGCAGCTGGTGCACCAGAGCTATGGCTCTGAGCTGGGCCTGAACAGCGAGGAGATGGAGAGCTTCCACTCATCGTCTGAGGACAACGGCCAGTCTCGGTAAGGACGGGTTATAAAACTTACTGAAATACGCAGGGAGAAGCACTTTTCCAAAGTGTTTCTGTAGCCTTAACAGAAGGGTTTAGCCTGTAGTGAAAGGATGCAAAGAACCAAACTGAGCATGCATAAAAACTTAATTGTGTTTATCGCCTAAAATAGTAGGAGCACAGCTGAGGCCCCTTAGAGGAGGGAGATAAGAAGACCTTGTTCTCCCTAGATCTGCTTGAGGGATATCAACAGGGTATCTTAAACAGCAGCCTTTTCTCATGACAGTATCTAGTCAGGATTTGTATATACCCTTCAACAGTATGGAAGGGCTGAATGGAATGGAACTATAGATGATGTTCAGGTATTTTTCCTCTCCTCTGTGGAGGCTGAACACTTGCTTTACTGTGTTCTCCTGATGTCTGAGGTCTTAACTTATTTTTGTGTTGTGCTCGGCTTGAATTAGGAACCTGGAATAATCTGTATGTGGATTTTTTTTAACACCATTGCCTTGATTTCATGGAACAAATGTGAACTAATATATGAACTACCAGTGTCAGTCTAATAGAAGGATTTTAATTTTGTAGCTGTACGTAAATAAGCATGGTTCTGCAAAACTGAACAATGTGATTTATGTCTGTTTTCAATCCTGTGTTATCTGAATATGCTTGCTAGAAAAGAAAACATCTTACATTCACTGTAACCTTCAAAAGATGTCCTATTAAACATTTCCTGTTTTTTCTTTTTTTTCTCCTGTTAAAAAAACCAAATGCACTACTTTACAACTCTAGAGTAAGGGATGCTGGAAACTTTTTGTCCCAAGCTTTCTTAAAACATTTTCTTTCCAAATTTGTTCTAACCTACCTCTCTTTCCTCTCTTCCTGCACCACTCACTTTCTTGCTGATTCACAGGTGCTTGGTTTTGGTAACCTTATGATCAGAAGCTGAAGCATTCTGAAAGGTGGCTAGGGTGAGGGAAAATGGCTTGAGAGATTAGTGAATGGGATGTGGGAAGAATGAGTTGGCAGTTCTTTAATATTAGCAGAACAGCTGATGAAACATATGAACAGCTATGGTTTGAATGCAAAAATCACACATGAGAAGCTTTCTCAGATTTTTCAGTACTTACATCTCCAAAGATATCTTCCTTTTTGCTTTGGACAGATCCAGCATTTGTGATGATTCTGGAGAAAGGGATGAAAAACTACCTAAAATGATTGGTTTAGTTCGGGAACCCACGCTTCAAACAGAAGGAGAGTCACTCAATAGACATGTGTTGCCAGGAGTAAGTGCTGACACAGACTTTTTTGTTATTTGTAACTGATAAGCATATATGCTTAACTTGTATATCTGTAAAAATCGGATGTGTGGGGATTGTAACTTCTATAAAAGCCTCTGAGAATTTGTAATAATCTGGGATGGTTTCATATCAGAAATTTCATATGTATGTCTTCAGGTTTCAAGACTATTTCTTGAATTTGGAAATGAACAAGCTTCTGTATAAGAGAATATTGTTGGTGTGAATTTCAACAGTGTCCTTGCACTAATTCACTGCATAGCCTGGTTAGAACACCGAGGATTATTCCCTGGTCCTTTTTTTAAAAAAAAACCAAAATTAACTCTGTTTTATCCACCTTCCTAGGGACCATGTGCATCTTTATGTAAGTGCTTTATGAAAGTCATGCCTTCCAGTGCTTTCGTGCCTGCTCTATTCATTGTGTAAAAGCATCTCTTCTTATACTGATGTTTCTCCTATACATGAGGTTTATTAGAGGGTAGTTATGCTGTGTTATCCTTGCTCTCAAAGGTCAGTTAGTCTGCTGTTGTGAATCTATGGAACTTTTTTTTATTTAAATTTGTGGAAATGTTTCAGAAGGGGGAATAAAATCCCCCACCCTTGATATAATAGTCGTGTTTTCCCTAAATGCTTTGGGTTAACACAGCTGAACAAGCATGGGTGCTTCACTCATGATGTTATATGAATTTCTGAATGTATTTGGCTGGTTGGGGGGGCAGGCACATTAGAAGCAGTATCTGAGTTGTGCACAGTGTCTCACACGGTTGCTGAGACTCTGGTGTATAGTTGTAGTCCTGAAAGGTTACAAGTGTTTTCTCTTGGTGAATAGATACCTCAAGGGAAAGATCTCAGAAAAGCAAATAAATCACTAAAGCGTTTCTTATAAACTTCACTAGGGTTGGGTACCCAATTGCTGTTTCTGCTTTGGGAAATGTGGGGAGAGAAGAAAGGAGTTGCTTATAGTAGTTTTTACTACCGTATTAAACTTCTGGCTTCTATTGCTTGCTAAAACTGATCAGAAGGTTAAGCAGGCTTTAGATAGTTTTGCTGAAATCCAAGTTAATGGCTAGGAACTTATGCCCAGCAAACAATACTGGTATTTGTTTGTCAGATGTTAAAAGCTTAGTTAATCAGATGATGGGTATCCCTCATGGAAATCCTAGCAGTATAAAACAAGATTTTTGGAGAGCTGTAAGAGAGGCTTGTGGATGCTGCTGGATTTTGGGCTCTTTAGGATAACTCAAAATCTACCCAGGTAGCCTTCGTTTGGACTTGTAAGTCTTGCACAAGAACAAGCTGTTTAAAAATAATTGCTCTGCCTAGAAAAGTGTTTTGTTTACCTACTGGGTGCCACTCCCAGAGATGTCTCTTGCAGGTGCTAAATATAATTGGGCATGTTGGTAAGCAGTAATGCCTGGGGATTTGGTCTATATGCAGGGAAAAACACTAGGATTCTCCCTTGAATAAACTGCTTTTTAAAAGTCCTTTAATTATAGCATAAAAGTGCAGTCTTGATAAATGCTTAGCTAAACTGTGTAGCTCACTGTTGCAGTGTAACTAAAATACATAATGATTGTGTTCAGCCTATATGTGTCACTTGGCACTTCTTGAGAATGTCAACATACTCTCCACGGCCCCAGGATTACAGCATATGTTGTAGAAACACAGGGGCAATAGGAGGAGACAGTAGTTCTTAGAGTGTATTTATCAAAAACCATGGCACTGATGACACAAAACACATTTAATCACCTTAGGAAGACTGGAGAGAAACAGACTTAACCCCTTCTTTCCTCCTCTGAGAAGAAAAGTCCTAAAGCTCTCTTCAGAGGGAGATCTGAATTGATAGAGGTGTTGGCTATAGTACTTGGGCTGTCTTGGAAAAAATATTGTCAATAGCTTAAAGAAAGTCTGTGTGTAACACCAGTCATGGCACGTGTCCTTCTGAGGTACAGTTCATCACTATGTGGGGACAACCTTATTGCCTGTCTGAATCAACCCTCTTTTTCCCTCTGCCCCTCACAGGGAGACCTCAGACCCTTCTAGTCCCAAAGCCTGCTGTTCACAGGTTAAAAAACTGAAGAGCCTTGGCACAAAGCCTTTGCAGTACTGGAGTAGCTTAGGAGATAAGTGTACATAAGGGTGAAATTGTATGTCTTTAATTCCAGCTGACAATCTTAAAATCATTACTCTTTAGGGGGAAAAAAAAATTTAAAAAATATAAACAAGAAAACTGTGTGTGAGTTAATCAGTTACTGCAAAAGCCCTATTGTGAATCTTGTCTTGCCTGACATCACTAAAGGCTTTTTTGTAGGAGCTGTTCTCTAGTCTTCTGACTTGAACTGGACATGGCATAGCGCATGGCAGAGCAGGGGCTGCTCTTTGGGTTCCTGGTGAGAGCTCCACCTGTTCACCAAATCCCTGATCTTCATCAAAATGCTACGAGAGTTCTTTAGATTTGTGCTGGATCTGTGTCAATTTTTGGACTGTTAGCCACAACTAGCTCCTTTCTGGCTTCCATCTGCCTTGATAGAGTATTTTGACATGGAAATGTTAGTTCTGTCCTGGTTCCTGTTGTGTGACTGAGCACAAGTTCAGTCATGGTAGCTCCTTTCGGTAGGAGCACTTGTTAACTGATTTGCTTTTCTGATGTAGTCGTCTTTTTTTTTTTTATGACCTTGGAAGAGTATTTTTGCCTGCTTATACTGCAGTCAAATTCATGCCTGTCTCTGTTTTCCTGCCACCCACCTTCTGCTAATGGCCCTCAGTTGCACAAAAAAAAGTAGATGGTCTTTATTTTCATAAAAGCGAAGAAGTATGGGAAGTACATGGTAATTATTCAAGTAGTGGATGCTCTTAGTTTTTTTGAGTCAATGCTGAATAATCTTTAGGGATGATGGTATTGGAGTTGAATCGGAACTGCTCAGTTCAGGAGGCTTAATCATACGTATTATGGTCAGTGTACTACTGCATATGGGGGGCTGTGCTGCTGTTGATCCCAGCTGTTCCACTGGAGGCAGTGGGAACTTTGAGGAGAGGTATAGACTGAAAGTTATGATTTGTATCTAGTAGGTAAGCTTTTTCAGTGGCATTTTGAGATGTAAAAACCTTGTGCATACAGTTTCAGTAGAAATTACTTCTTGAAGCGTGCAATGGCATGTAAGCTTAGCTGCCAGTTATTATAGTTTAGGGTTAAGAGCTGCATCGTTTCAGTGACTGATGTTTTGGGGGATATCCTGCTAATATATTGGACATGACAAATGCTACTCCATTGCTTTGTTTCTGAGAAGTAGTGTTTTGTAGGTAGGATGACTCTAGGCTCTGTTTTAAAACATTTTTTTTGTCAAAGAATAATGAAGCCCTATAAAATAAGAACACCTTTCAGTTGTATAACTGGGATATCTAAATCTTGCTGAAAAAGGGAGACCCTGCCTGTTTTGTTGTGCTTCCCCCTCACGATCCTTTGCTAAAATGAAACTTGATCAATAAAAAGTAAATAATCTGTGTCAGGTTAATGAATTTATAAACACTAGTATTGATGCAGGGGAGGGGATCAAACTGTGCAGGTGGGTGCGAGGGACCTGGATAGGGAGTAAACTGTTCCATTTAAGGCCACTCCAGGTATGAGAAGATGGATAAATAAATCTGCCCCTTGTTACTGGGGTTAAGTGGAATAGAGAGGAAGAGAAGTTGGCTGGGGTAGGGGAGCTAAGTGTCTATATGGTAATTGAGCAGATAGAACTTGTGGCTTCCTTTATATGGCTTTCCTCTTTGAAAGTAACTTTCTCTTTTTCAAATAGTCTGTAATTACTGATGCTTTTTTTTTTTTCTCTTGGTTGTTACAGGTGGAGGAGTCCCCAACTGAGAAGCAAATAAAGAAGAGCCCTCTTCCAACCTCAGAAAGAAAACCTGTTAAGCTAGTCAGGAGCAGGTCTTTAGAAAAGTCCTTGGACCTGAATGAGAATGAAAATTTTCCAGAGAAGAGCAGTGCCTCAGATAGTGAAGAAGGTAAATCTGTTAACGGTTGGGACCTGTAAGATGACCTGACTCCAGTGTGCCATCTCACTTGTGGAGCAAGTTAGAGAATTTTCTGATCTTACGAAACTTGTTTGTTCATTTGTTTCACAGAACAGCAGCAAGACCTTATTTGTATCTTACTTAGTTTCTAGGGAGTTAAAAAAAAGTTGTTGTTGGGGTTGTTTAAGACAACAGCAGATTGTGGTTTTGCTTTTTCCTTTGGGTGGGTAAATTGTTGCTAACAGCTTAAACTTAAAAAAAAAAAAAGGTTTTTTGACAATGTGGTGGTGTTTGTTCACTTTCCATGCTCTCGCAGGTATTTAAAATATTTTTCTTTGTTTTCACTTTTTGGGAGCTGAGGAGAAACATTTCAGACTGTTCTGCAGTTTCTGAAAGATTTCCCCACCCTCTCCACTGCCTCTTATTTATACTTCTACTTGAGGAAAATGGGTTTGAATGTTATTGATGGAGTAAACTGAAAAACTCGCTGAAAGTCCAGGCAAGACAACTTCCCAGCTTCCAGGACTGTTTTGTGCATATTCTGAGTCTGGTCCGAAGATGATAAACCTTAACGTGTATTTTGGTGCAGCTTAAACTTTGTGTGGCAACAGAGTTAGTATCTTAATAGATCCTAATATACCATCCTTATAACTCATACCTCATTACGCAGCTCAAGGTGAGAAGAAACCTGGATACCATGGTAGTGTAGAGATTGTTAACTCGGCTCTTATGTATTTCCTCTCCTCACTGTGGGAGAAAAGCATAGCTGTGTGTCTTACTGTGGTTTTGGTATGAGGTTTTTTGCTACGTCCTGGGGGAGAGAATAAGGCCAGAGTGTGTTTTCTGCCCAGGCTGGATGACAGTGAGGCTTGTGCTGAGGTCTGTGGGTGCTTGTTCTTGTGGTCCCACGGTAGCCCCTGGCTAGCTCTCAGTCTCTAAGGTGAGCATTTCACTTATCATGGGGAGCTTGTCTGTGCCCGAGGGCTGTAGTTCAAACAGCTCACTGAAGTTGTGGTGGTTGTTCCATTAAATATCCCAATCGTGGACTCTGTAAATGCTTTTAAAATTAGATGTGTACAACCTGTATTGGTTCTAAAGTAGTATGATAGTGCGAAGGACAGAAAAGTTCAGCAAGTAGCAGTGTGCTCAGTAGCAGCTGAATGTTTCTTTCATACACAAAGAGAGAACTTGCTTTCATCACCTGTTGGCAGGAATAAAACAGTTCAGTTAGAGGCCAGTTCTTAGTTCTTAATCTGTCTGAGAAACCTTGTGTCTCATCCTTTCAGAGTTGGCAACTGAAGTCGCTTGCAGGTGTCATTACATTGGGATCACTCAGGTGTCTAGGAAAGCTTCCAAAGTTATGGATTGAATTGGCTGCCCTGAAAGTTGTGATTGTTGCCTGAGGATATACTTCATATTCAAGTAACTTTTCTTTTGCTCACCTATGCTGCTGCTGTGTTTGCTGGAGTTCAGGTTCAACTTGATGCAAGTCAGGTTGTATCATTTTTGTGACTATACCTACTTGAACAGGCTGATGTTTCTGCCATACTGTACACACTTAACAAGCTTCACAAATTAATTGTTTATCCATCACAGGTGTATCCTTTAGAGCGGCAGAAAGTTTTGGCCTTAGGATGTTTTAGATATCTTGCAATTTTCCTGTACTCTTAGTGCCACATGTTCTGTCCCTGGATTTTTTCTTAAGGTAAAGGTCTTCAGTGAAACTGATTTAAAGTTGTCCTGTTGTCTTTCATGCTGCTGTTTGCCTAAGCAATAGCAGTAAATACTCCCTGTCATCCCTACATTGATTATGTTGAGTAAATAGAGCATATTAAACTGGAGGTGTCTCTAAGAGAGATCTGACTTCATGCTGCTTTTCTTATTTCTTCTCCCTTTCTTCTCCCTCCCCCAAGACTAGTCTTTTCTCTTTTTTTTTTTTTTTTTTTTTTTTTTTTATTCAGAGCAGGATTCTCTAGTCCCACAACATTAATCTTTTTTCTTCATGCTTAGAATTCTTTATTCTTCTGTTTCTTTGTCTGTTTTCTGTTGCAGTTGCCCCATACTCTTGCAAGGTGAATTCCTTCATGCAAATGAAACTAGCTTTCCCACGTGGCAAAGGTTTACCCATGCGATTAATCTCTCTTGTGTCCTCTGGCTCATACTCAGGCTGCCTATGGAGGTGTCCTGGCAAATAAGGTGAGGGGCAAACTCAAGACTGTTGTTCTCCCTACTCTGGGTCCACCTGACACCCAAAGCTGGAATGCCAAAGCCTTAGCAACACTAGTTCCCTTGCCCTAAGCAATTCTCACATTGTTTACTGGGCAATGGGGGGTATGAGTCTCACTGGGCACCACTGGCCTATTGACCTGCGTCTTGGTGCTTTTGTTCTGCTTCATATATTGGAGTATAAATGTCAAACCGTGACAAACTTCTGGCTAAACTTAAAATTAATACCTGTGATCTTGATTCTAAATTTCAGAAAACAAATCTTAATTCAAGCACAGAATACATATTTCCAAAATAGAGCCAGGAGGTTCTGTATTTCCTCAGGTGAATATTTTGCATGTAGGGTTTCTATATGCAATGACAATGTTCAGCAGCATAAAATACTTCAAAGAAGGAAGCAGGAAACTGGGAAACAGTCTTTTCTGTTAAAAAGCTTTACTGTATATGGAGACAGCGTAAATTCCTGATCTCCTTGCATAACTTGACAAACTTACTGTATTGTTTCCATTTTTATGGATAACCACCTTAAATGTGTGGTCTGCAGGAGAGCATACCGCTTGCACTGCAGTGCTGTGGGATAGGTACAGTGGTGCCTTGACTTTTCTCGCAGATAGGAATATATATGGCAGGAAGTGATTGAGATGCAGGGTGGCTGAAATTAGTTCAGCCCTGGTTTAGGGTATTTTTTTTCCCTAAGACAGGAAATCTTGGTTATACAATGTATCTAAGGAGGAGTAGCCCTGTTACCTTGTTCGCATTTTAGTCAAAATACCAAAAGCCTGTATTTTGTTGACTATAATTGCCAATTACTTGGTTTGGGATTTGGAGGATATATGTTTGAGTTGCTAAAGGCAAAAGGCATAATTTCTATTTTTTTTATCTTGTGAGCTGGAAAAAGCTAGTATTGTCATAGTATTTATTGGGTACCTCCCCAAGTTAATTTTGTACTTAGCCTTTTAAAGTGTAGGAGAGCTCTCTGATAATGGTTAATATTGCTGATACAGTCTTTAAATAGGTGGTGTCTGGAACATGTTCACTCTAGGAAATGGTTTTATTGACTCATTTCAGGTATATCTGGCTAAAGGCTCCTACCTGCATATTCTTCATGCAGTGTACAATTTTCCCCTATCCCCAGTGGCATAGAAATCCTGAACAGTGCCAAGATTTGCATAGATACTTGTTTTTTTTTCTCCTGATCCTCCCCTAACGCCATGGAGTGGATAAATCAGCCATCTTATTAATTTCGTTGATAACCTCTGCTCTTAACAGTTCAGCTTTCTTAATTTACTTGTGGTATGTGTTCAGCTCTGAGCTGTTGGTGGTTAACAGGAATTTTAAGAACTCTTTTTTTTTTTTTCTGCCTCCTTTCCACCCTTCCAGTTTTCTGTCTCTTTCTTTTCTTGCACTGCAGATGTTTTCAGACCTCTGCAGTCACTGGTGTATAATGGTATTACATTTAAACAGTATTTCACAGCTTGCCTTGCAGTGATGAAAATGACCTTATGGAAGTGCAAGGCAATAGGGAACAGATTTGCCATCTTCATGGCAAACCAGGACACTCTGGGTAATACATTTGCTTCTGGAATTTTTTGGGGTCCCTAGGGATCCTGACCTAAAGTCAGAATAATCTCACATTCTCTTACCAGACAGTAGCTCCAATTCATCTGTAAATGTATTCAGGCTGAGAGAGTTGGTGGTTGATAACTGCATACTGCTGAGGAGTTAGAACAGCATTAAAAGTTAAGGAGTTAAAGTGATATCTAGATACTTGCACAAAACATTTTGTTCATAAACAGTATTTCTAAGCCAGTCCTAGGTAAAATGCTTGATGTTGTTCTAGTATTGAGATAAATAAAAGGCAGGTAGGTTTATCTGTGTGAGTTAAACAGAAGAAAACAGTAGACAAACATGCATATTCATTTGTAGCAGAGATGGGTTGTTAAAGCTTTCTGTTTTGTTCAAATTGCAAGTGTGTATACTGTACACATATACTTTGCTGTGTTACTGTTTCTGCTCGCTGCTTCCTCTAGGATTTGTAAAGATAAAATGGGAAGCCCAGATGGAAGTGACTTGAAGCTTGTCAAGTTCTCGGTGTATGCAATGACTTACTTCCACAGATGTGGAACTGGCAGCAGCATTCATACATGCAGCTTCCAGACCTATAATATGAAAGGTTTCTAGGCTTTCCGGAAAACAGCTTTTTGAATCCTAGTGGCTGATGGGCCTGATGTATCAATGCCACTTCAGCTTGGATTTTCTGAAAATGCTACATTATATGATAATGTCACTTTAAAAAAAAAAAAAAGAACAAATGTTTGTTTGAAGAGCTGAGAGGATTGTAAATAAAAGCACATTTCTCAATAGATGCTCTTATGTGCTTGGGACTTCATTGACTGTTCCTTATTAGAGACATGACTAGATAAAAATAGTGAAGGCAAATCAAGTAACAGGAAATTTTGTATAGACCCACAGATGCTCTTGCTTAAGACTCAGTACAAGGAGGACAGACTTCACACTTGAAGAGTAAAATGTTTCAGTAGCAAGGTCTGTACCTGAAGGTAATAATGCATGAGCTTTGTGCATATCATAAGTTGCTGTGGCTTACTAAATTACCTCACGTCAGCAGAAACGTAGTAGCTGTCCTCACCCATTTTGGGTGAACATAAAATGTTTAGCTAAGCCTCACTGGGGCAAAGGTAACTTTTATTATCTTGTATTTACTAAGACATATAAAAATAGGTTTTGGTTTTGTGTGGTGTTTTTTTTTTTTTTTTAAGTAGTAGCAGATTCCTTGGGCATGTCAAGGTCCAACTGAGTAAGACTCATCGAGAGTAACTAGGTTTGAATTGCCAGGTGTCTGACTCCGTGCCCATTAGCTGATGTGCAGTAGGCAAAGGGGATGTCAACACCAATATCTGAAGCTTCCTGTCTCTTAGTGAAAGAGGAAGTGGGGAGTGTGCTCTGAAGGGAGAGGTCTGTGATGTTGAGGCCTTGGTAGCTGAGGTCAAACTGACGGTTCACTCAGACTGTATTTGATGGAATTGGGTTCAGCTCTGAGAGAAAATACTGTGAACATTAGCTGTGAATACCCAGGCTGAATTTCTGGCTTCCTGCAGCATGTTTCAGCACAGCAGAATCAGTATTCTAGCAAGTAATGACTGCATATTGGCTGGTTAAATAGGTCTCTTAAAATGCGTGCTTGTTTTCTGTCCCACCTCGCAATTGTACAGACTTAAAATTGCATAAGCAGAACGTGACACGGGAAAGAAAGTCCACCTCTTGCACAAGCACAAAAATACGGCACTCAGGCACTCATGCTTCACTTCTGGGGTCCTACGTTGAAGCCTGATTAGGACGAAGAACTTTTTTGGAGGCAGATGTGTAATGGGGACTTCTAGCAGGCCAGAAGCAGCGCTGGAGCGGGAGTCTGCTTAGTCAGAACTGGATTTCAGTGGGGACTGTTGTGGTGTTTAGTTGCTGCATTTGCATTTATCAATACTGACTGCTACCAAGCAGTAATGTTTTAAGTGCTGTAACCTTAGCCTATAGGCAGGTTGTGAACTATAGCTTGATATTCAAGCTACCTTTGCGTTGGTGGCTGGTGCTGACCTATGCTAGCTCTGAGCATTGATTTGTATCAGTTGAAAGGTTAGACGTCCTGACTTCTGTCTTGCTTCCACAGGGTTTGCTTTCAGGCTTTTTGTTTTGTTTTAGCGATGTGTGTGTGTGGGGGGGTTGTTTGGTTTTTTGGTAATTATAATTTAGGATGGACTTGTTTCTAAAGTGTACACGGATTGATTTGGGATTGACACGGGAAACTGCTTGCCCTCCAGGATTATAATTCTGTCGCTTATCTCTTGCAAGAGTGGCTGAGACAGCCACAAAGCTGAGTCATGCCAGCAACCAACAGGAAATAGAAATAGCAAAGATCAGTGCTGCAGCCACAGAACGCTGCCGAGGCACTTGGTGGTGGTTTTTAAATAGGGGATGGCAATTAAGCATGTTGGTGCGCTCTTCAAGACTGCAAAACAGAGCAGGGTACCTCTTGCATTTCTCTTATAAATGGGAATGGAGGGAGGAACAGTTTGAGGAACTGCTTGGTAGTCTGTACATGCTGTCTTAAACTGTGGATGCTACTAGCTTTACAGATGTTAAAAGCAGAATTCTGAAATTAGCCACAAGTAAGAAGAAAGCTAGTATGGTTTCACTGTCCTGCTTGCTTTGCGTGTGTCCCTTGCACAATAGGCACACTTATTAATGAAGACTATGCTAACTTTTTGTTTCCCCCAACGTTTTCTGTAGTATTAGTAGAATACTGATGACAAAACTAAAGGAATGGGACCTTGTGATGTTGATTTGTCCATTTATGTTTGCACAGGGAAATTGGGGGAGGTCACTGGAAAATCAGCTCTGGACTTTGCTTCTGAAGACAACCTGCCTCCCAAATCATGTGCTGCTATCATTATTGGGTTTCTGAGAATGAGAAACAAATGCTGATGCAAGCTTGGGAAGGATTTGAGCTGTAATAAAGCTTAGAATGTTACAAAGTTTCTTCATAATACTGCCCTTTTCTTAACCTAATCTCTCTGCCTTTTCTTAGCAGTGAAGGAGACTGTCTCTGAGAATGATCTCTATGGGAGACTTTTTATAAATAGAGTTTTCCATATCACTGCAGACAAGATGTTTGAAATCCTTTTCACCAATTCTCACTTCATGCAGAGGTTTCTGAATTCCAGGAGTATAGTAGGTAATATACTCTTCTTGCTTCTGTTCGTGTTGCAAACTATCCTGAAAATTTCAGCCTCTGAGAAGTGTTAAATAGGGCTAAGTTACATTTTAGGTTTCTTCTTGTTTTAAAAGAATTTTGAAGCTTTAAAGTTCCACTATGAGAGAGGATATTTAAAGCTAGCCTGTTGTCTCTAGATCAGTCACATCTTGGAGTAAAAGCCTCATTTCAGTGCACCACAAAAACTGCACCTTAATGTCTGAATTTTGGGGAGGTTATTAAGTTCATGCATTCTGTGGGGTATTTCTGATTACATTGTGTCCCAGAAACAGTGAAATGTGTATGGCTGGCACACAGGCAAAATCACTGCATCCTGCTAAACGATACTCACAGGCTTTAATTTTCTGGATGAGTAAATTTTATTCACTGAGATCGTAAGAACAGAAAATTAAGTAAAAAAGGATAATATTTATTCAGCGTCAGCTTGGGAGGGAAAGTGGCAAAAGCTTTTGATAACACTAAGTGAATCTATTAAACTTTAAGTAGATGGGAAATGACATATTTTCATTTAATTGCTTATTCTTCTCCCCACCCTCAAGTCTCTTTCAGTAGGCTCAGGTTCAGCTACTTAGTGCCTCACCCTTGTTCATCAGTGAACTACAGTTTCCCTTCTTCCTGCAAAACCCACAACCATTTGGAATCAGCTTTCTGTCTCTCTCCCCACCACTGTTCTTAAACTGTTAAGATATGAGAGGGCAGAGATAATGCCTTTTAGGTATTCTGCGTGCTCTGATTTTGCATAATTTCTCGTCTAGATGCTGTATCGACCCCTTGGAATAGAGATTCCAATGGCAATCAGTTGAGGACTTTGACGTACACTGTAACGATTAACAATCCACTTTGTGGGAAGTTCACTACTGCAACTGAAAAGCAGGTACTGTGTGCATGTGTGTGTTTGGTGCCCTTTATTCAGTGCACCACATCAACTCTGGTCTGTCAGGGATCTGACAGTGGATTAGAGTTCAGTGAGCTGAATGTGGATCTGCAGTTTAAACGTAGCGTCTGTAAGGGTGTAGGCATCTGCTGTGCTCCTCTCCCATTAGAGAGCAAATGCTGATGAGATCAGAGAGGCTTTCTACCTTTACAGATGACTAAACTTGTCCTACAGTCTGTGGGGAAAAGTGTTAACATCTCTTATGAATTGGGGGTGAAAAAATGCAATGAAATGCTTTCAGCGTCCACTTCTGGGGTCCCCAGCGAGAGAGAGGTAGAAAGAGTCTAGCAAAGGGCCACTGAGATGAGTAAGGGACTGGAGCATCTCATACAAAAAACAGCTAAAGCAAGGGAGAGGTCAACTCTGGTCTGTCAGGGATCTGACAGTGGATTAGAGTTCAGTGAGCTGAATGTGGATCTGCAGTTTAAACGTAGCGTCTGTAAGGGTGTAGGCATCTGCTGTGCTCCTCTCACATTAGAGAGCAAATGCTGATGAGATCAGAGAGGCTTTCTACCTTTACAGATGACTAAACTTGTCCTACAGTCTGTGGGGAAAAGTGTTAACATCTCTTATGAATTGGGGGTGAAAAAATGCAATGAAATGCTTTCAGCGTCCACTTCTGGGGTCCCCAGCGAGAGAGAGGTAGAAAGAGTCTAGCAAAGGGCCACTGAGATGAGTAAGGGACTGGAGCATCTCATACAAAAAACAGCTGAGAGCTGGGACTGATCAGCCTGGAGAAGAGAAAGCTCAGGGGGGATCTTGCAATGTATGTAGATATCTGAAGAGAGGGTTTAAAGAAGACCAAGCCAGGCCTCTGCACCAAAGGCCGCACCTTTCAGTCATGCCTGGTGACAGGACCAGAGGCAGTAGCGCAAACTGAAACGCAGGTGGTTCCCTCTGAACATCAGGAAAACACTTTCTTACTGTTAGGGTGATGGAGCACCGAACAGGTTGTCCATAGAGGTTGTGGTGTCTCCTTCCTTGGAGATACTGGAAAGCCATCTGGATACGGTCCCAGGCAACCAATTCTAGATGGCCCTCCTTCAGCTGGGTTCTTGGATAAGATGACCACCAGAGGTGCCTTCCAATCTCAGCTATTATGTAATTCTGCTTTGGGAAAGTTCTCATATCAGTCTCAAAGAGGAGCTGTGGTCAAGAGTCAGTGGCCAGCCTTGCATCTGGTACTTGAAATGGCAGTGGGGAAGTACTGCTGTTGCCTATGTTGGCTCTAGCAGGAGGCATCTTCTCTTTCCCCACCTCATCTATACTTGCCATTCTTATCTGGTTTTTGTTGTGATTGTTCAGGCTTTTTCCATACTCTAGTTCACTTGGAGTTGGTGGATCTAGTCTAGGGAATTCAGGCTGAAAGGAGGCAGGGGGCGAAATTTGATACCATGAATGTACCTTCTTATTTTTATTTTCTTTTATGGTAGATCCTGCATAAGCAGAGTCAGAAAGGTCAGTCCTATCAGGTGGATGCTGAGGTACTCACCCATGATGTCCCCTACCATGATTATTTCTACACTGTGAACAGATATTACATCAGCCGCACATCCAGTCACAAGTGTCGATTACGGTGAGCCTGGGTGGTGCACAGTGGGAGGGGAAGCACGTATGTGACAGGTTGATAAAGTGTGTTTATCAAAAGATCTGCCAACAGCATAGAGAAGATCAGTTTCTCTTGAAGCTGGGTTTTTTTTTTTCTGAAAAATAAACTTGGTTTATCTCGTTGCACGAATGCTGTATTTGAATCTCATTGATTCCGTAAGAAACAAACTCTTGTGTTAAGTCTACAAGGTACAGAACTCCTCTCCAAGACTGAACTGGGTTCTGACCAGCCCTGTGTTTTTCAGTGCAGGTGTGTGAGTGGGATAAATTGAAACTATCAGAGATATTTTATTACAGAGTTTCCCAGATATGCTCTACAGAGGAGGATGGTTCACAGGAAGGTGCAGGGAAGATGCAACATACTTTTGCAGGGAGGGTACTCCAGTTAATCAGGCCTCATTATTAAACTCTACCTTGATAGGGAAGTCTTAAAAGGTACTTCCCTTTTCTCTCTTGTTTGTTGAAAACACCTGAAGTGACCAAGTTCCATATTCAGTGCATTTGTATCGCTTTCTGATTATGTACTCCTTGGTAGTTTTTCTGCTGTCTTCAGTAAAGCCTTTTATCTCAAACTTCACCATTACCGAGGAAAGGTAAGCAGGCCTGGATTTTATTCTGCCTTATCTCAGGCTATCAAAGTGCTGAAGGCTCCCTCTCTACTGGGAGGAGAAGGGAAGAAAGGTCCTTGAATGACTGTTCTGGATGAATTTTGAGTGAGTCATTCTTCCTCTTTGAGGGCTATATTTGTTTTATCTGAGACACATGGCAACCCTAGGGTAAGAGCAGAAAACCTAGGTTTCAATATGGTGCACAGAGCATGCATGTATAGAACAGAAGGTGAATGGTGGTGTTACAGTTGGCTTTATTATATTGCATTTAAAATGGCTCAAAAACTCTCTGAAAGATGCTGGCTTTTTAGACTAGGAACACAATGGGCTTACATTGATAATTTGAAAATGTTGAAAAAAGGGTATTCTAGGACAGTCAGTGTGCTTGACTTAAACAAATCAAAATCATAGGCTATCCTTTTGTCCTTTATGAAGAGCTTTGGGATTCATGCAGTAATTAGAAGCAGGCCTCTGAAGGATTCTGCTCCAATTCATTTATATTCTGGAAGCATTATTGATTAGCTTGACCTGGGGAATGTAAGGCAGGAACACCACTTCCCCTCTGTCATGTTCACAAAGACAGATTTTAATTTCTATCTGCTCAGGGTAGGATCTGAGCACTTGGTGCATGAGTGGTGATACTCCGTTTCACCTGCTGCCATTGCAGTGCCCGTGTAGCACATCATGTGTACACATACAGAGTAAAAAGAAGGACTTCATGATCTGAAAGCCTGAAGCATATTTTAAGTGTGTGTTAAAATGACAACACTTCAGAGGACAGAAATTCTCTGGTAGTTTGAGTGTGAAGGGAAACACTTTAAAATGTTTCCCCTAATTTGGACACCCAGATCTCCTGAGGCTTTAACTAGATACGTTGTTTTTGCTACTGTCTGTCTCTTGTCTTACTGCCCAGGTAGAAACCCAAGGCAGTTCCAGTATTTCAGATTATGGACATAAACTAGAGGCCTGCTTCTGCTAAGAGACTTCTGCTATCACCGTGCTACCTAGAAGAGTACTCTTTTACTATTGCATTCTCTTTATTAGGGTTTCTGCAGAAGTGAAGTACAAAAAACAGCCTTGGGGCCTTGTCAAGTCTGTAATCGAGAAGAATACCTGGGGAGGAATACAGGAAAACTTCAAACAACTTGGTGAGGCATTTTCTTCTTTGTGCTGGAGTAAGGAGGCTGCCTTTCCTATGTGTGTGTTCATGTCTGTCAAACTTGATTCCTTGAAGGATGGTTTGAAAAGGAGGAGGTTCCTTGGTGTTGACAATTCAGAAGTTCTTGTCATCAATGTATCTGCCAATTCCAGGGTGTAAAAAAAAAAAAAAAAAAAAAAAAAAATCTGGTAGCTTAATGCTAACAAGGAGCTCTTGTACACCTCCTCAGTAATTTCCTTTGAAGGAAATGTGAGGAGCAGCAGGAAAGCTGTTACTCTCAACTGCATGTACCTACCTTTAAGTATTTCCTTGATTGTGGGTATGAGAAAAGCAGCAGTAGCACCTGGCAGGTTCTCCTGGCTGTGTCTGTCAACAGCCTGGCCAGCCACGGCTGTGGACTCAATTTAACACAGTTCCTAGTCTCAGTCTAACAGTCTTCAAGTGCTCCTTCAGCTGCTGCCTAACGCCATTAGACAATCCTGCCTAGGCTGAATGTACATGGTATCTGCAAAGTGTACTAAATGGTACCTAGCAAACAGGGCAGGTGGTATAGGTTAAGGTGTAGTTCGTGTTGATTACCTGTTCTAAGTTCATTTACTAGAAAGTGCACTTAACTCTTTCACTGCCACCCTCCATATCTCACAACTTCATTCTTCAGTGCTAGGCTTCTCGGCTTTCCTTTTGAAAGTTCAGTAATGTTATTTTTTCCACCGCAGAATCGGATCTCCTAATGGAGGAATATGCAATTAATCAGTCTATAGAAGACTCTGGAAAATTAGTTGCTCTTAGACGAAGACGACGCACTTTACACCGGAGTCTAGCAGAATCGCTTCCCAAACGTTCTTCCCAACACTCCTCTGGTGACATGGGAGTAGAGTCCCAGGGCAGTATAATAGGTAGGAATTTTTATATAAATTGTTTTCCAAAAAGATCTGTTGAAGAAAACTTAACTTTGAAAACAGTGCAAGAATAACCCTTGTGTGTATATTGCTCTCATTGTCTTTAATTGGTGTGATAGCAAATGCTTTGTGTTCAGGTTTGCATAAAATACACTTGGAGCGTGCATAGTCACATTTTATGATGAGTATCTCATGAAATTAAACCTAATCTCACCCTCTCTTAAACAGAAAAGACAAAAAACAACTCATACCTAAAATGCTGCACTGTACCTGCATAGGATTGAAAATAAGATAGGATAAGAAAGAAATTTAACCTGACTTTTGTGAAGTTGCTGAAAAACTGGTTTGTTTCTTCCAATAACTGCACACACAACTCATGAGTTGATTTATCTTTAGCTGTCACTTGGCTCTTGGCCCTGTGATCTCTTATTTGATATTTTTTTTAATATTTAAGAGTCCATTTCCTGTCTGCTTCTGTAATTTCTATGTCACTGAAGCATTTCTTGCAGTTCCACTGCCACTAGGCATGGCAGGCTTGGACACTAGCATATACAATATTAGCTACACCTACAGGGATGAGGAGCATCTGTGCACTAATGTGTGCCAGAGAATGGTGGATCTCATGACACAAGTTGAATTGTAAACCCTGAAGTAGGAGCAAGTGCCCTTTCCTAAAGGGGGAGACAACACTTGAGTATAGTGCTGAGAGTGCACTTGGATCAACAGCATGTGTAATGGACTCTTTACCCAGCTGAGATTACTTCCTGATTACTTAATTTTGCTACTGCTGCTCCACCTTTTCAGGTGAGTGTGTCTGTCTGAGTATACACTACAGCTTTTTTGTACGCCCCTTGTCCAGGGCAGGAAACATGAACGTAAGGAACTGATTTAGGAGAAGAGGTAATTTTATTTAAAAATCAGCCTGCCCACAGCGGTAGGTGATTGCTGCTCAGTTTGGAGAGGACATGCACAATTCCTCTCCATCTTTAGTGTCTGATCCCTGTTGCCTGATGACTAGCAGATGCCCTTTGGAAAGGCTATTTTCAGGCCAGGACATAAACCAAGCCAGTAAAGATGGGACAAGTAACAGAACTTGATTTGACACTAATTGTCAGAAAGATAGGTCAGGAGAACAAGCAGAAGAGAGCCACTTTGCAGGCTGTCTCTGCTCGTGTGTGACTAGCAGTGAATGTGTTGAATGAGTGTCAGTGATGGATGGACTGTAGCCTTCTGAGGCTATCTAGATTTCACATGAATGTAGCCCAGTGCTGTGTTCTCCACAGCATACTGGTATAGAGGGAATCCTGCTCCCTATGGAAGAGCCTGAGTGCCTGGCTGACTTGTCTGAGGTGATGGCGAGAACGCCTTGGTGAATGTTGGAGATGATCTTGTGTGCAGCCATGTGATCTGTTATTTTTTTCCATCAGAAGCTGTTGAGCTATTCTGTGTGAAGTGCTGAGCACTGGCATGTATCTGCAGGCATCCTTTAGGAATGTTCTTCAGTACTTTTTAACCTCCTTCTCTTCCATGCCCTATAGGAAGGAAAAGAGACGCTGTAAGTAGGACCACCACCATCATTGTAGTAATGAGTGTCTTGTAAGTACTCACTTGCATTAAAATGTGGCTTGACTCAAGCTCATCTTGGTCTTTATCTGTATTTGTCTGTACCTCACCTGCATGTTAACATTGCATGTAGCACGATAGGTCCTAACCCAGTTTGAATGGAGCACTCAGGTATAGGAGGGGAGTGGATTGACTTAAGTGACACATGGAATGAAAACACTGATTTGCCAAGCTAGTCTACCTTGCAGGTTTACTTAGGTCTGATTACAAAAAAAAAGTCTAGAATTTACTCATTCCTAGTTTTAAAAGCTCCAAGAGGAGACATTGTTGTCATTCCTATTGGTTGCTATTACACAGCTTAACGCCAATGGCTAAGAATTGGATAGATCTTTATTTTCAGTGTAGCGCACCCCACACTTTTCTTTTTTTTTCCCAGAAGGATTCTCTTAAGTTTTTAGCTCAGGTCTTGTTTCTGTAGCTTTGCAACCAAAATTGTTACAGGACTTGATTTTTGTTCTCTTCTCTCAACAGTTTGCTGCTCTTGGTCTTGCTGAATATAACACTGTTTCTCAAACTGTCAAAGATTGAGCATGCAGCTCAGTCCCTCTATCATGTCCAGCTTCAGGAAGAAAGCTCTTTGAAGTAAGTTGAATTCACAGTCTTTGCTTTCTTTCTTCCTCAGCTTATTTGAGAGTCTGATCTAAAGAAATAAATTTTGAACAATGAAACTCGGTGGTAAGTCTTCAAAAGCTGCTGGGGCTTGCTGCTTTTCTGTGGTCTATGCTGATATCCAGTGGCATGTCTTGACTGCATCTTGCAGTAATAAATTTCTCCTTTGACAAGCTGTTTTTTGGGGGAGTGTTAACCTTAGCTTGCATTTATCACCGTGCTGTGACTCATCTTCTGTGAATATCATAGTGCTGATCACGGAACCAAAGTGCTCGCTTCATCTGGGTGAAGCAGCACGGTCTCAAATGTAATGGTAAAGATTCACTTAACTTTTTAGCCTCTTTTCTGAGAGTCTCCTGCTAAATCTCTTTTCCACCTCAAACTTCCACGTTAGGTACCTTTTGTATTCAGATACATGGAAGAGGCTCAGATATGTTTTTAACTATATTCAAGAGAGGAAGCAATAACCTGATCTTGAGCGTGAAGGTGGTGTGGTGACCTCTGTTGATCATCTCGGAACTGATTAGAGTAACTTTCTTCATAAGAAGGATCTTGCCCCCTGAAGCGTGAAAACTTAAATTGTAGACATAATGTGAGCTCATTTGTCTGTGGCAGCCATTGTCTATAAAGGTCCAAGGCAGTATTTTCATGGCAACAGGGATTGAAATTCAATTGCAGGCAGCTTTTTATGTAGCTTTTGGGAAAGCATGCTTTTGGCAGTGGCGAAACAATGGTGGCAGAGAGAAGTTGCTTTTAGAAAGGCATGGAGATGCTTGTTTCGTGTTTCTGATGTAGTCTCAATCTCTTTCAGCATATCCCCAGAAATGGTATCAAAAGAGGAGATCCCTCAGTACGATAAGGAACAGGTTAAACACGTGAAGGGAGTTTTGAGAGACTCAATTGAAATGCTTGAGCAGGTAGGTCTGCCGGTCTTTCCTGGTGATATTCTTGTTTCTCAACAACTCAAGTTCTTCTGCCTTACACCATCACAGCTCTTGTTTGACATTTAGTGCTAAAAAAAGGTTTCTATGACTCCCTGACCTGTTTTGTCCTAGGCTTGAATTTAGTACATAGGCAGTGCTCATGTTTCTGATGTTTTGGGCTTTGGTTTTTTTCTTGTTGATTAAGATGAAATATTCATGTCAACTTTCTTAAATCTGTCAAGTACTTTAATTGATGAGATGTGTTGATGCAATTCTGAATCATGACAAAGCAAAGACTTGAGTATCTCAGAACAGATCCTCTTTTCTAAGACTCCTCAAAATGTAATGTTAAGTATTTGCCCACCTCGTTATGGGATTTCTTCATTCAGGTTTATCCTGGCTTTTGCTCCCCACTACTTTTCTAGATATGGGTGAGAGCTTCACTTACCCTTGGTATCAATGGGTCTCCAATAAAAAATAAATTCTACAGGCTGTATGTCTCTGAGTGGCTCCATAACTATGGAGCCAATCTTCCTTCTTCCCAGTACTTTACACTTCTGGGCTCTTACATACTACAAACACTATATAAAAAAAATGAGGTGGTTGAATGCTGTTGTGTTTCTCTGATCCTGAAGTCCAGGACTGGTAAACCCCTAGACTGAAATTTCAACTCAGTAAGTGAAGGCCAGTAAATGCATACTTTGGGGTTTTTTTTACTTATAACCTATAAATGTTCTGGTTTTAAGTTCTTTTATTAAATCTTAAAATGTGACAGAAGAAATTATTAGATTAGGAAAGCTGTGGGGGAGTTCACATGTACCTCTATCCATCACCAGTTTGCTCTATGTTCTCCCACGCACTAAAGGAGGGTAGAAAAAGGAGCCATTTTTGATATTCCTTGTTCAGAGGTGTCTCTGCACACAAAATTGCTATTAATCTATTAACCATTTTGATCACAGCTTGAAAAAGGTTGAGTGCTGGAAATCTTGCTGTAGGAATGAATTTCTAGGTTTCCACACCCTTTTCAGTTTCTCTTACTACCCAAAAAATTCCTAATTCTGAAGTGTTAATCTGCCTTTTGAACAAATACAGTGGGGAAAAAAAAAAGTGAGAATTCAACCACCTTTTTCATCCCAAGTAACACTTTTGTCTGGAAGTCATGACACATCTTAGTGCTTGTTACCTTGTGTTTTCTGAGAGTTGTCAATAATCTAAACACATTTTGTGCACCAAAATGCATTGGGAGAGCCAGGCATTGAAAGAAAATTCATGCTTTGCTGTCATGTTCCTTAGAGTATTTGCTATGAATGTTAACCGTGACTAAAAATGACTGGGGTGGCTTATCTACTGGGGTGGCTTATCTTCCGCACTGTTGTCTGGTGAGGTGTTAAGACTTTATAATTACTAACAGTCCAGTATGACAAACTGTACAGGGTATAGCTGTTAGGAGAGCACGGGAAGGCAACTGTTTATAGAAACAGGGAGGAGGAAATAGCATGAAGTCTTTAAAAGTAAAGGGAGGAGGGAGACATTATTTTCCTGATATCACTCACCCATGCAGGAGACTAACTTAAGTAATTGGGGGTGGGTATGATGGTTGTGTCTTCGCAGCTAAAGATCTCCCTTTCCATGCTCCAAAGAAGCTTTGACCACTTGAACAGGACACAGAGCGGCAAGACGGAGAGTTAATAACCCACATCGGCCTTTTTCCATTCAAGACATCGGAAGAAGAGATGTGTGTGTTGAGGACTTGTTGGGTGTAGCGATTGTAACTGTCACCTTTGGACTCTTTACTGTTTGGTTCAAAAACTGCACGGAATAAAGGTTTCTGGACAGAAGTTGAGTTGGGTTCTGCGTTCCTGTAGCCCGGTGCTCTGTCTGCCCAGGACGTGGGGCTGGCAGCAGGGTCTGGCGTAGGAACGGTGTGGAGCTCCCAAACCCCATGGTGAGTAAGCGAGGGCAGTGGTACTTGCTGGTTAATGGATCTGCACCTTTTGGAGGTGGGGAGGACACCTTCAGCAAAGGGCTTGTCTTCAACAAAATTGTAGCCTTTTACGTCAACTTGAAAAATGACCATCAAGGAAGAGTGTTTTTGCAGAAAAAGAACAGGTAGTGGTTTCACAGCCACAAGATATTTGTGTGCTTTTTTTAGCCACGGGGACTTGGAAAACAAGTCACCATCTTTAAGGATGAATATTTTTAAGATTAATTAACTAAACAGGAAAACGCTTGGTACCTCTTCGCTACATCTCTCCTGCGTGCTGCTTGCTAGCTTTGGCAGGCTGCCTCCTGCCATATGTTTTGAGCTCTCCCAGAGAAATCTCAGCCCTCGGTCTCTTCCCCACCCTCAACGGCTGCTCTTCGGTTCTTGATGGCTGATGCCGAAGCACCTTTTCTTCTGGCTCTGAGCTTTTTCTCACCAGGTTGGGAGAAGGAAGATGAAAATAAAAACAATAAAGCAGGGGGAAAGGCACCATCCCCCAGGGTGGGCAAGCGCTTGGTGGTGGCTTGGTGGTGGCTTGGGTTCTTCTGGCTGCCTCCTATGGCAGGTGCGGGGAGGGGTTCCTGCCTGTGGGTGCTTCAGCCCCCAAAATGCCAGGTTTAAACACCCATGGTGTGTGTGGGGGGGTGTGTTGCGTGGGAAGCTTTGCCCACCCCGGGGAGGGGCCATGATTCATCTACCATTTAGTTAAAAGCCGGGGGGGGGGGGGGGGGGGGGGGGTAGCGAAGCCCTCCCGCCGGGCCCCTGCCTCCACCTGTTGCGCTGTCCCCTTTAAGGCAGGTGCCACCGCGTCACGGGCAGCCCCGCCCCTCCCCGCCAGGCATTGGGCCGGGCTGCCGCGCGCGCCGCGTCCCGGGCCCGGCGGCGGTTGAGGCTGAGGGAAGAAGGGCGGTGGCGGTTGAGGCTGAGGGGAGGGCTGGCGGCGGCGGCGGCGGCGGCGGCGGCGGCGATGGAGGAGCCCCTCTGCTGCTGCGAGTACGTGGACCGGAGGGGGGAGAGGAACCACCTGGCGGCGTGCTGCTGCGACTGCGAGGACCTGGACGAGGGCTGCGAGAGGTAACGGCTCCGCCGGGCCCCCTGCGGGACACCTTTCCCCCGGCGGGGGCTCTCAGGGTGTCCCCTCGCCTGCCGCCCTGAGGGGAAGGGGAGCTGCCCGCCGCTTCTGAGGGAAACTCGACGGGAGAGAAGGGAAAAGGGGCGGCGGGCGGGCCGTGCCCACCGTAGGGCAGGCTGCGGGAGCGGGAGGAGAGCGGGGAAGGGCCTCGGGGTGCGCGGCTGCCCGCCTGCCAGCCGGTGTGTGTGCTTCCCGCCCCGAACAGGTGGCTGACCTGCAAATCCCTGCCTCCGGGAGCTTTGGAAAGAATCGCCGAGACCGTGGCTGACCGTGTGCGGGTCCCCTGGTTCGCGGGGGCCGTGAAGGTCAACCTCAGCCTTGTGCCACCCCTCGTCCTGCTCCCCGTCCTCCTCCACGTTGCCGCTCTGCACTTCCTGCTGGGGCTCGTCGTCTTGACGTCTCTGCCCGTGGTGGTGCTCTGGTATTACTACCTCACCCACAGGAGGAAGGAACGGACTCTCTTCTTCTTGAGCCTAGGGCTCTTCTCCTTGGGCTACATGTACTATGTGTTTCTCCAGGAGGTGGTTCCCCGCGGCCACGTGGGGTATTCCCAAGTGGTCGCTCTCACGTGCGGGTTAATTCTAATGCTTGCAGCCTTGTCTCGAGCCAAGAAAGACCCTGGCTACCTTCCCATCCCAGCAAGCGATGTGAAGTCATCGCACCAGGGTTTGCCCAACAAGAGCGTTAGAGGAAGCTCCAACGGGCTCCATGGCATCACCGCCTCAGGAGCTGCCAGTGGCCGTGCTGTGAATGGGGAGGCCAAAGGCTATTCCAGGATGTCAGCTGAGGAGCCAGAAGGTGTGAAAAAGGACTGGTGCACTAAATGCCAGCTGGTCAGACCAGCCCGAGCAGGGCACTGCCGGCTTTGTGGCAGGTGTGTAAGGAGACTGGATCATCACTGTGTCTGGTAGGTTTTGTACTGCTGAGGCTAGACGTGTTCTCTCTCTCTCTTTCCCCCTTTTTTAAGTTAGCTTCTTTTTTTGTTTCTGTCAAACAGGTTTGCTTTTGTTATGTGCAAGACCTGGTGACGTTTTTTAAAACAGTAAATTTTTATGTACCATTTTAAAGAACAACTTAGACTATTTTAGTGTAAGGAGGTTGACCTGATAGCTGGTAACTTCTACAGCATACTCCAGAATTTACTTTAGTTCTCTACTGGTTTTCATTTGGGTTTTTTTGGAGGGGTGGAGGGGTTTTTTGTTTTTTGGAGGAGGAGGGGTGTTTGATTTTTTAAATTTATTTTATTTTTAAAGATTTGGTCTGTGGAGCACTAGCAATCCTGCAGTTAATTTGCCTTAGTGCTGTCCTGGATCAAGGGAACCTAAAGCTGTACCAAGAAGCAGTAGGGTATAGATGTGTCTCAGCAAAGGATGCTACATTTGCTATGTTTGAGGCAAATGGCCTACTACAGTTACCTTACTGGCCTGTTGACTTGTGCCTATAACCTTTCTATAAAAAGCTATAAAGCTTCTTTGAATGTGTTTTAAAGTTCTTAGCCTATATTGTATAGAAGCACCTTGGAAATCAGGTTTTCTGATGGCTGGGGGTGGGAGGAGGAAAGAGAAGCCAGCTGCTTTTCTTTTTAAGCAAAGTAATCTCTCTTTTCCTTTTGGAGGATTAACAGCTGTGTAGGGGAGCAGAACCACCAAGCATTCATCCTTGCACTCTCCTTCTTCATGCTCACCTCTGTGTATGGGATTACGTTGACCCTGCACACCGTCTGTAGGGACCGAACTCCATTTGTGGCATTGTTCTACTGCCCGGGGGCCTATTCTGACTACAGGTGAGATGTCTGCCTGGGAGAGAGCTGGGGTGGGAACTTGGTCCTGACTAGGCAGCTTAGCTCCTGTTCCTCATTCTGTGCTCTAGATGAATGCTGTTGGCTGTTAAACCTGACCAAAAAGTGCTCCCTAAAAATCTCTGGAAAGCAGGGATGCATCGCTGCTTTTGCCAGGGTGGGGGGCCTGAGACTCAGAAATCTCCATTTGTTTGGAAAAAGTTATTGGAGGAGCTGGGGTTTGAAGTCTTTATTTATTGTGTCCTGTATAGAAGATACACTCTTAAGTATGTTTGCCCCCAGATCCAGGTAATGGTCCGATAGTCTGGAATCCACGTGCTGTCTTTCCCTCTCATCCCTCACTGTTTATCTGGTGACTGTCCCTCCGAGTTATCTGCTTAGAGCAGACAGTGTTAATATGCCTTGTCTGGCAGGGAGGGTGATGAGAAGCATTTGACACGACTTCAGAGTCTGGTGCTGCCATTGATGGGCAGAGTGCACTAGCACGAGGGACTACCTTCTTCTGCACTCCATTTCATGATCTATTGAGTGTGAACATCGTTGCGACCTTAAATAAGGACCAGGTACCTTTACAACAGTGAGAGTAAAGTGCTAGGTACTGTGATAGCAATGTGCAAGAGTAGCTCTGGTAGTGCTAAAAGCTCTCATTAAGTAAGCCCTGAAGCTTTAATTTGGAGAAAGCCTTTAAGGATTATCTGATGAAAGCAGTGAAGTGAGATCACTGTGGCAGATGTAGACAGGGATTTGAAAGGATAGTGATTACCAGGGAAAGTCACTCTAAAGCAGCTGCTCCAAAACTAAATGGCTTCCTTCCCATCTTTTTCCCTGCTGCCAGCTCTGCTCTGTCGTTCACCTGTGTGTGGTACTGTGCGATTGTAACAGCTGGCATGGGATACATCCTCCTTATCCAGCTGTTGAACATCAGCTACAACGTGACCGAGAGGGAAGCTCGGCTGGCTCTGCGGGACAACACTGGGCGCAGGCTCCTGGGTGGGTTAGTGATAGACACTGGCCAGTATAACAGGGGTTTCCTATGCAACTGGGGCCATTTCTTGAGCCTGGGGTCTTCTCCTCCACAGCACTCTGCTGAAGACATCGTGTGACACCCCTCTTTCTGCAGATGATGTTGACTGACTTTCTTTAGCAGGGGAATGGCCCCCTTCCACTAGAACTCCTTCCTCCCACACCCTTCCTTCATGGTTGGTGTATGGGCTGCCTATCCCATCACTGACGACATCGGAGGCTTTCCCAGGCAGAATGGTTCTTCGTGTGCTGTCAGCCAGCAATAGGATGCAGAAAGCAGTAAGCCATACGCACAAACCTGGAGAGAAGGAGCCTGCTGCCTTTTTTGGGAAACTTTGTGCAGCTCAGCTCGGCAGGAAGAAGAGCACAAGGTTTTGAGAACTTGAGTTTTCGTTAGGTGTAAACCCTGGCACCAAGAGGAACCCACTGCTGGACTTCAGAGGTGCACTGGTTCCTGCAAAGGCTAAGGAATCCCTGGCTCGTGCCTATGTGCAACACTTCAGAGAATTCAGGAGGGTGAACAGATGGACCACTGCAGAAGCCAGGCTCTTAGGCTAAAAGAGACTGTGTCCAGGCAGCCACTGAGCAGTTCTCTCCTCTCTGGTGCATATATTTTTTTTCTATCTGCTGTTCCATCCAGCTGTATACATGCTTGTATTAAGTGCCTTTGTGAGCAACGTTCCTGTAGGGCTTTAAGATCACTTCACCTCTTCACCCCTGCAGTTGTTATTCCATCCCCATTTGTCTGACTGGGTGAGAAGACACTGTCGTCTTCGATCTCGTTCTTTCTGCAAGCTGGGTCTGTGTTTGTTTGAAGGCTTGGCTCATCTCCCTCAAAGCGTTTCTGCTCTGATTATGGATTGTGACGTGAGACAGCAGGTAAATATACCAAGTAAGAAGGAGCTGTTTTGCAGCTACACGTAACGGTGGGCTCTGAAGGGAAAACAGAGTGCTGTCCCAATGTTACTGTTGCTTTATGGAAACTACCCTTCTCCCTCTGTGGGAGAAGGGAGTCTGTGGGAGAGTAGACAATTCTGCTAACAGCATTTTTGGTAGGTGGTATCTTGGTTGGTTTTCTTGCTAGTAACACAGCGATTCAGTCTCTTCTCAACCCAGTGACTGTGGAGCTGCCTGACTAGATCTGTTTTCTGAAGCCAGGAAGCCAAGAACAGTTCTGTGCATGTAGGGAGGTGGAGAGGGTTTGCTGGGAGCTGGCAGCTGCTGGGGTAAATTACCTGCACTGGCAGGTGAATCGATGTGTTGAGTGTGTTCTGGAAGAATGCTACCTGATCCTCAGCAGCCCTGCGTCTCTAGTATTGCCCAGCCTTGAGCTTCAGCTGAAATCACAAGGTTTTGGTGGTGATGGTTTCTGGGTTTTGTGGGTGGGTGGTGGGGTTTTTTTTGTTGCTTTTTGTTTTAATCCCTTTGTGTATGTTGTTGGCCCTGCACTAATAATATGAAAGGTCTGGTCGGAAAATCCTGGGACTGTGGCACAAGAGTTACAGATCGGGCCTAAGATGCAGAAGCAGAGGGAAGAGCCTCCTCCTAGATACTGATGTTTTCAGATGTGCACAGATCATACTCCCTGACTCCTGGTGTGTGGCAGGCAGCTGGGGGATGTTGGCTGAGTGATGCAAATTCGCTGTACATTATCTCTGATGAATAGATGGATGGTGGCAGGGTTGGGGTGTCCCTTGAGATCCCTGCCGTATTTGGTGTTGTGTGCTCCTGATTCTATGTCCCAGTTTAAGGTGACGACCATGTCCCTCTTTGTGCTGTTTGGTTTCCCCAAGTGGCCCTCTATAGCCAGCGGATAATAGAGGAGTAGCTGCACTTGGAACATGGCTGTGCAGAAACTGGTGACTGACTTACTGAGTGTCCCTTATTTCCTCTTACCCCTTTTCATCCAGTGAGCAATCCTTCATAAGGAGGTGAAGGGGACACCTCTATTGCTTCCTGACTCTAACCGAACACACTACGAGGTTTCTGACCACTTCCCTGGCCCTATTGTGAAGGAAAAGACACTCAGTGGGACTGTGCTAACTGTTTTTTCTAGCAGTCAAGTATGACCTTCTGACTGTTTGGAGCTGGAGCCTGACCCTAGGAGTTTAAATTCACACAAAGGTCTCTCCTCCACATGAGTTGTCTGTAAACGTTTTCATGGCACATACGCATTTTGTGGTGCCTGCTGAGATGAACTGGAGCTTGGCAAGCCCAGAGAGAGGGATGCTGTGGGCTGGCAGGTTTGTGATCTTCTCAGACCTCATCCTGCTGGCACTTAGGAAGATTAAGGCAGAATGACCTCCCAGGCTTAATGAACCCCTGCAGTGAAGGTAGCCAACCGCTCTGTCTCTGTGAGTTACACGCGCAGAATTCAATCATGAGCCAAAAGAGCTCTCGGAGTGTTGACAGGTTTGAGATAAGTGGTTTTGTGGAGTCCTGCTACTCCTGGCTGGGAGAAAGCAGAGCAGATCGCAGATCATTTCCCTGTTGTGATCACTTCCTCCCACAAGCAGAGATTGGTTACTGCTTTGCAGCCTGTCTGTCGGTGTAGCCTTGTTCCTCCTCTCTTCATGAGCTCTGGCATGGGAGATATGCTTTGAACTGCTTACACCGAGACACTCTTAGTGGTGTTCTCCCAGGCAGCATGGACTCTGGAGGGCAGGTAGGAACAAAGGGCCTTGGACTACTGTAACCATTCCATACCTTGGTCGAGCCCACGCCAATATAGTTGGGGTAAAGTGCTAAAGTAAGTTTCTTTTTGCACTCACTCCAGAGGGAACTGGAACCATTCAGGACCCTAAAACGGTTGGTTGCAAGGCTGGGTTTTTTTCAGAAGGAGAATGCAGTGATGATTCTCTAGTGTATAAGAAGTTCATGTGGTTGTACTCTGCATAGCAATTGTGACATTTTCTTTAAAGACAAATCTTTGTTTACAGTCCAGGCTTCTTCCTGAAAGGATTTACGTTGTGAATTCCTTGGGAGATGGGAAGGATAAAGTAACAGGACATGTGAAAGGGTGGAAGAGTTGCAAGCTTCAGATGCATACTTGGAGCTCTCCTTTTAATAGCCATGAGAATTAGCTAGAAGCCCTTGAAGGGTAATGCTCCCTTTTGCACTTACAGCAAGGGCAGACTGTTGTGATGTCTTGTGCACTAAAAAACAGTTTCTTTTCTGAGTATTTTCTTGCTGAGCTTGTTATTGGCCACACTGGTAGAAAAATGTTAAAACCTAGACGTAAAGAGTCAGTCCTTGGACTCACCGAGTTGGTAGCTGCCTAGATCCATGCTGCCTGGGTGCTGGAGCAGGGGGAGCAGGCTGAATTTGACGGGTTACTTGTGGGTTGTGTGTGTGTCTATCCTCAAGGCCCGGACCAGTATCTTGCAGTAAAACTGCATGCACATACCTGGCAGTACAGAAAACAGTAGCCTGCTGGCCCTTGAAAAGCTTTTCCTGTGTAAGAAGAGAAGACCCAGAGCTGGTGAGAAGCAGGGAAGAATTTTGGTAATATCTAGCCTTGATGTTTCTCTGCCCGGACTTGGGCAGAGTTTATTCTGCTTTAACCATGACCATGGCATTTGCTGTTTCACACACAGATCGTGTAGACTTCTGCAGACCAGGGCAAGTCTTAAGGGACCAGAGTTCTGATGTTGCTGCTGTTGTAGTATTAACCCCCCTGTGTCCAAATGTCAGCACCCCACCATTTGGTGACTGTACTAAGAACTGCGCGCCGTTAGATACACCCTGTAAAAGGTGGCTTGGCACTCTTTAACTGTGTCGTCTTAAATTGTGCTCTTTTGTAGGCAAGTCACAGGTCCCTACATTGACTGTTTCTCCGTTTAACTTGTCCTTAAATGACAAAAGTCACTGGTGAGCCTGAGTTGGTGCTGCTTGCGACTCCTAATCACATTTCAGCCTTCATGCTATGATGGTGCTTTTTTTCTTTTTAAGTAGTTTGCTTTCAAGTGTCTTAATGAAACCATTTGCTGTAAAATTTCTTCTGAAGATAAAATGGATACTGCCTCACTGCCCAATGTCTTAATAATGTGCTTGGTTTTTTCCTTCTATATGAATGTATATTGCCTCATTAGGGCAGGAAGTGTTTGTGATTATGGATGTGTTTTCCTGTATTGTTTTCAGTGAAGAACTCTACAGTTTCCTAGATTTTCTTCCCCTATCAGAATGTTTGTACAGCAAAAATCTTTCTGCAGACAGGTGAGGCTCACTCTGAAATGCAGTAATTCAGCCTCCCAAGATCTTGTCTTTATGGAACTCTTCCGCTGATAATCTGAAGAATGATGGGCTCTGGAAGAACTGTGAGTGTGGGGTTTGGGGTTTTGGTTTTATTTTTTTAACTTAACCTTTAGGAAGAAACTTTGTGAAACACATTTGTGAGCTTTGTTGAAAGGATTGGCGCGCGCGTGTGTGTGTGTGTGTGTGTCCATTTTGCATCATATGCAGTGTTTCCAAGTGGATGCAATTGTGAATCAAAATAAATTATTAGAAATCACCTGTGGAGTGGCCTGTTGATTTATGACCATGTACTCAGCCAGTCACATGACCAAAAGTGGCCATCATCTCGTGGCTGTTTAACTGTGAACAGGATTTGGGAATAAGGGAGCAACAGGCTAAGAAGAAGCTAGGAAACAAGTATTCTTCTAGTTCTGCAAAAATTGGTATTTGGGTTTTTTGGGGCTGGGATGAAAGCGGGACCTGCTGGCAGTTCTCACCACCCTGGACACCCTGGAAATGAAGGATATTCCCCTGCAGTGGTGCTCTGAACTGGGGTCTTGTGTCTCAAGAGCAGACCGTTATCAGATACTGAGTGTTTGTACCTGATCAGGTTCCTAGCCTTTTTTGTCCAGCGTCATGCTTTCCTTCCTACACCTGCCCACACAATACATTGTGAACCCCAAAACGGGGGCTCAAACAATCTCTTCCTTTAAACCCTCTTCTAAGCCATATTTGGAAATGATGTGGATATTCTCTGTGCAGACAGTGGGAAGAGATGTAGCCTTTGATTCTGTCGGTACCTTGGGACATCTGCTGAAAGGCAAGATGACTTTTAATGAGTAGAATCACAGGTGCCTTTGATTGTTCCCAGAGTTCTGCTTTGATTTGCCTGGGTGGCATGTCTGTCTGCTGTTCAGCTATTTCTCTTTGAAGATTACTTTGCACTTGCTGACAACAAGGACCTTGCACTAGCAGTGAGCCAGGTGTGTAGGTAGTGTGGAGAAGGGTGTCAGACTTCTAATGGCCTAGCAGCCACCAACTCTGGTGCCAATGATGGGGACACCTGAGACTATCTCTCCCCAGCTTTTGTTTTGTTTTGTTTTTCCTTGTGGCTTGCCATGGTGTCCCCAGTTTGAGCTGGGCCTGAGAGGTGCTGAAGAGACTGGTATGCAGATTTTACCGAGAAGAAGATATTTTTGTGGTCAAAGTAAAGCATGTAAAAACTCTGGAGCGGAGATGTCAGCTGGGGATGGGTTTGGGCAGAAGGGGAGTTTGTGATCATTTCAGGGTTCTGTGTTTGCTGTTGTACCAAGACGAAAGCCCTCCCACCGCTGCCTGCGCAGGAGAAGGAAAGTCTGGCTGTGCAGCCACCTCCATCTCTTGCTAAGAAAAGCAAGGACCTGACAGGCAGGAATGTGCCTGAGCTGTGGGATTTGGGCTGATGGCCAGCATTAAGGCATCGACATCTGCATTAAACCAAGTGCTGGAGCAGGAAGGATACTCTGGCCCAGCTAAAAGCTGAAGCTGTTTCCTTGGTCTGACAAGCTCTTGTGTGTCACTCTCCTGCTGGGAACTGTTTGATGGAGCTTTAATTTGCAAAACACTTACATCATACCAGGGATTTTAGGGGTGTCCTGTGCAGTCTCTCAACAGCATCATCAGGCACAGCTTTACTTCTGCCAAGGAGGTATAAGTTGTTTCAGCCAGGTGTGGATTGAATGGGGAAGTCAAGGGACTTCTCCATTTCCCTTTGGTTTTGACTGGGCTCAGTATGAATATGCTTGATCCCTGAACATCATCCCTTTCCCTCAGCTGGATCCAGCTGAGTCTTCAGCTCCACGCTAGCATGGAATTAGCAGTAGGCAAGGGCAAAGGGGTGTCAAAGTACAGCTCCTCCTGGATCATCATTTTGGCTTCTTACTGCTTGAACTGTCCAGCAGAAGAGCATCTTAACAGGAGAATCTTTGTCAAAGCTGTTAAGAATAGAAGAAAACTCTAGAAGGTAAGAGTATTGGAGACAAAGGCCAGTTTTCAAAACTAAGTGTTGACTGTTTCAGGCTCTGGGTGGGGGAAGTTGTGTTCCACATAAGCAGCATTATTTTCATGGATGTTGAGTGGGCACTGAGGTGAGTGGGAGCTGTGGACCTTGAGGACAAAATGTGCAAGTGTGGCATTGCTAGGGCTAGAATCTGCAGTTTGGTAAACTGGAAGCACCCTTGAGTTGCCAGTGGTTTGGGACACCAAGTGTGGCTGCTGGCCGCACTGGGGCATTGGTTTGGTAGCTCAGTCCCCAGCTCTGCTCCTGCCTGCCTCTTTGGCTCAGTCCTCTGCAAAAGATGCTCCCCTTCTGCAGTGCCCGTTCTTCCCCGCAGGATGAGTTACTCAGCCCTCTCTCAGCTTGTCGCTTCCTCTTGCAATCTGCCTTTAATGCAGCCAGATGGTCTGTACTCGCCCACACTCCACGCAGGCACCTTCAGCTCCCTGCGCTTGGATAACGCACTCATCTGACCTGCTGGTGGTCAGGTCTGTCATCAGCCTTTGGGAGATGGCAAACCTTCACCTGTTGTAGAGGATAGCTGTGGGAGGTCAGCTGGGAGTGACAGTTGTCTTCAGACCTGCACTGAGAGTCTGCTCGACAGCCTAGCCTGTGTGGGCAGGAAGGCTCTCTGACCATATCCCTGTGAGCTCTCCACATGGATAAATTCCTGCTGCTAAAGGCTCTGGAGCCTGCTGCTGGGCCTGGGTACCTGACCTGTCCTGTACCACTTCATCGGCAGTGCTCAGTGCTGGTCCAAGTCCCTGACCCTGGATTTCTCCGTATCAGAAGCATTTAGTCAGCTTCCGATACAATTTGCACCCAAAACTCAGTTGTGTTCATTTCAGATTTGGATTTATTGGAAACTTTCAAGGCGTATACAGGTTTTTAAAATTATCTGCTATAATGGATAACAGTAAACTGTCTTCTTCCTGGCGTTACCCAAGTGCTCCCTGTACTGCCAAACGCTTTTGGAGAGAACTTTGCCTATCTTGTTGTGAGGGGGAAGCAATTCCAGATTCCTGCCTTATGCTGTTGCTAAGACAAGGCGTACTGTACCTTAATGGCATTACCCTGTCTGCACTGTGCTGCAGGTTACAGTTAAACAGTGAGAAGAAACTTTCGTTTTAATCATGTCAGCTTTAGCTTATGTAAAAATACAGTCTGCCTTTTTCTTGGATTTCTGGTTTTTTTTGAAGTCTTGGATCAAGTGAAAAGGCCCAAACAGATTTGCACAATACGTCCTTACAGTTAACCGGCTTTGGGAAATCTTTAAATGCCAAAAAGATAGAGGCTCAGAAACTTGGAATCCCCACGTCTCACCACAGTCAAAACACTGTGCTTGTGAGCTGGCCAGTGCTGTGAACTAGGCAGTCCCTTGAAAAAGAATCCAAGTTTTAGATTGCCTGTATGCGATGCTGTGATCTGGACCGTTAGCAAATATGACATGCATAAATAGCTCTTCCCTCTCCTCCTCCCATCCAAACTTCCCTGGCACAGTCAGCTAGAAACTGTTCTCAGGATGGCCAAGTTTGCAGTAGTGGGTAGGGGTCAGCTGACTGTCAGGTCTGTTCCCTCTCTGATCAAGCTGTGTCCCCCTACAGAGTACTGGCAACAGAAAAGCACCAGGGCACTGCTTAAGGAAAAATAGGTGCAGCTCAGTTCTGTGCTTCCTGTGATGGAGGAGGATTTGTGTCAGTGCTGCAGCTCTGCTTGTAGAAACGGTCTGGCCCCACAGGGACTTCACACAAGGAGCACCTTGTGGGGAATAATCTCTTGAAGTGCAAAGTGAAACTGTCAGGTAAGTTTCTGTATAGGCTTGGTTTACCACAGCAGGGGCCTCAGGGAGCTTCCTGTGGCTGTAAGGCCCTTTGCACTGGGCAGGACTTCCCCTCGGATTTGTTTCAGTCAGTAGGAAGGTAACACAGAAGAGAACCGTGTCCCCTTTGGCTTTCTTCTGTCATGTTAGGAAGTCGGGGAGAATTTCAGCTACTCTCCTGCGTAGTTGGTTTCTCCTTTCCTCTCTCTCTCTTTCCTTTTCCATCAGTAATGGGTACTGCCTCCACGCCTTGAATGCATTCAGCAGGAGTCTCCTTGAAGAAATCAGGGACACAAAGAACAAAGTGATGACATGCAGATGTGTGTGTAACATAACAGGTAATTAAAAGATGACTTCTATGTGAAGGGGCAACTCTCCTAAAACACTTGGAGGATTTGTCCTTTCTGCTGCTACTCAGGGCTGTGACATGTTAAAAATCTGCATGCTGACCATTCCATTCATGTGTCTGTCATCCCAGGAAAAAACAATACATTGCCCTTCTGTTCCTCTCCCCAAAGAATTTTGCCCCTTCCTCTGACAGGATTTACTAGCTGGTGTTTGCTTAAGCACTCTGAAGATAAAAGATGTTTCTTGTAGAATAAAGGGTCTCTGAAAACAGTTTCTTCAGGAAAAATGTAGGCTTATTTGGTCCAGATCAACCACTTAGGAGCACAGGTAGCTGGGCTCCAATTCTTAGCAGATTTTAATCACCTCATCAAAGGTGCCTTGCCCTGGGTTCCCATAGGGACAATAGGGAGCAACAGGCCTGTCTAAAGAATAGTTTGCTATGTCAAGGTCTGAACTGCCTTTTGTGGGGCAAGAGGTAATGTGGAATGACACTCTTAACATGAGGTCATGCATAGAATGAATGCAGTCTCTTCCTGGGTCTAAATTTTCCCTGGTTCCTCCAGTTTGCTGGCTTGTTGGGTTAAATCATGCACTGTTCTGATCTTACTGACACAGCAAGCTTGAACAGGTTTACTCTACCACATAAGAGGTGAATTTAATTTAATCCCTCCTCCAAGGTGCTGCAGATCCTGTTTGGGCTATGCACAGGAGCAGCCTATTCGTGACTGCATGCAGCTGGCATGATTTTATGGGAAGGGAGATAAATATACTTCTGTTTTCTGCTGAACTTTGACAATAGTTTTTTCTTCCTGTTAAAATGCACAGCTAATGCAGATATGGGACAATGAGTGAACTGGGTGTGTCTGTGTCCAGCTCATTATGATTGGTAGAACTGTCTGCTGTAGCTCTCACTGCCAAGTCAGGCTGACGATGGCATAAACGAACAGATTCCTTAAGTAGGGTTTCTAGTTCATCAACTTTGGATTTGTGAACTAAATCATCTGCTGTGGACAAAACAATACGGTGTAATTCCTGCACAATCATTTGGCTTGCTATAATTGTACTTAAAGATTTTCCTAAGGCAGCTTTAGCAGAAGCTGCATGGCCAGATCTGCTAATCAGCTTAGAAAGTTTCAGCTACTTATCCGCTTTCACTGTATTCTCTTTCAGCAGATTTAAAAGTCTTGTGAAGGGTACCACTAAATTTCCTTTTCCAGGCTCCATGGAAAATTCTTACCATAAACCTCTGCTGATGTCTGTGCATATCACAGAAGCAAAATACCCGCTGTAAAGAACCTGTTTCACATGTTCTTGGGGAGCAGAAAATTGACCTGTCAAAAGTAGTCTCTAAAATAATCTATAGAGTATATTAAACCTAAGTTAAAAGAACTGCTGGCAAGGGAATGCACGTACTTGTTACTATGTTCGGTAGTGATCTTCAGCTTCTCCCATAAGGTGCTTTTTTCCTCCATGACCAGATCAAACCATGCCCAGAAGTACTTCTTCATGAGGCAGGCTGCATGGAAGGTACTCGCTCTGTCCTCCAGAGTGGAGAGATAATCCTGATACTAGGGAACGAGGACAAAGAAAGAAGTGAGAATGACTTCTTTCTCCCAACCCCCAGCTCAATAAGCAGAAACAGAGCAGTGCTGAGACTGTGGCACTGAAGGATAATGGGGACGTGAGTGGAGGAAAATCAGCAGGGAGTAGGGGGAGAGAGTGCAAAGGTGGAAGAGCAGTATGTAGGAGAATATCCTGAGTGGAGAATGATGGAGAGCAGAGAGCTGAAAGGTCTCTGAAGAAGGGAATGACGTTGGCTGGAATGGGGACAGTGTAACTCAGTGAAAGTTGGGCCGCAGGTGTGTGAAGCAGCACTGTGGTGAGGGGAAAGCATGGCAGCTTGCTTGGTATTGTTTTTCCACTGTGGTGCAGGCGAACCTTTAGCCAGTTCCTGAAGCCCTGTCTCAGCAACATACGGCAATAGAAGTCCTCAGCCCGAGACACCTTCTCCATGAGGGTCTCCTGGGTGTGCTGGAGCCAAGTCACCAGGCATTTCCTCTGCAGGCTTAAGCAGTGGTGCCTTTGTGCCACCTGAGTAAAGACAGCAGGCATGGCAGCTAGTTACTTCAACTATTGATTACATAAACATAAAGCTACAGAAAACTGGGTACACTAGAAAATCACCTCAGCTTTTGGGGGCCCCCAAAATGCAGATGTCTGACAAATGGAATAATTTACAGGATAGGTTCCCACCAAGAGGGGTCAGCTTAAGCAATAAGACGGGTCTCTGTATCAGGCTACTGATGCATCACTTCTGGAGAATACTCTTTTGAATTAGATGCTTGATTTAACCTGTTGCGAACAGATGCTTGATTTAACCTGTTGCGAACAGAGCAGAGGCATGGCCTCTAACAGTTCAGTCCAGCCCCGTCCATAACACTAACCAGCAGGGTGGACTTACGGAGCAGCTGCTGTCCCTCTGCTGCTTCCCAGCTGGAGGCCTATGGGCATTTGGTGGAGTACTGTAAGTAGCTGCAGTTCCAGTGAGTTAAATGGAAGCTTGCCAACTTAGCCCTGGGCTCTGGCTAAATCCTCAGGATATGGTTGAATGTTATTAGTCCACCCCTGATAAGGCATGCCAATTCAGTCATCTACGGAAATTTTTCATTAGCAGTATTTATGTGTTAAGGTCTCAGAAGCTACCATTTTCTATTCTTGCACTGAAGGTATGGCCAGACTAGAACAGATCACTGGATTATCACCTGTGGTGTCCTACCTCTAAAAGTAGCCAGCACTGCACCAGCAGTGACTCCAGAGAGAGGGCAAGCCCTCACGATGGGCTGGGGTTAACTGTACTATAACGATAGTGGCTTGGCAGTATCTTACTGATTAGCTTTGCTGTGGAGCAAGAGAACTAACTGGCTCATGTCATATAACTTCAATTTATTTTTTTGGCTGTATCATACCAAACTAACTCCCACTGTAGTTATTGGCATCAAATCACGTGGCAGTTAGTACTGCAGATAAGTGGAGGTTAACAAAAGATGACTTCTCATTAGATGGAAATTCATTCCTTTCTCTGTACTTTTGGTTCCCGTTTAATCAGCTATAAATGAGGATGCCACCCTTGTGGGTTTTTGATGACCTTTCAGAATTACTGTCAGATGGGCTGATTTAAAGAACTAATATAGGGCAGGATGTGAGGCAGAATTTTTTCTTTTTCCATCTCTACCTGGCATAAGAGCCTATTAAGGTTTTTGCTAAGTGCTGCATCCATTCTTTTTCCCTTCCTCCTATGGCACCAGTCCTTTACTTTATCCTCAGCACTTACCATTAGGTTTTCCTTGGCTTGCTCCCTCAGCCTTTTCCATGGAACCATTCCCAGCTTTCTTAGCAGGACCTTCTCATAGTGATCTCTGGCCTTTCTCTGGAGCTGCTGCTCTTTCTCCAGCCTCTTCTGCTTCTCCAACTCTTTCTACAATACAAAGACCACTAGTTTTAATTCACTCTGGATGAAGAGGATGTTAAGCAATGACAATAGATTGTCACATTGGAGCTGGAGGTCCTGACCTGACAGAAAATAGGGATCTGCATCATCTTTAGCAGTGCAGACCAGACATGACCCCATGTAGTAGAACCTGTGGTAGAAAGCAGAGCAAGCTGCCTTGCAAATTCTTATAGAAGATGATGGCATTTCTGGACATTTCCTTGGGCCATGTATCAGAACACGGCCTTCCCTCAACACTGCAGTTTGTGTTACCGTAGCAGACGTGTAATATGTGGCTACCAGCAATGACTGACGTAGCAGGAACCTCCTTTTGGTGGGCCTTCATCAGTGTGGGGAGGGGTGGTGAGCTTGAGGAGGGCAGCTTTCTATATTTATAAAACTAGACTGAAAACATGTCCAAAAATGATTCTGAGTTTACATATGGACCCTACCACTTAATCTAACCTAAATAGTAGGGGAGGGATGTGGGTATTATATAACTGTACAATATTACTTTAGACTGAGACTCTGGGATGAAGGTCAAACATCCTAAAGCACTCAATCCAAGTAGAACAGTAGTTGTAGGTCAAATTCCTGTAGGATTTCAAATGTGTTATTTGGGTTATTAGGACAGCTCATTTCCAAATAACAATAACGAAGTGGGGCTATTCCTAGACTAGCTCCAAGGAGATAATGCTTCTCTTCTTCAGGTGAAAAGTTGCCCTTGATATACATCAGGCTTGTTTACTTTTAAATTGTGTGCTTGTGACTTGTATCCCCCTCCAGCATACACGATGATACAAGTGGAAGGAGCAGCCTGAAAGCAGGCTGAATGTGCTGCCAGTGTGGGGGTTTATGTGACTATACCTCAGCAGTGAACATCCACCAGCTGGGACCTCTAGTCCTGCTGATGAGACAGAGCCAGTATATACTTCATAGGGTATTTGGTCCACAGCCCTTCCCCCTAATATTGCCAAAAAGAGGAAGGTGGTGAGTCTATACAGTAGCTGCTGTGCTGTAAAACTCTGCTCTACTAATGAAGACCTTTTAGTTTGTATTACTCTGGCTGCTGACTGAGTGCTAGTGCATAATGGCTCTTCTTCCCTAATCCCTGCTAAAGGGGGAGAAACAGGGGAAGTGTTTGGTCACCAGCTTCTGCTGCCTTCTCTCCTCCCGTCGTTTTTCCTTCTGAGCTTCCTTTTCTTCCGCCTCCTTTCTCTGTCTTTCTTCCTCTTTAGCCTTCAGCTGGGCCTTGAAATGGAGAAAATGGAGGGAGGTAAAATTAAATTTGGCACGTGACCTTTTCAGAGAACACTGACCTCTAAGATTTCCCAGTATTCCTCTTGTATTGACCAGCTCCTGAAACTTCAGAAGGAAGCAGACTGTCACATACTAGACATGATCTCTGCTGGACAATGAACCGTGGAAGGGAGAGGAAGGAGGGACTGTTCTTTCTGCTACCTATATATATCTTTCTACTACCTATATATCTTTCTTTGCCCTAAGTTACAGTATTTTCCCACTTTTCCTTTAAAAAATTTAAACCATGCACCAAGTTATTTGATAACCTGATTGCTGAAGTCAGTTCTGACTCCCTGGGCTCTGCTCTGAAGTTTCACTTATGTGAGCAAAGCAACATTACAGGTGCTCAAACATTTCTTTCTCCAAACACCGAAGATCAAACTAGTTGTTTTACTGCAATACAGGTCATACTTGGCACAATATCCTTCTCTAAAAGTTTATCTACCCCCCTTGCAAATCCAAATCCACTTTCATTTCACAAAGCTTTAGCTCTTGATGTATGTATGCATCAAAGGCCAAAAATCCACACCAACCATAATACACGATTGCTATGACTTTGCTTCCTGATCGTGGCAACTGCAGATGTTGCAACTGCTAGTTGTTTTAGGACTCCAGTTCTGAACTTTCTAATCCTAATGTAACTTACTATCAATGTTTTCAGTAACAGCTTAATGCCCTGAAGCGAAGAAGGCTCCTCTGTTGGATGTGTATCACAGAATTTGGGTATTAAGTATGCAAATGTTGCCAGTATCTTCCCTCTTCAGCAGAGACTTGCTAGAAGGATGCAGGATTTTTACGAGGTGAGACTGCACATCCTCAAACTGCATGAGACCAGACAGGAAAGGCAGGGGAGGGGAAACCCACCATCACCAGGTTTAATCAAGTGGATCTCTGCATGCCCTTCCACTCTTCCCATCCTTGGCAAGGACAAGTTACAGTCATGGGGTAAGTGTGAAATAAATGTTGGGGTGGTGCTAAGGGAGGCTGCTTCCGGAATTGCAAATGCATTGACATGAAGTGTCTGTGATAAGGCAGGGCTAGTGCTGTCACCATATGTAAATGCAGCAATAACTATTTTTAATATGTGCTGGACATCTGCTTTCTCACAAGCTATAAAACTCCTGTTTTGGATAAAGGGCCTTCTCTTGGTCCCTGACGCTGGGGTTCAACCAGGATTTCTTGTAGCTGGAATGGTGTGAAAGAGACTTTATTTCACTTTCCACTTTCCTTACCAATTTTTCCTCTTCTCTTCGTTGTTTGGCTTCTTCTAGTTTCCTCCTCCGTTCTGCCCGTTGAGTTGCTCTCTCCTCCATAGCTACAGAAACAGAGCACGTGAGGCTTAGTGGAAATGAGCTATAGGATAATGGCAGAAGTTTGGTCAATAAGGATGACCACTCTACTGCCAGGTGCCTGCCCCATTGACCTGGCAATGCCAGCACAAAGGGACTTGCTTTCTGCTGCTTCTTATGGCTGGTAGTGTCATGAACCAAGGAACCCGTAAACGTTTATGAGATGGCTCAGGACTACCCCCATGAGATTCACTCCACACTCTTTGGTTGACAGTCACAGCCGTGAGGCTCAGTTATAAAAGGAGCTGTGTTTCAGGGTTTTATCCCTGTCTTCCCTGATTGAATGCTGAGGCTCAGGGCACCTGATTTAGCAGCAATTGCTATGAGGTCTCCAATAAGCTCCAATTGCTTATTTAAAGAGAAACTTCCTAATGGAAAGCATCCCTGATGCTATGACACACAAGTACGTGGTCCCACGAGTGAGAAACTACTGCTTAATGCTGCTTCTGAGAGATAAATTGCAATGTGGTGATCTTGCTGGGTGTCATGAAAGTGTAACAGTGCTGATGTGACCACACAGAACTTGCAGTGGAGTTGAGAACCTGTGCTTGCTTCTTCTGAAGTCACAAATGAAGCACAGGCAGGAGCAATCAATAACTGGGGGGCATTTAAGTGTTTTGACCACAATAAATTTCCTTAGATTCCTTTCTCCTCTCAGCTGTGCCAGGATTCTTTGTCAAGGGAATATCATCCAGTGATAACTTACTGAATTTTTTTGGATCTTCACACAAAAGCACCTGAGTGCTCTGAAAATACGCTTACAGTCTCTAAGGTGTACAGAGTTCAGGCCAATTGCAGCGAGTGATGGCTTGGACTAGGTAGCATTGAAGCTGAACACAGTTAATGAAAGGCAACTATTAATGCTCAACTGTAATGGCCAAAAAGCTCTGGTGATCCCAAAACTGTTAAAATATCACAATGATCATATTCCAGATAGAGGTTCATGCAGACTGCGATGACCACCTAACTGATATGGAGGAACATGGCCTAGGGGATATAACAGAACCTGATCTTCATTTACTGCATAAAAAGGCTGTGCTGCATGTTTAACATGTATATGCTGTTCCAGTGTGGTCAGAAGAAGGGGAGATACCTCAGAGAAGGCAGAGACCCAGAGTTCCTTCCCCAGCCTAGCTACTATTGTCTCACAAAACCTTGGGGTAGGCACTTAATTCCCTTTGAAATCTCAATACCTCTGTCAAAGTTAGATGAAAATGACTAGTCAGTTTGTTACTTGGATGCACAATGAGGGAGATAAGACCAACAGCAGAAAAATCCTGTAGAGCTCCTCTTTCTGGGTCTTGTCACACCAGAAACAATCACAAATGCTGGAAGTAACCGCTACCACAGTGTACTAAGCGTGGACTTGAGGGGCTTCCAGTGGCCCAGGCTTTACACATGCCTGACTTGGCCATGAAAACACCTCGCCCTCTCACAGCACTGATCAGGCTGGGAAAGAGAGTGCTGATTTTTACCTGCATGCTGTCATCAACCAACAAGGCTAAGGCAAAGAAAGAGAGAATTTTCCAGGCAAGCTGTTGAGAAAAGTGGTCTGGAACAGTCTTTGCCGTCTAGAACAATACCTTTCAGTATGGGATGAGCTGTCAGCTGGCTGGAGGGCCTCCTGCCTTGCATCGCTGCCCTTGTGTTTTCTGGCCCATGAGAAACAGATGAACTATGAAAGGAAAGAGTAAAGAAATTCATCAATGAATGTGGTCAAATGATGTCTCACACCTACCATGTATGGTTGAGAAACAGGCCTTGTAGTTTCTATACTCCATTGTGCTGCATTTTCATTCTGAATCCCTGGTACACCTCTCTTCTGCTTGGAATGGGATTAATGATGTATCCTTGCGTAGGAGTTGAGTACCCAGGGCTGCTGCCTGGGAGAGATGTGATAACACTCTCTTTTTTCCCTAACTAAATAAATCCTTGCTGCTACTATATGTGACATTGGTGTTGCTGTTTCTAAGTGGATCCTGTATGGATCACATAATGTCAAGCCACTGCAAAAAGGGAGAAGGGCAGAGAACTGTGGCCAGCCTGATACCATCCTTGAGGCCAAGTCACAGGTGAGGGAAAAGCAGATAGCGCTACCATGAGTGAAGTGTGCTTGGCAAATTCTGGCTCAACTTGAGTAGGAATGAGACATGCTAATTGAGCCTGCTTTATCATGGGCATGTACCTCAAATGGGTTATATTCTTGCACCTGGATTGGTTTTCTGTCTTTGGTTTTTCCTTCCCAGTTTGTGAAGCAGAGTTGTTAAGCTGCTGGGTTACAGCCGTAGCTTGTGCTGCCTCTTCTTTCACTCTGCTCAGCCTCTGATTTTCCTGTAGTTCAAGGATCAGCTCTTGCTGTTTCTGAAGCTGTTGCTTCTGCTCCTCAATCAGCCGTTGTTGGAAGGCATGACGGTGCTCAAAACAGCTACCATAAGCAGGAGCTGTCTTTGGACCAGGTGTGTGAAACTTCTGGGGGAGAGCAGCTATTCGATTCCTGCACACAGCCTGGTCCTGGGCAGTTAGGGCTGCATGTTTTAGAGTAATCTCCCAGGCAAATTTGGGTTTTCTGTAGGAATGAGGTGTGTGAGCAGCATTCCGACAAGAGTGGTCTCTGGTCTGGTCAGGTTCTTTCTGTATGAGGCAAGTTTCAGTTGGCTGGGGGGAGAAAGAAATGAGGAAAATTTGGCATTGATTAAAACCAAGCACTCTCTTCTGCCCTTCCTACGTAGTGTTTCTTTAATGCAAATCGAGCAGGATGTCTGAGAAGTAGGGTAATATCAGCTATGCAATCATTATCCAGCTCTAGCCAGGGCAGAGGGGCCCTGTTATGCACAAAATGGGAGGCTCTGTGAAAAAAAATCCATTAAGGAGCTATGTGCTATTTCACTGGGAGGAAGAAATCCTGATCAGGGATGAGCTCTGTCAGGAATATATCCTGACTGCTTTCTTAGGAAGCACAGCTCAGGACAGTTCATTTCTCAGGGATTAGCACACTCCCTTTTGGACTCTGGTGTCCCCAGCCAGCACTCAGATGGAAAATAAAGGGAACAGTTGTTGAAGTGATCTACACGGCTGATCTACTGGACAGTCCCTTTTCAGATGGAAGAGAAGTCTACAAGGTGCTGCATCCTCATGCCTATTCTGCAGCTTTGATAAATATTACTATGAAGCTGGTGCACAGTGGGGAATGAGGCTGCACCTTTTCTGACACATGGTCTTTCTCTGAAGAGGCATCAGATGAAAGTTTTGCTTTCTGATTCCTAGGTCAAATCCCAGATTCAGTCCCATCCTTCCAGCCCTAATTTTACCAGTGCATCAGAAGAAAAATATGGGCCTACTAGGATGATATAAGCACTGTAGGAAATCAGCTTTTGCTGACACTTAAGCAAACAAAAAGCTTGACCTGGAATATGTGTGTGTGAGCTCGCATGCTGGGATTGGGACACTGCTCTGGTATGGGTTTTATAGACAGAAAGGAAGGTCAGGCTCTGACCTGACAAATGACAATTTAAGGAAGCAAACACTGATTCTCCTCTCCTACCTCCTTGTGATGTGCATTATGCTGAAACAGCAGTGACAACTTTTTTCTCCCATGCTTAAAAGCCAGAGCTGCACTGGCATGACAAAATCTCTTGTCATGCAGTCAAGCATTATTGTTTTTCAGTCTAAGCAGGCATCAAAGATGTAACTAATCTCTCAGCAAAAGTGATCTGGGGGTGGGATGCTCATTGCAACTCAGTACATGAAGGGTTGTTCTCTGGCAGCATTAGAGATGACTTTAAAACCTCATCTGTTGTCCTTCACATTTGCCTCTGATTTTTAAAGACTTCTCTTCTGAACAGTTGCCGACATATATTTGAGGGTCACCCTGGGAAAGAAGCCTTCGTCTGGGACAATGTACTCTATTTCAGCTTGCACAAAAGAAGTACTTTGTAAAGTTCTGAGACAAAACTACATGGGAATGATTTACCTTGTCTTTCTGTAACTCTTGATGATGGTTTACTTCTGCTGTCCCAGGCTTGTTAACCTCCAGTGGCCCGTGCAGACTGCCTTTCCCCTGTGACACTGCCTCCAGCAGCTGTGCCATCTTTCTCTTCGTCTCCTCCCTCTCGATCTGCCGCTCTCGCTTTTCTGTCTCTGCCTGGCTCCAGCGCTGCCAGGCCAGAAAGCAGCAGCGCAAAAGCCGTCGCTGGTTATGCTCCACAGACAATTGTGTTTTCCTGGGTGAGAAAGCACTTGTGTTATGATAGGATTGAGGCTTCTGCCCAGGCCTGCCTGAAACAATTACATCCAGTACCGCAGTTCAGGCCACGGCATGAGGCCCCATAACTTCCCATGTCTTTTTGTCGCTTAACTCTGAAGGCCCTCCAAAGCTGTACAGAGTTTCTCCAAGGAGGAGTGGGAGGGGAGAAATGATGCCCATTATTTTGAATTACGTTTCTCTAATTCACATTTTGCAATTTCCTGTGTCACTCCTGGGCTGTAGGATGGGTGCAACAAGAGGCATCCTGTTCCCTTGCCAGCTGCACAGGGGGAAGCAGCAGTGCCTCACCATACAGCCTGCCAGACACCTGCAAGAGCAAAATTTTCAATGGCTGATAGGGAATTCAGCCAACAGCCTCCTTAATGAAAGGCACTGGCCAAAATGATCTCTGATATACTACTACTGAAATAGGAAATAACTATATTAATCAGGAATAAATATGGCACCTCATAATCTCTGTGGTACGGAGCAAGCCAGGGTGAGATTTCCAGGAAAGATACCTACAGAGGGAGTGAGACAAAGGCTTGCTGGAAAGTGCTAAAGCTTCTGTTTATCTCTGTCCTCTTGTTCATCTGTGCCACAACACCTCGGGCAGACTGCAGGCAAAGTAGCAATTTTGTCAAAAAGCTACTATTTTCTTCCTGCTGGCTAACTGGCAAGCCCCTTTGACAGTCTACGATCACTGCACAGCCAAAGTACTGCTGCAGAAGGAGGAATTCCACAGTGCAGGATCCCTACCTGTTTTGATCTTGAAGATGAACTTCCAATTGCTGTGTCTCCTGCTCTAATTTCTCGGCCCAGGCATAGTTTCTCCATGCTCGCAGGGCCTTCAGTTGGCATTTCCAGTCATCAAGGGCTCTGGCTTTTCTCATTTTAATTCTCTGCTCCAGAATGACTTTTAGCCAAGCAGAGAAATGTCGTTGCATGCACTGCAAGGGAGAGTTTCCGAAAACCAATGAGCAAGATACAGCGTGCCACACAAATGCTGATCCTCTCCACCCTTCCCCTTACCTGACTTTCATTTTTGAGATTCTTCAGAATCCCCATTTTCAATAATTACCTTGAGGGTAAAAAAAACAATGCAGAGCATGCGCAGGTCTCTTACAAAAGGCAGAAAGATAACATCATGGGGGTCTATGCTTTTGAGTGAAACATATATAGTTCACCAAGTGTAAAGGAATAAAATGGGTGAGGAAGAATGAATTTCTAGAGAGAGGAAAGATATTTCAAAATCTAAAATATGTCTTAAGATACTCCAGGTAAGAACACTTCTGTGGAGAACAGTTCACCAATATCTCCATAGACCACTTTTTTTTTTTTTTAACTTAGACAAAAATCAAGACACTTCCTATTGTGAATTTATGACATGACCAAAGCTCATCCTCGTTCCAGCAGGAAGCCAAACCTTTCCCCTTTTCTGTAATTAGACTTGCTGCCTCTGGGAGTGATTTACATTGCACTGGATGGCAATTTGCTATCTAATCTACCCCATAATTCTAGCCCTGTCACTGCAGACACCGTTCATTTTGATCCTCCAAGTGGGTCAACTCACAGGACTCAGCCGTTCCCCTTTTGTCATAATGCCTTGTTTTAATTGCTTTCCTCTCACTCACTGAAATCTCCAAATGGAGACTTATGAAAAGGACAAAATGTCAATGCATTAACTCTTTCTTTCTTCTGTAGGAAAATAATCAAATGTCACTATTGCTTAGCTCAGCTAAGTCGTGGCTTCTCACATTATGCCAGCCCTAAATTGTATTGTGGTTTCATTCAGGCTTACCTTCCTAGCTTAGATTGTGCTGGAGAGAGGCTGTGCACTGCTGAACAGCAGCCAAGCTCAAATCTAGCATATGGGCAGAAGAAGTGAGCCATCAGGAGAATCACCACAAAAGCTATGGGATTCCTCTATAAAAAAATAAATTCTAGATGTAGATAAGTAGACATTAATGATGATTGCTCTATTAATTTAAAACATTATGTGATGGATGGCATTCTTACCTGCACTCAGTGACATTTATTCCCTTTGCTGGGACTTCCCATATAAAATTACTCAGTACAAAAAGATTGCTCTTTAATTGCAAGTATTTGATACAATTAGATGTTTAACCCAGAACTGGCCATGGTATTAGAATAATGAGGATAAAAGAAATAGGTTCCTACTAGGAGTTATTAAAGTCTGCATGTTTGTCTCAAAAGAGCTGTTGCAATATCACAGAATATCCTACTGCACCCAGTGGGAGTGGATCCTTGAGGAACCCATTATGGATGTGCTGGCATACTTCAGCTCTTGGAGATGCAGCTCAAAATTTATCCCAGACCTCAGCACTTCTATTGTCTCTACTGTCCTTACTCCTACACCAGGGTCTGCAAGGTAATCTTTAAAATACCACCCCATAAGCACAGTAAAAGCTTCTCAGGTCCTTTTCGTGCCACTCCCCCCTCCCCTTTTACTTCCTTCCACAGGGGAAAACAAATCTTGCTCCGCTGCCTCCTCTGTACATCTGCCTGTTTCTCAATTGCAGAAGCCTTTATGTTTGCAACTGTCCCGAGCACCGTGTTTTTTACAATTCTAAGTGAAACCTCCCACTTAAGACACAGACACACTAGGGATGGAAGGTCTGGATTTCTTGCTCCTAAGTCTTACAAAATACTTCTTGCCCTGCTCTTCTACTTTCCTGGTATCAGGAGAAGGCCTTGGAAGAAGTAAAAAATTCTGATAACCAGGACTTTTTACTTCAGTTTTGCAAATGGTAGCTGAGGGCAGGGAGCTCAGAGTCTCAGATAAAGAAGGGTGATGCTCACTCTCTGTTTATTGATGTGAATCCTGCGCAGCAGCTCCTGAACCCTTCTCTGTTTCTCCTCTTCTTGCTCTTCCTTCTTCTGGACCAGGGGTAGTGGTGCAGTAACAGATACCTCCTGCATTGACAGCTTCTGACTCTTTTCTTGTGTCTTCCCCTCCCTGGAGAGTGAACAAACATACAGATCTAATGCAATGAGGAAAGTATTGTAGATTTCACTCTCTTTTTGGCCAATCCTAAGAGAATTGCCTCTACAGCTTAGAAAATTGCTGATTATTTAACTTGGCCTTCTTAGAAAACAGTTTCTATCATGGTTTGGAGTCCCAGAAATTAAACAGTCTGAGCATTTTCAAAATATAGCAGGCAGAAGAAAATAGTAAGATTTCAGTAAAGCACTTGCATGAGAAAATTTAGGATCTTGGGGCTGCCTAAGTAAATAAATGGCATCCCTACAAGTCACATCTCTATGACAATCCAAGCTGAGCAGAAGCAGAAATTATGCCTCTGCAAAATTCTCAGCCAAGAACGTTCTTTATTCTCTCATAGCAGAGGAAGTATTTTAAGTGCTAGACTTTCAACACAGACTATCTTTTGTGTGTGTGTGTGTGTACTGCCTTTCATGCTGTATTAGATGCTAACAGGGCTGGATGTGGCCACAGAGCTGACAGAATGCATGGTGGTGCAAATACACTCCTACTTTGTGATTCAGTGTACATACTGGTAATGGCTATGGGGAGGGTAACACTATCTTTAGCCCATCTGCCCGGTAACGATAAACTCACCCACTGACATTGGTAACAAAGGAATAAAAGGTTTTGGGAGAGTTCGGAGCCAGAGGAATAGCAGATCTTTCCTTTGGGACCACCACTCCTTTTACATTTACTAAAAGGAGCTGATAAGAAAAGTGTCCTTCATACGGTTATTTCCACGCGCTCCCTCTCCCTCTTACATTCTCCGTGCTTCTGCCATGGTGTGCCTCTTCTCAGCCATTTCCTTTCGCAGCTTCACCATTTCCCTCTGTATCTCCTCCTCCTCCTTCTTGGCCTTCAGGGCTTTCCTTCTGTCTTCCTCCTGTGCTTGCAGCTTGGCCTCAGCCAGAATTGATTTCTTCAGGAATTTTTCTTGTCTCTGAAGCTCTAATGCCTTTTGACGCCTCATTCGGTTTTCTTTTACCTGGGGAGGAGGAAATCAGCAAAAGTCAAAGCAGATGTCAAAGGCTGAAGAATCTGAGGTTTATCATACACTACTAGCAGGGTGGGTCATAATCCACCTTTCACATGAAGCAAGCAACTCTATCCATAGTTGGCACTGGCTGGACTGGTTCTGCTCTCAGACCAGCAAAAAATTCCATTCCAGAGAGTGAAGTTAAACCAGTACTACTTGATGGGACCAAACTCAAAACTGACTGCCATGGTGGCTTTTCCTGTCAGTCTTCACAAAGGGAGAAAACCTGAAGAGATGTAGAGAAAGTTGCCTGTGCAAGCTACTGTGAATGGCTAATGTGCACGTGGAAACACAGTAAAGTTTCAGCCAAACTGTGGAAGAGTAACCTCGGGTATTTGCCTCCAAGTCAGAGATTATTGCAGGTTGGGAGAGAACACTGGGAAAGTATCACTGAGCATTTACTGTAATCCTATAATCCTCCATTTTATTTGTTTTAACTGTGCTGCCTTGCCTGCTCACCTGCTTGTGTCTGAGCTCCATGATTATTCGTGGATCTTCAAGTTTTTGTTTTTCCTTGATGTCTTCAAGCCTAAGGTTTTTCGCTATCCCACAGTTCACAGCTTCACTCTGCAAAAGATGCTGTAGGTATTCTTGGACAGTAGAACTTTCCAATTCACGTTCCAGATTGCTGCACAAGTCTGAAATGAGAAATTCAGATTATCTCAGGCTAGTCTGAAATGAATAAACTCCTCTGTCTCAGATCACAAAGCCTAATGTAATTAAACGGATCACTTTCCCAGACTGTGAATGCATTTCTGATGAAAGCCGACACACTGACTGCACTCCATTTATCCCCAAAGAGCCTTAATCAGTCTCCCATTGAACATGCTAGAGCAGTAACAACATTTTGTCCGTTTTTTACTGCCTTGCCTCTGAGCACCTCAAATGGCTGTATGAATTTGACAGGCCTTACAAATATCCATACAGAAAATAAAATTTCTCTTTTGCAAAGAGAAACATCAAATGTTTATGAGGTGCACTTGTGTAGCACTATGGTGTAAGAGCTGGGGGAGAAAAATCACCACCTCTAATCTTGTTTCTACTGAGCCCACTATCGTGGCCTCAAAGCAACTTTTACCTCTCGGTCTGACAAGCTATGAGGCCTGGCTCCCTTACCCAGCACATCCTCAGAAAGGAAGCCAGGAACTGCTTTGTTGTGCTCTCACCATCAAACCGCTCATACTTCAGAGGGGCTGCAGAAGGCTTTTCCAGGAGGACAGAGTCAACTTCCTCTTCTCCATCGTTCGTCAGCTCCACTTGCAGTTTGGACTTCATCCAGTTACTGAGCAGCTCTCGGGCTATCATGAGGAAACAGACTGATGACTTCACTTGCTTAAAAAATATACGGGTAAGTGCAAAATAGCAAGACTCTGTCTCTGGGATAGTTATATCACATGCTGGGAAGGCTGTCTACAATGACTGAAAGCTGATCTGCAACAGAAAAAGGAATAAGGCTAATAGTTCTGTTCTCATCTTCCTGATCTATAAAAGAACAGGAAGAGAAGGTGGCAAACTTTTTCCTGTCACGTACGCCACAAACGAATTCTTCTCCACCTAATTCTTCCTACAATATTCTGTGGACATTTAGATCACTCGTATGATGATTGCAGCATTTATCAAGGAGATAGAATTCACATGAGGTAATTAATAACTCGGATAGCTTTCATATGTTTTATGACTCCACTTGCTAACACTTAGGTATTTTCCACATGTACAGCCAAGGTTGTCATATGTTAAATACAAAAAGAACCACTGTTTTACAAATCTTTGCTTCATGTGTACAGGTTAACCTTTGCATGTACCAGGGAACTTTACAGCTCCAGGAACAATTGGTGAGTCTAGATGACAAATCTGTCCAGTGGCAACTTCACCAGGGACCACCTGTACTCAGAATTAAGACTGCAACTACAGGAATGCACCTATGATGGATTTGGTACTCTTCAGTGAGCTCAAATGCTTAAAGAACAACTGGATATAAAGTCCTATGGACTTTATTTGCATGTCCACTCTTCTGTGGAAAACCACAGAAAGTCCTTTTTCAGAGTCCTACTCAAAAGCAAGGACAGCTAATGTGGCTGCCACCTCAGCAAACCACCTGGCCTCACTGCATGGGTGGCCAAGTGCCCTGGGCTGAGTGACACAGGACTAACTTCTCTTCTAATGCTAGGGAAAAATGCACATGTGGAAGACTCCAGTGTCTCAATTCATTAAAATATTTACTTTGTAGCCAGCTAGGCTGTGTGAGATTCAAGGTGTCAGTGGTTTTGAGCCTTGCCAGGTGAAGGGATGAGGAGGAGCGAAGCCTGGGCATTCAACCCAGGCTGGCCAACAGGATTATTTCATGCCATCAACGTCACATTCAATATAAATTAGCAAGTTTGCTGCATAGCTCTCTCTCCCTTGGTGGCAGTGGTCCAGAGAACTTCTTGCCCCCGTGCTGGACCTCTGAGCCCTTCCCTTCCTGCCAAAGCCATTGCGCTCGCAGCATCTGACACTTGTTGTCTACTGCTGGGAGTGCACAGCTTCCTGCTGATAGAATTGGCTGAATATAATTCCTGTATATCTTATATTACTATCAGGATTAATACTGGTTCTTTGCTATTACTGTTAATTATTTAGTCTTATCCTACTAAATCTATTTATAATTCAACCCTCATGTTTTCTTGTGTTCCCCAGTTTGCCTTCCTGGGTGGGGAGGGGTCATCGGGTGATAAAATACTTGTCTAAACAACAATAGATTGTTGTAGTTTTTTTCAAACCATAACACCAAGCTGTTCCTGAAGCAGGATGCAGGGCTGTAAACTGCAAGGCATCAGGAGCAGCCCCAAGAGAAGCTGAGCCATCCTCAGCCCCTGTGCAGTAAGGATGGGCAAAGAGGAGGTATCTCTGCAGCCACTGCAGTGCATGTCATTCCTGGTAAAGGCACACAGCTGCTCCAAATCTCTAGTTCTAACACAAAATGAATATGCTCCCATTGAGTCCTGGTATTTCTAAGGCAATAAAGCCTTTTAAAAACTTCCTTAAAAAGGGGTGGGTTTTTTTTGAAGAAAACATAAATCTAACTTTTATTGTCCCTCATATCACTTTTGTTCTTTTATAATCTCTCAGGCCAGCTCAGGAACAAGGAAATATATCTGATAATAGAAAGAAGAGAGAAAAGCAGCTTATCACTTGGGGAAGGGTTACTTTTTTGACTGGGAAACGTGAGCTCCTTGTAATTGGAGTAAAAGAGTTCTGGCAATTCTCTTATCGATACCTTTCTTTGCAAAGTGGACTAAGTGTAGTTAATACCATTGAGTATTCTAATAATGGATTCCAGATAAAAGGCTTTCAGTTGAACTAGAAACAATCCTGAGGGATTGGCAGCTATAAAAAGGAAAACCCTAGCAGAGAAGGACAAACAAAAATAAAGAAACATGAGGAAAGCAAGCAGCTTTTCCACCAATTGCAAAGACAGCTCCTTTGGAGCCACTACACTGTATAATGCATTCAGACAGTGCACCATAAGCAGATAGGTGTATTCCGTGCTATTAGTTGAACCCGTCATGATTACAAGCAAAAAAGCTAACTTCCTGTATTGAAGTGGAAGAGACATGTCTTCATTCCATTCTGTAAGGCTCACTTCTGAGTCTTAAAAGATTGGTTAATTCAGTTTTTAAAATCCTGTCTCCTACCAGCTTTTTACACTACAGAGGAACTTCTAGCACTGATTGGAGATAACTTCCCTCTCTTTTGTTTTTTTCAAATGCACTGCAGTTTTATTTTCAAATTTCAGTAAGTACTGGTGGCTGCAGGAATTACAAAGGGAATATTTAGTTGAGAAAATTTTGCATGGGAGTCAAAACCAAATCACACAATTATTTGTAAACTGAACAACTCCATTTTCACATCTGGCCTACTATCAAAAATAATTCAGGGAATTTCATCCGGTTTCCTATAGCTTGCCAACTTGTATTTGACCATACAGTGTGTATTTAAGGGCAGTATCTCATCCTGGTCTTGACCTGAAATCTTCAGGAGACAGAGTTTATCCTTCTCTTACATATGCTAATCAAGATCTACCTCGAACTTCAGCAATTGATTCCTCTTATGCCTTTCTCCATTAGATAAAAGGCATCTTACAATAATCTATTTCTTTTGGTCTCAAGCTTTGTAAAAGCCTGTTCAGACCAGAACCATGATATTGGATCAAGAAGAATTAATTTTAGGTAGCTTATAGCAAGCAGTATTTCCGCTCACCTTCCTCACAGGCCTCATCATGATCTTGCAGCTGTTCCATGGTTTCCAAACTTGTCACAGGACCACAAGACCCCTGTCGATACCTTGACTTTCGAAGGGTAAAAGCTTCAGAGACGGCATACTCAGAGGCTTGTTCCACTCTCTTTAAATTAAAGAAAGGAAAACATATCTAAGGATTGCTAGATTAATTTTTAAATGGTCTGTATCCAGGTTTCTCCTCCAGAGAGTGCAAACATTGGTGGGAATGTAACACACGACAGCATGGCTGTTATAAGAAATAGATTTCCTTTGAAACACATTTCTCTCACTGCTCTTGATTGACTGGAGAAATTGGACCTAGAAATGATTAAGTAATAAGCACTCATTTGGCAATTAGTGCCAATCACAGTGATTGGAGAACACGTTAGGAGAATGCAAACACCCAGCCCCTGGGGGCTGAATGGAGACTTGCCAGCTTAGTCCCCAGCAACCACCAATTATGAAAGTTGGTATCAGCATTTTGTCATAACCAGGTTGGCCACTGTGTAAATAGGCTGAGTGATTCTCTGTCCCATAGTCATCTCTCTGAGGTGTAAACAGTACTGACGTGTCATTTGCTTTCTGATTCCTAGGTCAAATCCCAGATTCAGTCCCATCCTTCCAGCCCTAATTTTACCAGTGCATCAGAAGAAAAATATGGGCCTACTAGGATGATATAAGCACTGTAGGAAATCAGCTTTTGCTGACACTTAAGCAAACAAAAAGCTTGACCTGGAATATGTGTGTGTGAGCTCGCATGCTGGGATTGGGACACTGCTCTGGTATGGGTTTTATAGACAGAAAGGAAGGTCAGGCTCTGACCTGACAAATGACAATTTAAGGAAGCAAACACTGATTCTCCTCTCCTACCTCCTTGTGATGTGCATTATGCTGAAACAGCAGTGACAACTTTTTTCTCCCATGCTTAAAAGCCAGAGCTGCACTGGCATGACAAAATCTCTTGTCATGCAGTCAAGCATTATTGTTTTTCAGTCTAAGCAGGCATCAAAGATGTAACTAATCTCTCAGCAAAAGTGATCTGGGGGTGGGATGCTCATTGCAACTCAGTACATGAAGGGTTGTTCTCTGGCAGCATTAGAGATGACTTTAAAACCTCATCTGTTGTCCTTCACATTTGCCTCTGATTTTTAAAGACTTCTCTTCTGAACAGTTGCCGACATATATTTGAGGGTCACCCTGGGAAAGAAGCCTTCGTCTGGGACAATGTACTCTATTTCAGCTTGCACAAAAGAAGTACTTTGTAAAGTTCTGAGACAAAACTACATGGGAATGATTTACCTTGTCTTTCTGTAACTCTTGATGATGGTTTACTTCTGCTGTCCCAGGCTTGTTAACCTCCAGTGGCCCGTGCAGACTGCCTTTCCCCTGTGACACTGCCTCCAGCAGCTGTGCCATCTTTCTCTTCGTCTCCTCCCTCTCGATCTGCCGCTCTCGCTTTTCTGTCTCTGCCTGGCTCCAGCGCTGCCAGGCCAGAAAGCAGCAGCGCAAAAGCCGTCGCTGGTTATGCTCCACAGACAATTGTGTTTTCCTGGGTGAGAAAGCACTTGTGTTATGATAGGATTGAGGCTTCTGCCCAGGCCTGCCTGAAACAATTACATCCAGTACCGCAGTTCAGGCCACGGCATGAGGCCCCATAACTTCCCATGTCTTTTTGTCGCTTAACTCTGAAGGCCCTCCAAAGCTGTACAGAGTTTCTCCAAGGAGGAGTGGGAGGGGAGAAATGATGCCCATTATTTTGAATTACGTTTCTCTAATTCACATTTTGCAATTTCCTGTGTCACTCCTGGGCTGTAGGATGGGTGCAACAAGAGGCATCCTGTTCCCTTGCCAGCTGCACAGGGGGAAGCAGCAGTGCCTCACCATACAGCCTGCCAGACACCTGCAAGAGCAAAATTTTCAATGGCTGATAGGGAATTCAGCCAACAGCCTCCTTAATGAAAGGCACTGGCCAAAATGATCTCTGATATACTACTACTGAAATAGGAAATAACTATATTAATCAGGAATAAATATGGCACCTCATAATCTCTGTGGTACGGAGCAAGCCAGGGTGAGATTTCCAGGAAAGATACCTACAGAGGGAGTGAGACAAAGGCTTGCTGGAAAGTGCTAAAGCTTCTGTTTATCTCTGTCCTCTTGTTCATCTGTGCCACAACACCTCGGGCAGACTGCAGGCAAAGTAGCAATTTTGTCAAAAAGCTACTATTTTCTTCCTGCTGGCTAACTGGCAAGCCCCTTTGACAGTCTACGATCACTGCACAGCCAAAGTACTGCTGCAGAAGGAGGAATTCCACAGTGCAGGATCCCTACCTGTTTTGATCTTGAAGATGAACTTCCAATTGCTGTGTCTCCTGCTCTAATTTCTCGGCCCAGGCATAGTTTCTCCATGCTCGCAGGGCCTTCAGTTGGCATTTCCAGTCATCAAGGGCTCTGGCTTTTCTCATTTTAATTCTCTGCTCCAGAATGACTTTTAGCCAAGCAGAGAAATGTCGTTGCATGCACTGCAAGGGAGAGTTTCCGAAAACCAATGAGCAAGATACAGCGTGCCACACAAATGCTGATCCTCTCCACCCTTCCCCTTACCTGACTTTCATTTTTGAGATTCTTCAGAATCCCCATTTTCAATAATTACCTTGAGGGTAAAAAAAACAATGCAGAGCATGCGCAGGTCTCTTACAAAAGGCAGAAAGATAACATCATGGGGGTCTATGCTTTTGAGTGAAACATATATAGTTCACCAAGTGTAAAGGAATAAAATGGGTGAGGAAGAATGAATTTCTAGAGAGAGGAAAGATATTTCAAAATCTAAAATATGTCTTAAGATACTCCAGGTAAGAACACTTCTGTGGAGAACAGTTCACAAATATCTCCATAGACCACTTTTTTTTTTTTTTAACTTAGACAAAAATCAAGACACTTCCTATTGTGAATTTATGACATGACCAAAGCTCATCCTCGTTCCAGCAGGAAGCCAAACCTTTCCCCTTTTCTGTAATTAGACTTGCTGCCTCTGGGAGTGATTTACATTGCACTGGATGGCAATTTGCTATCTAATCTACCCCATAATTCTAGCCCTGTCACTGCAGACACCGTTCATTTTGATCCTCCAAGTGGGTCAACTCACAGGACTCAGCCGTTCCCCTTTTGTCATAATGCCTTGTTTTAATTGCTTTCCTCTCACTCACTGAAATCTCCAAATGGAGACTTATGAAAAGGACAAAATGTCAATGCATTAACTCTTTCTTTCTTCTGTAGGAAAATAATCAAATGTCACTATTGCTTAGCTCAGCTAAGTCGTGGCTTCTCACATTATGCCAGCCCTAAATTGTATTGTGGTTTCATTCAGGCTTACCTTCCTAGCTTAGATTGTGCTGGAGAGAGGCTGTGCACTGCTGAACAGCAGCCAAGCTCAAATCTAGCATATGGGCAGAAGAAGTGAGCCATCAGGAGAATCACCACAAAAGCTATGGGATTCCTCTATAAAAAAATAAATTCTAGATGTAGATAAGTAGACATTAATGATGATTGCTCTATTAATTTAAAACATTATGTGATGGATGGCATTCTTACCTGCACTCAGTGACATTTATTCCCTTTGCTGGGACTTCCCATATAAAATTACTCAGTACAAAAAGATTGCTCTTTAATTGCAAGTATTTGATACAATTAGATGTTTAACCCAGAACTGGCCATGGTATTAGAATAATGAGGATAAAAGAAATAGGTTCCTACTAGGAGTTATTAAAGTCTGCATGTTTGTCTCAAAAGAGCTGTTGCAATATCACAGAATATCCTACTGCACCCAGTGGGAGTGGATCCTTGAGGAACCCATTATGGATGTGCTGGCATACTTCAGCTCTTGGAGATGCAGCTCAAAATTTATCCCAGACCTCAGCACTTCTATTGTCTCTACTGTCCTTACTCCTACACCAGGGTCTGCAAGGTAATCTTTAAAATACCACCCCATAAGCACAGTAAAAGCTTCTCAGGTCCTTTTCGTGCCACTCCCCCCTCCCCTTTTACTTCCTTCCACAGGGGAAAACAAATCTTGCTCCGCTGCCTCCTCTGTACATCTGCCTGTTTCTCAATTGCAGAAGCCTTTATGTTTGCAACTGTCCCGAGCACCGTGTTTTTTACAATTCTAAGTGAAACCTCCCACTTAAGACACAGACACACTAGGGATGGAAGGTCTGGATTTCTTGCTCCTAAGTCTTACAAAATACTTCTTGCCCTGCTCTTCTACTTTCCTGGTATCAGGAGAAGGCCTTGGAAGAAGTAAAAAATTCTGATAACCAGGACTTTTTACTTCAGTTTTGCAAATGGTAGCTGAGGGCAGGGAGCTCAGAGTCTCAGATAAAGAAGGGTGATGCTCACTCTCTGTTTATTGATGTGAATCCTGCGCAGCAGCTCCTGAACCCTTCTCTGTTTCTCCTCTTCTTGCTCTTCCTTCTTCTGGACCAGGGGTAGTGGTGCAGTAACAGATACCTCCTGCATTGACAGCTTCTGACTCTTTTCTTGTGTCTTCCCCTCCCTGGAGAGTGAACAAACATACAGATCTAATGCAATGAGGAAAGTATTGTAGATTTCACTCTCTTTTTGGCCAATCCTAAGAGAATTGCCTCTACAGCTTAGAAAATTGCTGATTATTTAACTTGGCCTTCTTAGAAAACAGTTTCTATCATGGTTTGGAGTCCCAGAAATTAAACAGTCTGAGCATTTTCAAAATATAGCAGGCAGAAGAAAATAGTAAGATTTCAGTAAAGCACTTGCATGAGAAAATTTAGGATCTTGGGGCTGCCTAAGTAAATAAATGGCATCCCTACAAGTCACATCTCTATGACAATCCAAGCTGAGCAGAAGCAGAAATTATGCCTCTGCAAAATTCTCAGCCAAGAACGTTCTTTATTCTCTCATAGCAGAGGAAGTATTTTAAGTGCTAGACTTTCAACACAGACTATCTTTTGTGTGTGTGTGTGTGTACTGCCTTTCATGCTGTATTAGATGCTAACAGGGCTGGATGTGGCCACAGAGCTGACAGAATGCATGGTGGTGCAAATACACTCCTACTTTGTGATTCAGTGTACATACTGGTAATGGCTATGGGGAGGGTAACACTATCTTTAGCCCATCTGCCCGGTAACGATAAACTCACCCACTGACATTGGTAACAAAGGAATAAAAGGTTTTGGGAGAGTTCGGAGCCAGAGGAATAGCAGATCTTTCCTTTGGGACCACCACTCCTTTTACATTTACTAAAAGGAGCTGATAAGAAAAGTGTCCTTCATACGGTTATTTCCACGCGCTCCCTCTCCCTCTTACATTCTCCGTGCTTCTGCCATGGTGTGCCTCTTCTCAGCCATTTCCTTTCGCAGCTTCACCATTTCCCTCTGTATCTCCTCCTCCTCCTTCTTGGCCTTCAGGGCTTTCCTTCTGTCTTCCTCCTGTGCTTGCAGCTTGGCCTCAGCCAGAATTGATTTCTTCAGGAATTTTTCTTGTCTCTGAAGCTCTAATGCCTTTTGACGCCTCATTCGGTTTTCTTTTACCTGGGGAGGAGGAAATCAGCAAAAGTCAAAGCAGATGTCAAAGGCTGAAGAATCTGAGGTTTATCATACACTACTAGCAGGGTGGGTCATAATCCACCTTTCACATGAAGCAAGCAACTCTATCCATAGTTGGCACTGGCTGGACTGGTTCTGCTCTCAGACCAGCAAAAAATTCCATTCCAGAGAGTGAAGTTAAACCAGTACTACTTGATGGGACCAAACTCAAAACTGACTGCCATGGTGGCTTTTCCTGTCAGTCTTCACAAAGGGAGAAAACCTGAAGAGATGTAGAGAAAGTTGCCTGTGCAAGCTACTGTGAATGGCTAATGTGCACGTGGAAACACAGTAAAGTTTCAGCCAAACTGTGGAAGAGTAACCTCGGGTATTTGCCTCCAAGTCAGAGATTATTGCAGGTTGGGAGAGAACACTGGGAAAGTATCACTGAGCATTTACTGTAATCCTATAATCCTCCATTTTATTTGTTTTAACTGTGCTGCCTTGCCTGCTCACCTGCTTGTGTCTGAGCTCCATGATTATTCGTGGATCTTCAAGTTTTTGTTTTTCCTTGATGTCTTCAAGCCTAAGGTTTTTCGCTATCCCACAGTTCACAGCTTCACTCTGCAAAAGATGCTGTAGGTATTCTTGGACAGTAGAACTTTCCAATTCACGTTCCAGATTGCTGCACAAGTCTGAAATGAGAAATTCAGATTATCTCAGGCTAGTCTGAAATGAATAAACTCCTCTGTCTCAGATCACAAAGCCTAATGTAATTAAACGGATCACTTTCCCAGACTGTGAATGCATTTCTGATGAAAGCCGACACACTGACTGCACTCCATTTATCCCCAAAGAGCCTTAATCAGTCTCCCATTGAACATGCTAGAGCAGTAACAACATTTTGTCCGTTTTTTACTGCCTTGCCTCTGAGCACCTCAAATGGCTGTATGAATTTGACAGGCCTTACAAATATCCATACAGAAAATAAAATTTCTCTTTTGCAAAGAGAAACATCAAATGTTTATGAGGTGCACTTGTGTAGCACTATGGTGTAAGAGCTGGGGGAGAAAAATCACCACCTCTAATCTTGTTTCTACTGAGCCCACTATCGTGGCCTCAAAGCAACTTTTACCTCTCGGTCTGACAAGCTATGAGGCCTGGCTCCCTTACCCAGCACATCCTCAGAAAGGAAGCCAGGAACTGCTTTGTTGTGCTCTCACCATCAAACCGCTCATACTTCAGAGGGGCTGCAGAAGGCTTTTCCAGGAGGACAGAGTCAACTTCCTCTTCTCCATCGTTCGTCAGCTCCACTTGCAGTTTGGACTTCATCCAGTTACTGAGCAGCTCTCGGGCTATCATGAGGAAACAGACTGATGACTTCACTTGCTTAAAAAATATACGGGTAAGTGCAAAATAGCAAGACTCTGTCTCTGGGATAGTTATATCACATGCTGGGAAGGCTGTCTACAATGACTGAAAGCTGATCTGCAACAGAAAAAGGAATAAGGCTAATAGTTCTGTTCTCATCTTCCTGATCTATAAAAGAACAGGAAGAGAAGGTGGCAAACTTTTTCCTGTCACGTACGCCACAAACGAATTCTTCTCCACCTAATTCTTCCTACAATATTCTGTGGACATTTAGATCACTCGTATGATGATTGCAGCATTTATCAAGGAGATAGAATTCACATGAGGTAATTAATAACTCGGATAGCTTTCATATGTTTTATGACTCCACTTGCTAACACTTAGGTATTTTCCACATGTACAGCCAAGGTTGTCATATGTTAAATACAAAAAGAACCACTGTTTTACAAATCTTTGCTTCATGTGTACAGGTTAACCTTTGCATGTACCAGGGAACTTTACAGCTCCAGGAACAATTGGTGAGTCTAGATGACAAATCTGTCCAGTGGCAACTTCACCAGGGACCACCTGTACTCAGAATTAAGACTGCAACTACAGGAATGCACCTATGATGGATTTGGTACTCTTCAGTGAGCTCAAATGCTTAAAGAACAACTGGATATAAAGTCCTATGGACTTTATTTGCATGTCCACTCTTCTGTGGAAAACCACAGAAAGTCCTTTTTCAGAGTCCTACTCAAAAGCAAGGACAGCTAATGTGGCTGCCACCTCAGCAAACCACCTGGCCTCACTGCATGGGTGGCCAAGTGCCCTGGGCTGAGTGACACAGGACTAACTTCTCTTCTAATGCTAGGGAAAAATGCACATGTGGAAGACTCCAGTGTCTCAATTCATTAAAATATTTACTTTGTAGCCAGCTAGGCTGTGTGAGATTCAAGGTGTCAGTGGTTTTGAGCCTTGCCAGGTGAAGGGATGAGGAGGAGCGAAGCCTGGGCATTCAACCCAGGCTGGCCAACAGGATTATTTCATGCCATCAACGTCACATTCAATATAAATTAGCAAGTTTGCTGCATAGCTCTCTCTCCCTTGGTGGCAGTGGTCCAGAGAACTTCTTGCCCCCGTGCTGGACCTCTGAGCCCTTCCCTTCCTGCCAAAGCCATTGCGCTCGCAGCATCTGACACTTGTTGTCTACTGCTGGGAGTGCACAGCTTCCTGCTGATAGAATTGGCTGAATATAATTCCTGTATATCTTATATTACTATCAGGATTAATACTGGTTCTTTGCTATTACTGTTAATTATTTAGTCTTATCCTACTAAATCTATTTATAATTCAACCCTCATGTTTTCTTGTGTTCCCCAGTTTGCCTTCCTGGGTGGGGAGGGGTCATCGGGTGATAAAATACTTGTCTAAACAACAATAGATTGTTGTAGTTTTTTTCAAACCATAACACCAAGCTGTTCCTGAAGCAGGATGCAGGGCTGTAAACTGCAAGGCATCAGGAGCAGCCCCAAGAGAAGCTGAGCCATCCTCAGCCCCTGTGCAGTAAGGATGGGCAAAGAGGAGGTATCTCTGCAGCCACTGCAGTGCATGTCATTCCTGGTAAAGGCACACAGCTGCTCCAAATCTCTAGTTCTAACACAAAATGAATATGCTCCCATTGAGTCCTGGTATTTCTAAGGCAATAAAGCCTTTTAAAAACTTCCTTAAAAAGGGGTGGGTTTTTTTTGAAGAAAACATAAATCTAACTTTTATTGTCCCTCATATCACTTTTGTTCTTTTATAATCTCTCAGGCCAGCTCAGGAACAAGGAAATATATCTGATAATAGAAAGAAGAGAGAAAAGCAGCTTATCACTTGGGGAAGGGTTACTTTTTTGACTGGGAAACGTGAGCTCCTTGTAATTGGAGTAAAAGAGTTCTGGCAATTCTCTTATCGATACCTTTCTTTGCAAAGTGGACTAAGTGTAGTTAATACCATTGAGTATTCTAATAATGGATTCCAGATAAAAGGCTTTCAGTTGAACTAGAAACAATCCTGAGGGATTGGCAGCTATAAAAAGGAAAACCCTAGCAGAGAAGGACAAACAAAAATAAAGAAACATGAGGAAAGCAAGCAGCTTTTCCACCAATTGCAAAGACAGCTCCTTTGGAGCCACTACACTGTATAATGCATTCAGACAGTGCACCATAAGCAGATAGGTGTATTCCGTGCTATTAGTTGAACCCGTCATGATTACAAGCAAAAAAGCTAACTTCCTGTATTGAAGTGGAAGAGACATGTCTTCATTCCATTCTGTAAGGCTCACTTCTGAGTCTTAAAAGATTGGTTAATTCAGTTTTTAAAATCCTGTCTCCTACCAGCTTTTTACACTACAGAGGAACTTCTAGCACTGATTGGAGATAACTTCCCTCTCTTTTGTTTTTTTCAAATGCACTGCAGTTTTATTTTCAAATTTCAGTAAGTACTGGTGGCTGCAGGAATTACAAAGGGAATATTTAGTTGAGAAAATTTTGCATGGGAGTCAAAACCAAATCACACAATTATTTGTAAACTGAACAACTCCATTTTCACATCTGGCCTACTATCAAAAATAATTCAGGGAATTTCATCCAGTTTCCTATAGCTTGCCAACTTGTATTTGACCATACAGTGTGTATTTAAGGGCAGTATCTCATCCTGGTCTTGACCTGAAATCTTCAGGAGACAGAGTTTATCCTTCTCTTACATATGCTAATCAAGATCTACCTCGAACTTCAGCAATTGATTCCTCTTATGCCTTTCTCCATTAGATAAAAGGCATCTTACAATAATCTATTTCTTTTGGTCTCAAGCTTTGTAAAAGCCTGTTCAGACCAGAACCATGATATTGGATCAAGAAGAATTAATTTTAGGTAGCTTATAGCAAGCAGTATTTCCGCTCACCTTCCTCACAGGCCTCATCATGATCTTGCAGCTGTTCCATGGTTTCCAAACTTGTCACAGGACCACAAGACCCCTGTCGATACCTTGACTTTCGAAGGGTAAAAGCTTCAGAGACGGCATACTCAGAGGCTTGTTCCACTCTCTTTAAATTAAAGAAAGGAAAACATATCTAAGGATTGCTAGATTAATTTTTAAATGGTCTGTATCCAGGTTTCTCCTCCAGAGAGTGCAAACATTGGTGGGAATGTAACACACGACAGCATGGCTGTTATAAGAAATAGATTTCCTTTGAAACACATTTCTCTCACTGCTCTTGATTGACTGGAGAAATTGGACCTAGAAATGATTAAGTAATAAGCACTCATTTGGCAATTAGTGCCAATCACAGTGATTGGAGAACACGTTAGGAGAATGCAAACACCCAGCCCCTGGGGGCTGAATGGAGACTTGCCAGCTTAGTCCCCAGCAACCACCAACTATGAAAGTTGGTATCAGCATTTTGTCATAACCAGGTTGGCCACTGTGTAAATAGGCTGAGTGATTCTCTGTCCCATAGTCATCTCTCTGAGGTGTAAACAGTACTGACGTGTCACTGTGTTTTCACATGTAACACCCGTACCCCAGACAGCCCACGTTTCTGGAAAACTTATTCCCTTTGCAGAGAGGTCTAGGAGGCTGCATGAGGAAGCAGGCACACACTCCTGACTGCCCTAAGAAGCAGGATGAAGGCGGGAGCGACACAATACCCAAGGCAGTAATACAGAAGGAACTCATTTTCCTTGATCTTAGGTGTTTGTAGATGCAGATGGTGCTTTGAGGTAAGTCTCTTCTATTACTTGCTCACACATACACCCTGCAGTACTGCTCAGCAGTGTGTTTTGTGCGTGACCCCTGAGTTTTATGCGTAACAGCCGGGTATCTTACTCTTGAGGGAGTTACTGTGTAAATTACTTCACCCCAATCCAGTGTTCCAAGTTACAGTAGTCAAACCTTGGCAGGAAAGAAGATTAAAATAAATAAATAAAAGTGTTTCAATCACCTGTCTCTCTTTTTTGAACTAGAGTTTTAACACAGCTGAGGCCAACACCATTCCCTCAAGCGCAGTGTTGGTTTCCCATCCGCTGGCAAATCATTGAATGGTTTGGGTTGGAAGGGACCTCAAAGATCATCGAGTTCCAACCCCCTGCCATGGGCAGGGACACCTCCCACCAGAGCAGGTCGCTCAAAGCCCCATCCAGCCTGGTCTTGAACACTTCCAGGGATGGGGCATCCTCAGCTCGTCTGGGCAACCTGTTCCAGTGTCTCACCACCCTCAGAGTGAAAAATTTCCTCCTGGTATCTAATCTAAATCTACCCTCTTCCAGTTTGAAGCCATTACCCCTCGTCCTATCACTACGTGCCCTTGTAAAAAGCCCCTCTCCAGCTTTCTTTTAGGAAAGACACTGGAAGGCGGCTATAATGTCTCCCCAGAGCCCTCTCTCCTCCAGGCTGAAGGACCCCAGCTCTCTCAGCCCGTTTCCAGAGGAGAGCTGCTCCAGCCCTCTGCTCATCCTCCTGGCCCTCCTCCGGCCCCGCTCCAACAGCTAAAGCGGCGGTTGCCACAGCCCCCCCAGAGCCGGGAGACCCCTTCTCCCAGCCTCACCCCGCTCTTGTGAAGCAGCCGGGACCCCCCCCCCCCAACCGCGGCCGTTGAAGCTGTTGGAGGAGCGGCGGCGCATGGTCCCTCGCCTCCAGAGGGCGCGCCCCGATTGGACAGTTGCCCCGCAGCGCGCCCCCTAGCGCTCTCCCCCCCGCCCTCCTCCCCCTACCCGCCGGGTCCCGTTACCTTCGGCCCGGCCCCGGCGGTGAGGCGCCGCCAGCGGTACAACCAAGGCCTTTGCTCCGGGAAAGCCGCGGCCACGCCGGGCGAGCGGCCGCTCCTCTCCGCGGGACGCATGGCGCAGCGCGCCGGCAGTGGCGCCTTCGCCATGGCAACACCGCCTCCCCTCGGGCGGGACGGACGGACGGACGGACGGACGGAAGGGAGGTGTCTCCCCCGGCGGCGCGCGCTGATGACGCGTCAGGAGTTGATTGGGGCGGGTCGGGGCAGCGGCGAGGCGCGCGCCCGTGCCGTTGGCCGCGAGGATGAAGCTGAAGCTGTGCGGGGCCGGCGGCGGGCGGCTGGGGACGCTGGCGGGGCTGGGCAGGAGCGGGGCCGCCGCCCTGGCGCTGCCGGGCTGCCTGCTCTACACGCGGACCGGCTCAGCCCCGCACCTCACCCGCGACACCCTGCAGGCCGTCCGCGGCGTCCCCGCCGTGGCCCAGCTCACCCTGCCCGCCCTGTGAGTACCGCGGCTGAGGGTAGGGGGGTGGTGTCTGCGGGGCGCAGCGAGGCCCCGCGACGCTACTGGGGGCGGGGGGGCTTCTCGCTTCCCCCGGGTGAGAGGCAAAACGTCCAAGTCGGTTGTCCCTTCGTTGCTTCCCCGTCGAAAGGAGGCGCAATGGCTTGGCAGGAAGCAGGTGGAGATAAGGGACCTAGGGGGCTAATTTTTGAGCATCTTTTGGCCAAACCCTTCTTAGCTGCTTCACAGGCATCTTCCCAGCAAAATAGCCAGCTTTAGAAGCAGCCAGCTCTCAAAGCTAGTTAGGTAAGTGGCACCTGAAAGGAAAAACTAACGTTATAAAGTTTGCTCGAAGCTCTTCTCTCCCTAGCTTTTGTAGTTGTTGAGTGATGCACATTAATAATGCAACCTAGAAAGTCACAGTGTGACTTCATGCTCTCCAGCATGTCGGTGGTCACTGGTCAGGGCAGGTAAAAGCTCTGCCTTTTTGCCACAGAATTGTGAGTGCCTCCATTGGTAAGCTGTGATTCTTAAGCTCTGTGTCTCTGGCGTTTGGTTCTGTCTCTCCCTGTTTTGCTGCCCGATAGCTAGATGGCATCTAGCAGTGCCTAAACCAATCCAAGTTCAGACAACACATAGGTATGGAAACAGGAGCCTTAGTTATGAAAACACTGATCTTCCTTGATAGTTGTTTGCTTTGTTAACAAAAGTGTTTCTGTGTCGGGATGCAGGGCAGAACTTCATGAGGTCCTGGAAGAATATAAAGAAGGAGCTGCAAAATTTATAGGTAAGTGTGTGTGTTTGCTTGTGCATCTGGAGGGACAACACAGGTAGATACCACTGGTACATTTTTAGGCAGTACAGTAGGCAGAAAGATGTAGAAATAGGGAGTCCACATTTAGACATTTTCTCCTTCAAATGGCATTAAGACTCAGAATAGTATCTTGTCAATAGTATGGCCAAAAATCCTTTAAACGCTACAAAAATATGTAGTTTTGCTTTTTTTCTCTTTTTCTGCACTCAGCCTTCTCTTTGGGGGCTTTGGCATTGACTGGGATGTGCTTAGCCTGAAAGTTGAGACTAGAACTGAGCCCCCAGTCACTGCTGCAAATGCATCTTGCCAAGTGGAATTTCTGACTCTCTTTGATGAGAAGCAGAAATTGTCCAAAAATGGCCTCCCCCATACAGCTGTCCAAATACATTTCCTGAGAGTATCTTTCTGCTCAAGCTAGCTTTTTTGATTTTCATAAAGCAGTTGGTTTCATCTGAAGATTTTCAACCAGAAGTCTTTATCCTGTGTGACGGATAAACAGGCAAAGCACCCTATATCAAGTCAGTCTCAGCTGGTGGACAATTCTGCCTCTGAGCTGTTGTTCTGAGAGGATGTTAGGGGAGGAACCCATGTTTGATTTGCAGGAGCTTTGAGGAACTATAGAAACAGGTGAAGGAGCTTGTTTTTATCCTGTTCTTCATTCCTTTCAGTTTAGCAGTTGAACTGTACTTGCTCCCTGTATTCTTGTTCAATTTTCCCACGTTAAAGAGTCAGTTTTAGGAATATACTCAATTTTAATTATGAATAGTCGAATGCCAAACAGTCAAAGTTACCGTAGCTGTCAGCTGCTGCACCAAGCCTTTGTGATCTTCATCAGTCCCTGTACTCCATTTGTGGAGCAGTTCACGAACAAAATGTTTATGAAACGTAACACCTTGGTGATCAGAACGAGTAAAGTAGCATTTCCTGTGTTTGTTACTCCTGGGTTTTTCCTCTGGTTGTCGTAACAGATCAGTAAAGGCCTAACCGTGTGCATTATGCAGCCAAGATCACTGCTGGGCTTCTGTGGTGAAGGAACCTGAGAGCATAGTGAATGCAGTGTTAGACTCTTGTGTGAATATCTCTATCACAGCCTGTATTTATATCTGGGGAGGTAGCTCAGGGAATTGAAGGACAATCAGCCAAGTCAGTGAGCTTCTCTGGGATGCTTTGTTTGTGTATCTCAGGCAGTACTGGGTATAGGGTAAATCCTGTCAAAGTGGTGGGATGTCCTTAGATAGTTCTTTGTATATGGAACCTAACGGGCTTTTCAAGCAAAAGACTCGAGTTGCTAATGCTTGTATCAAAGCTGAGGTATTTTTATGAATATTTTGTATGTGTCAGTTACATATTTTATACATTCATAATGTATGTGTAAATTATTATAATTTTAAAAAATAAGCTTTTCTGTCCTATATACAGATACCAAGCTTTTTAAAAAAATATATATCAGAATTTTGGACATGCATTTCATTACATAAGCAAATTTATGGCTTTGATTTCCAAAGGAAGTTTGCACCCAACTTTCAGTAAACTTCAGCTGCCGTGGGACAGCTTATTCCTTCAAGAAAAATTGAAAATCTTTTGTCTGAAACCTTTTGGAGGCTTTACCAATTTTGGTGACTATCTGTGAAGGGAAAAAATGTATGTCATTGAGACATACTGTCTAGCTTTCTGTATGAAATGTGAAACCTCCAGTCTGGCAGGGATGATAAATTTCTCATTTCTGTAGCTGATGTTCTCTCACTGTGTGTTGGCCTTCCTTAAAATTTCTAGGCTTGAGGCTGTTGCTCAGTTTAGATTGTGTCAGTTGTCTCCAGTGTATCAGTTGAGTGGTCAGGTGAGTCAGCTGTTGTGTCTGGCAAATTTTAGTAGCAGGAGTATTAATCAAGAAGAAACATAAATAAATCTTGAAGGTGCTGTGTAGGTTGCTGAACCAAAGGGTATTATTTGATGGTTTATCCTGATGCTGCACTCTCCTCCCTGCAGCCAGTAAAGCTGGGGGTAAAGCGTGCTGCCTTTGGTGCTGAGAGATCAAATGAACAATATTTTCTTTGTTAGAATGGATTTACTTGTGTAGGGGATAATACTGTTTTGCAAATGGACAAACCCGCATCTTTGTAGGAACTTTGTTTTGGTTCCTGAAACTCTACTCTGTCTGTTGCTTTGTTTTCAGGTATGCCCGATGTGGTGCTGTACTGCTCCCTTCATGACCCTGTTTCTCCCTGTCCATCTGGCTACAACACGAACAAGGTATAGTATCTCTAAAGACTTGAAAGAATCCACCTAAAGCTCCAGGAAGAAAGCTGCCAGTCTTTCTCTTGCCCGTGTGGGTGTGCTTAGACAGCCACAAGATGTTTTTTACGCTTTGGAGAAAAATAAATCTTTGCACAAAGAGGAATGTAACGTACATGCTCATACCTCCAATTAAATAAAGCTGGACATTTTCTTACTTGGCACTGTGTTCCTTGAACAGTTCCTGAACAGTTAAGTGGCAATTCAGATAGGAAGGAGAACCTGGACTCCTATGCTGTTGTGATTAATATGGTAGTAAAAGAAAATATGTGTGTTAGCTTAGATGCTGTATAGACTTACGGTGACGCCTCTGTTAAGCAATAAACCTGAACCTCTTCATCTGTATTTACAGTCTGCTACAGGCCCACAAAGGGAAGGAGCTTAGTATTTCTGCAGGAATGTGGTTCAGTGATCCAGGAGCGCGTGGTCTTGTGGATGTTTGCCCATTCCATCCCACAAGCACACATGCTCCCTGCGCAGTCCACACACTACCTGCTGCCTGCCACAGCTTTGACCTGCACTCCTGGCACCTGCTCAGATATGGTCAGTCCCAAGGCCTGTTTGGGCACGGTCACATTTGGTGAAAGCTCACTGAATAACAAACAGAGGATAACTACTGTCAGGATGTTTTTTTGGAGTGTCTATTCTTTGCTGCTGGGAACCAGGTTGAGTCCTGTCTCTCTGCAGGGAAGGATTTCTGTGAAGCTTGTCTCGCCGTTGTGCAGCTATGAGGTGATAGCAGTGATCTAAGCCTGGATGTGTCAGGTTTTGTTTGGCTTTTTTTTTTTCCTTTTTTGAAGCTGGGGAAGATTTTTGTCACCTTGTTGCAAGGCCTTCTGCAGCTGGATCTGTGCTGACAAATATCTATGAAAGCTTTTTGATAGCAGTGGGACAGAATGCCTGGCACAGGCTGGATTTAAATAATCATGGGGTAGCACTCAGTTCTTTAAAGGAGCTTTTTTTTTTTTTTTATCTGGAGAACAGAATGAAGGTAACTAGACTTGACTATACTCTGTGCCCATTGACTCAAACAGTTCTGACTTTCATCTGCCTGCCTTCACCAGCTGTTCCTTAGTATTTTCACATAAGAGGCAACAGGTACTAACTGGCCAAAATGCTGCTGCAGAGCAATGCACAGCTGCTGTGTACCAATTATTCTGCAAGTACTAATTTGGGATCTTCCTCCTTTGGCGTTACTTTTGTTTTTTTAATGGGAAATTTACAAAAACGTTATTACTTTGGTGACTCTGTCTGTTTCTTTGTTACTCCAATTTAGTGAAATTGGCTGATGAGGCCAAAACTGATCAGGAGAGATGGATGAACGGATTGACGGACAACAGATGTGATATATTTTGGTTTTTTGTAGAGACCAGACAAAAATAATAATTGTTCTGCTCATATTTTTGCATCAGCAGATCAAATTCAATTTGTAAATTATTATGCGTGAGAACTGCACTCCTTAATCTGGCTGGCTGGCATAGGCTAGGAGAACACCTTTAAACCCTCAAGCCCCACAAAGTCCTCGTAACTCTTCAAGTTATAAGCTATTTGTGATAGCTGAAAACCATTCCTCAATTTAAAAAAGCACTAATGGCGTTGCAGATGAAAAGAACTAGCTTCTAAAGGGCTTGAGCCCAATACTTAACCTACTTGAATATACCTTTAAAATTTTGGAGCGGTGATGTCACAAGTCTAACAATAATACAACAAAACCAACTGCCAAGCTGCACTCACAGGTTAATTACAGATTTCACAGAATAAGATGAAACGTGGTAGCATGCCTAGTTGCAGTGGCTGCAGTAACTTTTGTGAATCTGAATGTTTAGTGACTTGTATAGTAGCATTGGCGAGCCCGGAAGCGTTCAGGTGACATAACCTCTCAGTGCAAGTGCTTTTGCCTTGCTTTAGAATGTTTTATGAGGGTGGCACAGAGTAATGATGGAGGATGGGTGCCCATGTGTGCACACAGAATGGAAAGCATGTGAACAGATTGAGGAGACTTGTGGTACAATCCTAATGAGTACCTGCCGTTTCTTATGTTGCTCGGTTTGAAAGCTGTGAATTTCTTCTGCCCTTGGCATTCCAGCCCCTTCTTAAGTGACTTGACGTGGGACCTGAAATAACATTGGGTTTCCTAACGACCTCTGTCTTCTTCCCTTGTGTCCGTGTGATTTGTATATACACATACATTTACTGGGATGGTATGAATTCACTTCTCAGAAGAGGAAGTAGTTTCTTGGTTTTGTATGGTGTACAGAAAATTAACGAGCTGTATTTCCACTTGCAGCCTTTGCTGCTTTCCAGGAGATGACAACATAACTTTGATGGGAATTAAATATTTTCTTCTCTTCATTTTTTTCCCCAATTCTATCACTAATTTGTGTGTTGACAGGCCAGCTGCTTTATCTCAGAGACTTTGAAACATGTTGAGGAGTCACTGTGTTGAGTGTGTGTGGTGATTTCACCAAAGATTATCCCAGAAATACCAATTTAGTTATTTATCTCTTTTCACTCATTGTGTCAAGGGCAGATGATTATCTGAGCCAGGCTCCTAGAAAGCTTATCTATAAAGTATCATTCTAGCATCTGGTGTTTCACCAGACCCATCCCTTCTCTCCTTTCACATTTAAGGTCTGTTAACCTTTGCAACTCACCTTCATCCCTGTTCTTCCTTGACAGACAGTATCCCTATGGGGGAACTCGGGACGCATGGAAATGACAGCTTCCAAGTTCATGGACATACAGCGAGCCATCCAGCCAGACTGGTTCCAGTGCATCTCTGATGGAGACACGATTTCTGGGGAAGTTGGTAGAAAAAGGGCCAAGAAGTCTGTGGATAGGTCGCTTTCCTTCCTGGATGTATGTCTTCAGCTGCTGGAGAAATCACCGGTAAGGTCCTCAAAATATTGGGGCTGTAGCACTGCGGCTGCCTTCTGGTCTGTGCTGCGTCCTGGGCCAGTCTCAGGATGTCATTCAGTAGGAAATTGTGCCACACGTGTCTGTCAGAGAAAGCCCAGATTGCACAGTCCTGGGTGAGGTGTAACCAGCAGAACCATGGGTTTTCCTTCTGCCACTCTTCTTTTAATAACTTACCTCTCAGCTCCAGGGTACCGATCTCTACTAGTTGGGCTTGTTGATTTGGGTTTTTGTTTTCTGTTTTTGAACTGGAGTGCATTTTTTTTCATTTACCTTCATGCTGTCTATGTGAGCAAAGTAGGATCTTCTCACGCAGATTGAGACAACCCATTATTTTGCTCTGAAGTCCCCTCAGTTCCAAGTGAGGGAGAACTTGCTAGAATTTGCCAGTGTTATTCTTGATTTCTTCCAGCAAGTTTGAAATTTCCTTCCCTTGTGGTGAAAGTCGGCATATTGTCTGAATCTGTACTGCAAAGGAAAAATGGGTGACAAGAACTGATATTGGTATCTCCTCAAAGGCAATTCATTGTGAGATCTGGTGTCTGACAGCCGGGATAGTGGCACCTGCTTTGTATTCTGAACTGACACATGAAGTGCTGAGGTGACATCTATAAAAAGATGTACAAAGATGATCTGTGGTTATGGCTTTCTATAGGGAGGTGGGAAGAATGGCACCAAAATTCTCAGTGAGTTAGTGTCAAGGTAGGGAGCAGAATCTTGTCTCTCCCAGTCCTGTTTCTACCTTACACTTGGACTTCACAGTGTTGTGTGGGGAATAGTCTTACATGAGGTGAAACACTGTGGCTCTGGCAAGTTCCTGGGAATGTGGGGCTTAAGGAGCAGGTATCTGGAGTCTGGGCTGTGAGATGTCTTGCGTGTCTTTGGCAGAGCATTCTCTAACATTTGTAGCTTTCTCCTGGGCCAGGAATTACAAGGAAGTGTAATGTTTGGGGCAATTGAAGGTGGAGATATCTTGGAAGAGAGGCTCAGATCAGCCAGGGAGACTGCCAAGCGACCTGTGGGTGGCTTTCTGCTAGATGGCTTCCAGGGATGTGCCATGGCCAAGGAGACCAAGTTGAAACTGATAGCTTCTGTCACAGCAGAGCTGCCAGAGGATAAACCAAGGTAAGTTGTGTGGGCAACTTCCCAAGAAGTCCATCTGTCCTGTTACGAAGAGCGTCTACAGGCTGCTGTGCAGTGTCACTGTAGGAAATAATCACTGGTTTGCACAGCTCCATGGGTATGCCAGGCTGCATAAATTCTGCCACTGTCGGGCTGCAATCTTCAACACTTACTTCAATTTTTAGCTGCAACTTGCACCAAACTGTGCTCACACTGTGGGTTTGAGTATTCTTCATGTTTGGAGAATAATCAAGATTTTAATTCAAGTTGTCTTTACCTTTTTGGGGAAGAATTACAGGTAGGATATGCAAGCTATAGGTAGCTTGCATTTGGCCTTTGAGGCCACGGTTTACTTGAAGTTCAGCTGGAACAAGAATATTATCATCAACCTATTTTACAGGGATTTCTTCTCAGAAAAACTGTCATATTACCAGTTCTCTCTGTTCTGAACTGGAGGAGAGCTGAGGAGGCTGCTGACAGAACCAGACAGTGTTTACACAATCTTATGGCAGCCAGTTCTGACCTAGTACCTGAGGCACTGAGCCTGTGAACTACCAGGGGTGGTACAGCCTGGCCCAAAACAATTGTATGCTCTGCTTGGATTGTCACAGTGTGGGAACTGATGTATTTTCTGAGGTGTTGGTTATGCCCATCTGATCCATGGACAGGAGTGGCAGCATTCTTGCCTCATAAATGACTAAGAATAAGTAAAGACTTCCAGAAAATGGGTGCTAACATTTGCTAGAGGCTTTATTAGCATTGGGTTGAGCTTGTTGGCTTTTGCATGGGCTGCTTTTGCAAGAGCAGCTGCAACAGAAGTAGTATGGGTGCTTTTTTCAACATTTCCTGAAGAGAGTGGCTCAGGCCACTCTTTTGGGTGGCTGTCCTTGGGTAGTTGTGCTGCCCTCTGCTAGCTGAGCATTGCTCTGACCTGATGGTGTTCAAAAAGAAATCAAATGTGAAAGCATGTGCCTGGTGCTACAGCTTGTTCATGCTTAGCGGTGCCTGGGGTTTGAATTTTCTTTACAATTAGAAGGCTTGCTGGGTTGTTGCCATCCTGTCTAGTTGAGCTACTTAAAAAGATCCCCTGGGAGCATTAGAGTCCAATCTGCTCAGCTAACCTTAGTGGCCACTGCTGTATCTGCCTCATCTATCAAATACTTTGCTTGTCTGGTTAAGACAGGTGTTTCTGACCTCTTTGTAGGAAGAAAGCTGGTTAGCCCTAGGGGGTCTTGTAAGTACCTCAAGTGAATTTCAGACAGTCCTGCTTTCCTGAATCACCCTTGCTGTTCTGGCTGGAAAAGTTGTTTTGCAACTGTTTTCTACCCCAATATGCAATTCTCTAGAAGGCAGTTGCTGTGCTTCACCCAAGAAGCGACTGCTTTTTGTGTACGGTGAAACAATCTTACAAATGTACTTTAATGTACTGAAAGAGGCTGAAGTCCCTTGGTAAAATTTGTTTTCCTTTTCAATTGTATCAGAACCCTTGCAAGAACAAGTGTTTGTCCTTACCTGTGCAAAGATAAGTTTTAGCAAGGGTTTTGATCATATACGCAGAGCTACTGTTTTAACGATTGAGTATAATTTTCTCCCTGCCATGAGAGCCTGAAACATAAGACACTCATGCTGTAAACTTCTCCCATCCTTATTCTGTGCTCATCAATTTAATTGGAGTACTTAGAAAAGTGACTAAAAATGGTACCTTGTGACTTCATTTATCAGCCTCTGTGTATTTTCCTAATTATCTGGTTAGATCATTGCCCTACATTAGCTGCTGTCAGCCCAGCCATGCACCTGCAGGAGAGCAGGCACTTCTCTGTTCTCTTCTGCTTCACCCACCCTCAGGGAAGCTGCCAGATAAATTTGGCTAACAGCAGGATCTCTATTACCATTGATGGCAATCCAGCTGGGCTCTTCCTGGCTCTTAATGCCATGTCCCAGGAGATGTTACAGCCCAGGTTTTTGGGTAATTCATTTGAGCAGGTAGAGTGTAGAGAGGAGGGAAGAATAAAGCAAGGATCTTTTCGCTTTCCAATGACACTTCTCATTAGCGTATTCTCTTCCAGGCAGTTCTCCAAGTGCTATATGATGTGTCTGTCACCTGAAGGACTTGTATCTTTGACTAGCCATCCACTGCTGTCTCTGCTGCTCTTGATCAAGGCTTTTTAGACTGTCTCATAAACAGTTACAAAGCAAAAGGGCCCATCTGTCTGGAAACTGGTAGTTCCCTGGGGCATAAATATGACTAAGGAAAATATCTGTTCTAAGGCATAGATGTTAGGTGAATTTTGAATGTACGTGTATTTATGTGTCTGCGAAAGAAACTAAATCACTTCAAATGTAACGGGCAGAATGAGATTTTTTTTCCTTGATAAAGGAGGTATTATTGCTGTCTTTCAAATGGCAGATAAAGAGAAGCCTGCCACGTACTGGATGGGTTGGAGGTGGGGAGATGGAAGCATACAGGATTCTGAGTGATGACTGTTGTACTCACTTGCCTTCCGGTTAGCAGTTGCAGGGATAAGCTACACATGCTGCATATGTGCCTTTTCCTTCAGGTACCTGCTTCCTTCTACTCAGAATGTTCTAGATATGTCGTCTTGTGGTCTCTTACAGAATTATCCATGGTGTAGGCAAACCAGATGAGGTGCTCGAGTGCATTGAAAGAGGAGTGGACATTTTTGAGAGCTTCTTTCCCTTCCAAGTGACAGAGAGAGGCTGTGCCTTGGTTTTCAGTTATGACTGCCATCAAGATCCTGAAGCAGCAGGTAGGCTTCTTGGTGGTCATTATAATTCTTACTGTATCAACTAGTACTGCGGCAAGCATAATTCATGCTTTGGAGGAGTCTACATCTGAGGTTTTTGTTCCTGAAGTAAGTGCAGTAACCACTGGGAAAACTGGAATTCCACTGCCAAGTAGAGCTCTTGAAGGTGGGGTATTTTGTTGTGAAACCTGTTGAAGGCAACTTGAGGCCTCAGCCTGGGATCTGAATGTCTGATTAGACAAAATATGCTCAAATCTTTCTTAAACACTTACAAACAAACAAAGTGGGGTTTTGTTTCTTGGTTTTGTTTTTTTTGTTCTATGCCATTGGCACATTTTCTGTTTACCATTAGCAGTAAAGCTGGACTTAAATAAGTGGAGACCTAAGATACTTGATATCTCAAATTAATTGAATAATAGGATATTTTTGTTTTAAGAGATTTTTGAAGTTTCTTCTCCTTTCTAGCTGACAAAAGTTAGGGATCCCATTTCTTTGGGCAGCTTTCCTCTCTGTCCATGCATTCATTAGTTCATATCAGAACAAAATGGCAAAATGGACATGTTCATAACTCATTACCTTATTAGCTGTGAGATGGGAGCATGTGTATCACCCGTTAAAGCATCTATCAAATGTGTTTCAAGCAGCTTTGGCCTATTAGTTTTTAATACAGAAAAACATTTTACATTTTTCTTCCTGGGTAGAACCTAGCGGCTTTTCTTGCCTGGATATTTAAAACCAGCTGAATAGAACAGAACATCTTGTTTCTTTGTGCTTGCTGTTGGTTTTGTTTGTTTGCTTTTTAAACCCTTCTCTTTGTTTGTTGTTCTTTACCTTGTCTCACCTTATTCTTAAATCTCTTTGTTCTGTCTCTGTTTAACACACAGTAGACATGGACTGGGCAAACAGTAATATTGATGTTTCCAGACACACATCCTACTTAAGAACGAGCCTAAAAATGCAAACCTACAAAATTATAGGGTCATTTTTTATTTTTCAGATAGACTGCTGAGAAGGCAGATGTGGAATCTACATCTTCCGCATCAGTGCTGCCAGCCTCTTTTTATTCCATTTGTTTAAAAAGAAATAAAAAATCTAAATCTCTGAGCCTGATGACAGCATGGAAAGTAGAGTGATTGAATGCAGATGAGTTGCCTGTCTACTCTAACAAAATCTCAATAAAATCAATTTGTTCAGGTGACTGCATTCTATTCAGCATGCAGTTCAGACTGTAAATATTTTTGACGTATTATTAAGAATTCAGCTCAGTAGAGCAGCAAAAAGTTCTACTGTTGTTTCAGCTCTAACTCCTCATTAGGTTTAGTAGATTAGTTTTCACTTGTCTCTTGCTGTTTTAATCATCTAGAATTGTGTTTGTGTTAACTAACCTATGACAATTAAAGAAAAATAGTTACTTGCTATAGGAACTTGGGGCAGGAGTTTTCATCTGGCAAGAGGGCAGCACAAATACTTCCTGTAAGGTTGCTGCCCTTCCTCTGCCCTTGCTGTCTGTTCATAAAAGGCTGTTGCCTTTTTTTTATTTAAAACAGTTTCAAAACAAAATGGTGCCCAGGACCTGGAGGAGAATGGTGCTGAAGAAGACCAGGATGAAATTTCCAAAACTGACCCAGAAATGACAGCATTTGAGATATTCCTGAAGGACAAAAGGTACGTGTGTTTGTAAGGAGCTTACCTGCAGCTGTATCAGTAAATATGATGCTTTTGTCCTCTGTACTTGATTGCATGTTGTCAGTAGCTGGATGAGAGACTTCATAAAACATGAAGGTGTTGAAAAAGTACTTCTAGACATTGAATGGAGAGTGTTGGACAAGTGTTCTAGCTTATCAGGCAACAGTATATGGCTGAAAGCACCATCTTTTGCCTGACCTAAAGCCAGGGATTTTCTGACCGTTTGTCCAGCAGGCCTACTGTAGTCATAACTATGTTCCAGCTGAAAGACAGTAGCTTGACAAAGGTTGTCAAGTGACCGATTGTTTTGGTCTTCCACATCTAACTTTGGTCTTCTTGAGATGATGGATTTTATTTAAACTATGGAGATCTTCCACTTTCTGACTCAGTTTGGGCAGGTGCAGAGCAATTCTGCAATTTCTGAATACTTCACAAGGTCTTTGGCCAGTGTACCGCCTGTCCGTCCTTCCTCTTTTCTACAGCCACCACTAGGCTGAGTAGACAACTGTGTTGCTCTGCTCCAGCATCTCTCCACTTTGTGAGAATGGTGCATCTCACACTAGAGGGGAAATACTGGTCTATGAATAGTGGAATCAGTAAAGCCTTGTTTCTGATAGCTTCCTTCTCATAGACTGTGATTGCTAGCAAGGTGTATCTTGTGCTGCAGCTTTTCTGTCAGGGAAGACAGAGATAAGGCCTCTCTGTGGTTAGCTGTGGATGCAGTCAAAGTTCTCATTTGACCTAGATACATGGCCTTTTGGCTCTGTAGTGAGTTCTTGTGTGATATTTGAAGTCCTTCATGCCAGTGGTGCTGGTCATAGATGTCAACATATCTTATAGCAGTTGGATTCAGGCCCTCAGGACTTCAAGGATCAGGTCCTTGCAATAGGGTGTAGTAACTGGAAACTTGTTATTGCTTGATTGTGTCTTCTTATCATTGATGTTATCCAACTTTACTTCCTCCTTAGGTACCAAGATGATTTTGGTCCTTTGCTGGAAGGATGCACCTGTTACTGTTGTCAGAGGCATACTCGTGCCTACGTCCATCACCTCCTCGTGACCAACGAGCTGTTGGCTGGTGTCCTGCTCATGATGCACAACTTCCAGCACTACTTTGGTTTCTTCAGTGCTGTACGGGATGCCTTAAGAGACAATAAACTGGATCAGCTGAAAAATCTTGTCTTCAGGCAGGCGCTTCAAGGCCCAGCAAATGCGAAGCCAGGCCAGTGAGTTCAGAGAAGGTTGCAGGCTACATCCTCATCCAGTCGGACTATGTAAGGTGGACTGCCAACAGTGTCACCCAGCCCGGTCAGTAGTAAAATGTCTGCCTTCCTGGAGGGAATTGAAGGGGATATTTGAAGAAGATCTCACTTCCTGGTGGGGAAGGAAGACCTTATTCAAATGTCCTTTTCAGGTAATTGGCTTGGTACATTCTCAGGGTATGGAGGAGCCTGAACAGCTCACAATCTCAGTAGGGATGGCTTTGTGTTCAGTTACTCACTTGGTTTTCCATGTGGAAGGACATAATTACTGAATTTGGGATTGACGACAATGCAGGGCATATATTTTAAATTAACCCAGCTGCTGGTAGGAGGCTCAGCAGCTGTTTGGGACTCTCAGTCCATACCCAACACATATTATAGGTAATTATTTTTCTAGAAAATCCCAGTGGTATAGTTGTCCCATTGTGCAGCTCCTTGATGAGAGATCCTGCCTCAGTCTAATACACTGTTTCTTATGGCCACTGCCAGCATTTGTGTCCCTGACAAGAACTGACTGGGAGTGCTGCTGTGTTCAGTGGCACAAGGGACTACTCCTGCCTTGGGCTGCCTGCCATGCAGAATGTCCTCTGGGCCAGGAGGAGGCCCTCAACCTTTACCTGGCCTTGAAAACATTTGCCTCAGGAGTCCTACTCTGTGACATTGCAGCCAGAAAGAAGAGAAAGTGTTTAATCCATGTCCTGCTAAAGAGGGTTTTTTTGACTCTGTACTCTTTCAACTGTATGGACTGATTTCAGTCCTGCACTAGCATGTGGTTGATAATGAATGTATGGTTCTATGGTTCTTTCCAACTGTCCTAGCACTGGCCAAATAGCAGGCTACACAAATGTCAGTGTGAGATGGAGCTCTGGAAGAGATGTATTGCAGGAGTAGGTGTTTAGAAAATATTTTTATGGCTCCTTGTTTTAAAATATGACTTAATTATGTCACATTCCTCTTACTCTGTTTTTTTTTTTTTTTATGCCCCTTACTTTGGAATACTGGATTTATTCATTTTATGTTACAAAGTAACAATAAAAAATTTTTACTATTCATTACATTGGCTCCTCAACATGTGACAAAGGTGATGTACCAGAGAGCTTGAGTGCAGTGCTCAAGAAGATGTCTCATTGACCTAGCAGCCTGATGGAGGAAAGTGACTCATCTAGAAGTAGCATCCCGTCATGGAGCAGGGGTTCAAATAATTTGTTTCAAAAGAAGCCATAATTGACCTGGAAGTGTTAAAGCTCACGCCCATCCCTCTCCCCATAAGAACTCTACTACCTGAATTAAGCTTAAAAGAATACTACAGTTGAAGTTGCTTGCCTTAAAGCAATTAAGGCTTAATCTGCAGTTTGCTTTTCTTCACCTTTTCTTTAATCAGAATAGCTTTACCATAGACTATAAGGAGTCTTTACCTTCCCTGTCAGCATTGCCTGTGTGTCCCCGTTTCCTTGGACAGATACGCAATGATGGAGTCAGAGTCCTTTCTACCATTCCAGCCTTATCCATTGTGTTCCAGAAACTGCATTTGTGTTCCACAGGATCCTAAGGAAATGGTGCAAAGACTGCTTTGCTGTTGTCTTTAAACAGAGATTATGTGGAATAGTTTAGCCACAGAAACTACATAAAATACAGGACTAATGTCCTCGCTCCAAGAAGTATGTTATGATTGTTAATGTTGATGCAGCACTGAGCAACGTGGGGTTGGTGTCCTGCATAATACAGCGTGAGGTAGAAGATCTGAAATTTTTAGGATCCGCCTATCTTAAAAGGAGAGGGAATACTAATGAAACAAAACTGTTTTGTGCTTCTTTCAAGAGGCATGCAGGATATGATGGTAGTGTTGGGACCTTGCAATGCTTGTTTTTTGCAGTGTCTTTTTCTACAATGTTGTGTCAGTGCAAAACCTTATGGGTGGGGACAGTGACAATTTTGAAACTTCTCATTTACTTAACACTTTTCACACCCACATAGACTCACCAAAATACTTGAGTCAGGCCAGCATTCAGTCACCAACCTGTTTGTGTCTGGAGTTCTGTCAGGGGTGCTCTGTGAAGACGTGGAGGATAAGGAATGCTAGCCATTGTGTCCTCCTCAAGTTGCCAGCATGCTTATTAGTTTAGTAGCCCTATTGCTAGTTTTGGAAGTGCCATTTTGTGCCCTTTGGGATCTAGCTGTGAACAGTCTCCTCTTCCTGCCCCGCCTCTGTTATCCTAATAAATTATTAGGATTTATTCTTTGCCTCCCAACCTGGGTGTTCTGAAAAGTTGCACGTAGCTGTACTGGGATCCTAGTGACCTGCTAAGTGAAATGCCAGTAATGTGCCATTCCCAGTATCCCTCCTGCTCTTCCTTCTGGCCTTCTAGTCCTTTCCATACTGCTGTGGCCCCTGTTCATTCTACAGTCACACCGACCAGGTTTTCCTGTTACCTTTCTCTGCTTAGTCTGTGTGTGTGCATGGGTACACCAGAGCTGCACAAAGTGAACAATTTCCTATTGGGCAAAATGTGATCAGGTACATATGCTCATTATCTAATAAACACAGTCATGAACTGCATTAACCCTGAAAAAACACAAGTTTCCAATCTTTCTGTCAGTCCTTCTAGTTCACATTTTAAATTTTAAGCAACGTTTTTCATGCTAACTTAGAAAGTATTTTATTTTATTTCCAAGCGGAGATCTAATTTCTTTCAAAAACAGAATTCTTGCCCTAATATGGAGAAGAAAAGTACATGAAGCAAACTAAAGTATTCATGGAGAAGTGAAAACTGAAACGACTAAGGAGTGGAAAATTTTGTGCTAAATTAACTTCACTTAGCACAGAAGACTGCAAAAACATCCTTGACTGCCATCCGTCCCCAAATGGCAGAATGCTAAAGAGCAGAGCAGAATACAAAAGAGGTGGTGTGTTACGAAAGCATTAGACCCTTGAACATCTTTCCCTCAGCAACTTTTAGTGTAACCTGCCCCTCGCTAAAGAAAAATCTTCCATGCTCTTCTGTTTCTGATGAGAATAACTGGCAGGGCCGTGTGTTAAATGTTAAGTCTTGTACCTTTCTGACCTCTTCATCGGTATTCTGCTCAGCAACCTACTCCTCTCAGAGCTATTTTAATATTGGAAACTCTTTAGCAGTTTCAAAGGTATGCTTTAAAAAGTGTTAAGGAAAAAAAAATAATAAATCAAATTGGTTTATCACAAAAATGTTTTCTCCTTTCCTTCCGGTATGTCATTTCTTCCCCCATACATTCACCCACCCCATCCATCCTCTGAATTTCTAGGACATGGTGTTCATGAGAGGTCATATTAAGCCTTGCCTGACAATTTCTAGGTCTGCATTTCTTTGGCTCTGCAGGGTTGCAGGAGCTGCCTAAGACTGGAAGTATTCCATCAGAGTGTTCAATTTATTTCTACATCTCTTAGGTCCAGAGGGCTTTCAGATCATGGGGTTTTTATGCATAGAAAAATCGGCTCCAGGTGTGTTTCAGAGGTGCTTTTAAGCATTGGGTAGCTTTTTTTTTTTCTTCCTGAACCCTGTTGATTTTTGATTCATAACCTGAGTTGGCAGGCAAAAGGCTGTTTAAAAAAAGTAGCCCCAATAAAATGTTTAAACCTTCCTCTCAGTAATTTCAGAGAGGTTTCCTCTGTGATATGGGAGGCATATACAAAACATGATGGCGCAGGCCAGTTTAATGGTCTTGTTTGTGGTACTCTGAGGTGATCTACATAATTCACTAGGAACTTCATCTCTTTTCTGGTAATGCAGCACTCGCTTCTCCAGACTACTCAAGATGTTCAAGCATGTGTTACCATCCTGAAGCACATTCTGTAGGCGTTATAGGACTTTTTTAAAGAAAAAGAGAATGAAGTTAAATCCCTTTGAGAAGTTAGATCTAGATTGGCAAAGCTGGTGCTGGCACAAAAGCGGTTAACATCTTCCTGCAGCAAAATGTTCTTGCTTCCCTGTTGATGTTGCCAGTGTGAATGGCGTCTGTCAGAGTGCACAGTCTCCTCCGGTCTCCTCCCTGGTGGCATATTGGCTGGAAAAGGCCATACTTTCCCTGCCTCACCATGAGGTGATGATGAATTGCCTGGCTACTTCTACATCTGTCATCTGTATGATTAAATTAGACTGGTCAGGTGAAGGTGCAACACAGTGGGATGCTCTGTCATGCTTCTTATGGACCTTCTCCAGCCCTGGCCTTGCTCACTCCCCATCAGTTCAAAAACAGGAGAAAGCTCGCTCTCTTCAGCAGCTGTTTGTCTGAACATAGAATCATAGAATGGTTAGAGTTGGAAGGGACCTTAAAGATCACCTAGTTCCAACCCCCCTGCCATGGGCAGGGACACCTCCCACTAGAACAGGTTGCTCAAAGCTCCATCCAGCCTGGCCTTGAACACTTCCAGGGATTGGGCATCCACAACTTCCCTGGGCAACATCTTGCAGAGCTCTTTGGGGAGCAGGTTTGGAAGAGAAGGTGTTAACCAGGGTTATTTCAAACTTCAGCCTGAAAATTTAAGAAGCTATATGGGTAGGGACAGGGCCATATGTAAAGAAATGGTAACTGGAGGCCTCTGGATCTGCTAGAGAGCTCAGCATTAGCCAGCTTCCTGTCTTCCTACCCCCCTGCTACCGTGTAAAGCATTTTCCAGTCAAGGGGATGGCCAATGTGCTGGGAAAGGCAATGTCTATGGTTCGTGCCTGTGGCTCTACAGGACAAGGTGCATCTCACCCGTCCATACTTGCAGAGCAGGTTGATTTGCAGACGGTGGTGAAGAAGGTGATTTGCAGGTGGTGAAGAAAAAGACCTAAAAAACTACAACCCTAAGATGTAATGGTCCAGCACAGATTTTCTCTAAAGAAATTAGTGGTTTCAAGGTCCTTGGCCAGAGTCCCTGGACCCATTCCAGTGCTGTGTGATACCTTCTCCTCTGGAGTTGACTGCCTTTCCAAGGTACTGGACATGTATTGCAAAGCATGACACAAAAGTGGCTTTGTAGCAATGCTTTGTGCCTGTTCCTCCCTCCTTCCACAAGAAGAATGGCTGGTTTGCCTTTTGACAGGGTGATCAAGGGAGGTATTGAAGTTATGTAGCGAGCATCTTGCAGGAAGTCAGCAGACCTGAGGCTACAGATCTGTCCTGAGCTTTTCATATTGCCCTTCCCAGACCAGAATGGAACCACCTACAATGTAATGTTAAATTTAATATGTGCTAAAAAACACTGAGGAAACCAATCCTTAGGAAAGCCAGATGCTTTCCTCAGAACGAAGCTGAACAAACTGGGATGGGGGAGAACACAGAGACTGGCAGGCAGCCGAAACCTTCAAAGAGATGCAGCATCTTCAAGAAAAGGAGCAGGAGATGGAGCATCTGGGAGGAAGGAGCACAGGCAAACAGGATGATTAGGATTTGGCAAGGCCAGCAAAGAAAGGAGTGGGAGCTGCGCAGTATGTCCATGTGTACCATTGCCAACACTGAGCTGCAGAAGACACTGGCATGTGGCTTTCTCCATCCCTTGTTTCGCGCATGTCTTGAGGAGGAAGAAGCATTTTGTTGTTGTTCAGGAAGTTTAGCAATGGCTGCTGTACTCCTGCTCACAAAGGCAAAAGGCTACAGGGTGATGCTGGTGGCCTTCAGGCCTGAGACTAAGGGGTGATTGACTGGTTGACTCACCCCTGATGCCTGGCTGCCTTGCTCCCCACAGCCAGCGCCGTCACAAACATTCAGGGGAGCCCTACAACATTAATGATCTCCCTCTGCACATCCCTCTCCATCTCCCTCTGCACATCCCTCACAGACAGGCAGCAGAAGTGCTGCTGCCTCTCAGCTGGGGCATCGCAGCTGAGCACTCCACCTGCATCACAACCCTTCAGCCGTGGCACAGGGTTGCAGAAAGAGACGTGAGGTCCCATGGAAAGCGTGCCTCTGCCCAGTGAAAAGTAGCCTTTATTTGTGCTGTTCAATTTGCCATGCAGGGTAAAACTTATTAAAACTGACAGGAGTCCCCAGGGCAGGGAACCAGAAAGGTCTTCCCCACGTGGCCAAACATACAGCAGCCTGGTGCTTGTCTCACTGAAATCCTTAAATCATTATGCTGAAATTAATTTTTAATTATGCTCATTTTCTTCTTTGGCTCTAGGGGCTTTCTTTGCCTCACATTTCCAGAGGCATTCAGAGAAGAGATGAGACCAGTGTCTGGCAGGAAGAAATTCACTCATGTGTGGCCAGAATCATGAGGGATGCTCAAGAGAATTCCTTGCCTGGGTGAAAGAGCCTCCCTGTTGGAGAAAGGTGTGGTTGGCATCAGAGCTGACAGACTCCCGTTCTGGTGCTTGAGGTGGTAGGAAGCCAAGAAAGGGTGGTAGGAGTGATGCCAGGAAAGCAGAACAAGAAAGGTCACCCCTCTGCCTTGAGTTGAGGTTGACTGTTTGGGGAGTAACAGAGCGCAGCTGGATCAGTGGCATTTGAGAGCGAAAGGCAGGATTGGCCTGGGATATATCTTTTCCCTCCTGTTCAATGTCATTCAGCAAGATGTATGTAGCAGCTGATGCTGACTTTGAAGAAGTACTGTTTTGAATCCCTCACACCTTGAATTGCCTGCAGCCTTGTGAGCCTTCCTTTGCTCCTAAGGCAGCAGGTCAGGTGGTAAGGTACCATCAGGAGTTGACAACTATGTTAATTCATTATTACTGGTAGACAAGGAAAAGTTCAATTCAATCATTCAGTCAAAGGCTAATTGAGATTTGGGGTACTCACATTGGTCTGAGGCAGAACTGACATGCCCATTCTCTGTGGGAGATGAGACACCTCACAGCAGGAGCGTTTGCAGGCTGAAGCCCGCCAGACTCTGTCATCACTTTGTGAGCAAACCATCACACACTCGGCTGAAACTAATCAGATTGGTACCACCATCCTCTGGGTGCCCACAGTTCCTATTTGTAGTTGTCTGAGCATCACCGTATCAGCAGCCTGCAGCCTGTTGATCCTTCCTCAAAGCGCTGGCATTGATTAGACATTCTTCAAAAACTGCCACGTCACTAACAGCAACTGAGACAGGGTCGTGCTCTGTTACAAGCTTAAGCTGAGCTCCACCTTGCATAAAGCTGCTCCTTCCAGAGGAGCTGCTAGCCTGAGCAGGTTGTGCTGACCCCAGCTGTGGACAAAGGACCTGCCTGGGGAAGCAAGTCCCCAGGTCACCTCGGTTGCCCTCAAAGGTGCTGCCACACAGCAGGTTCCAGGTGCACTTTCTTTGGCTGCTGGAGCTTAGTCCCACAAGTGTGGTCCAGCTGAGCTCAGCTGCATTAGCTGGCATGCCCATCCCCTAAGGAGTCTGGGGAGGGTTACCTGAGGAAGTGAGGTTTTCTGCAAGATTTTGTTTTGTCCTTGTTGTAGTCTGACAAATGTGGGGTTTTTTAACGTCTGGCTGCCACCAGGATTGCTAAGGCAACATGTCCCACAGCTGCTGCAAGGTGCACTGGAGCATGTCAGCTGAGCAGCCTCACCTGCAGAGCCAGCGGGTGAAACCCGCCTCCTCCATCACTTCCTTGTGTTCCCAGCAGGCAGCTTTCCCTCCTGGAACGTTGTTTTACCTTCTTCCCTGTGGGCCTTTGTGCTTTCCTGCTTAAAGACTTCAGCGTGACCTGGTGCTTGTTGTGCCTGTTGCTGCCTCTGATGGGGGAGAGTATTTTATGGCGTCTCCGTCTACATTTTATGATGGAAAACTCAACACAGGAGCCACTGATTTTAGCTCTGGATGGCTTCAGTTTTGGTGCCCAACACTATTTAAGGTTTTAGTAACTTGAGTAACCTGTGGTTTTGCTGCTAGATGTGAAGTTTGAATCGTAGCCCATGAGAACACAACTGAGAACCATGGGGTATCTGATGGACATCTCCTGTTGCACCTGCCTCCAGGTAAGCCACAGAAGTAGTTACAATAAGCATAGTACAGCAATCTAAATAGAAAATTTTGGTGGTCTGTGAAGGGGTGGCAGTGAGCTATGGAGATGCTCTCTGCTTGCTTCTGCCCACCATCCTTGTAGGAGTGGCTGAGAGCTGCTTGGGATGGGTTGTCTTGCCTTGCCTTGTTTTCACAGGGCTGTACCCACCTTAAATACCCTATGCCATCATGGCTATCGTACAGCAGCCTGAGGAGAGATTGCACTTTTGGAGGCACCATGGAGAATAGGCTTCTGCCTGATCAGCTGTCCTTTAAAGCCAGTACAGAGTTGGGGAGGGGGAGGAGAGGTGAGCATCTCTGACTGTTTGTTTTGAAAAACCTCTTATTGTGAACAAAGGAGTCATAATTCATTTTATTTGCAGTTTATGCTGAAAAAAAATAAAGGACTTCAGAGCTGCAGCATTGACCCTGCATTGTCAGGGTCCTCTGTGTCCCTCCTGGGAGGTGCACACACATACACACCTGGGTGGGTTGTGCTGTTTAGAAGCTCCCACTGAGCAGCACTACACGCAGGGAGGGGGAAACTTGATGCATGTGATATGTGGCACCCCTTGGATGTGGCAGGTCTGGGGAGCCCCAGGCTGTGCGGAGGGGATGAGGGGCTCCATGGCTTTGTCTGAGTCAGAGCACAATGCTGTGAGAGAGCTGCATCTGCCTGCTAACCCCAGTGAGGACAAGCCTGGTGAGCAAGCCCTTGGGGCTACGTGGGCCCTGTGGCTCGTCTGGGCTCCCACAGCTCAGTCAGAGCTACAGCTCTGGGACCTGGGAGAGATGTCCGCCTGGAGAAACAGCGGAGGCAGGGGATAAACAGTGTTTTTTCAGTCCATTTCTCAAGCATGCTATAATTGTGTCTAGACAGGCAGTACTTGGATGGCTGCCTTGTACCTTGTTGGGGTGGGGGGGCTGCTGTTTCCAGTGGGTTTTGCCAGCTCTCCTTCGTCTCCAAAGGGTCTTAAATCTCTTCAGCTACAGTAGGGATGCTTCCTGGCTATTTGGTCTGCTGGCTCATTTACAAATGGCATCCGGCACAGGGGATGGGATGCTGGTACAAATGGCATCGGGCACAGTAGGTACCCTGTTCCTGCTGCCTGGTGGAGCAGGGTGAAGGTGAGCACAGGCTGCACGTCTGCCCAGTGCTCTGTCAGAGCAGGTCTCCTGACACAGGGAATTATTTACAGCCCACGGCAGTCTCTGAGCTCCCTCTTCCTCTCTGTGGGAAAGGAGCTTTCTGCATTCTCCAAAGTCTCCTCTTAATGTGACTATCAGCATGTAAATGAAACCCTGCACAATGCCTGTGGTCCTTCAGCAGAGCACAGCGTCATGGCTCACCTCTCCTCATCCAGCCAGTCGTGGAGCCAGGGAAAAAAAACTCCAGTAAAGATGAAAACGTTGTAGGAAATGAAGGTTAGAAGGGGGCATTTCAGGTAAAAAATGAGAACGTGCAGATTACTCTATTGCAAATAATGAGGGGGGGGGATTGTGAAGCACAGGTCTTGGGGGGGTCCTCAGCTGCCCCTCTGGTTTGATAGGGAGGGTGGGGGCATGTCATAGAATCATAGAATGGTTAGGGTTGGAAGGGACCTTAAAGATCATTGAGTTCCAACCCCCCTGCCATGGGCAGGGACACCTCCCACTAGAGCAGGTTGCTCAAAGCCCCATTCAGCCTGGCCTTGAACACCTCCAGGGATGGGGCATCCACAACTTCCCTGGACAACTTGTTCTAGTGCTTCACCACCCTCACAGTAAAGAATTTCTTCCTAATAACTAATCTAAATCTCCCCTCTTCCAATTTAAAACCATTACCCCTTGCCCTGTCGCTACACCTGCTGACAAAGAGTCCCTCTCTGGCTCTTGTCAACTGCTTGCACCTTTGATAGCTTCTGTTCCTTGGCCTTTCCTGTGAAGACACCTTTGTTCATATTGCCAAGTAAAACTGGGCACAGAGCTCAAGCAGTACTTGAGGGAGGGGGAGAGAGAAATTGTTTTCTTTTGGAGTTGAGCTTTTGTAATTGGGGGTGGGTTTTGTGGTGCTTTTTTTTTTTCTTTTTGTGCATAGCAGGTTATAGTTCAAGAGAATGCTGTTAGTTCTGTGATCTGATAGTTCAAACCTCATTATTAAATAAAGGACAATATTTTTAGATGTAGAACTTTCCTCATCTCTCATAGCTGTGTGGGTACCAAAAAACTGTTTAGTCTTCTGCCACACCTCCTGTTCCTCACCTCTCTCCTGAACGGCCTTGGGGCTCACTGCTTCAAGAACAGGCTTGAATTCAAGCAAGATCAGACTGGACATGACACCTGAGAGACGCTAGGTCAGGGCATGAAATGGACCCAGTCACCCTTTAAAAGATCTTTTTCCTTGTTTCTACCTTTCTGGCAACTGTCTATATAAAGCAACTGAAACTGGTCTCTGGTGATCTGTGTTATGAAGCATCTTAATGAGAATTACTTGAGCAGCAATCTGTCCGTAGGTTGATTCACTTGATTGATGCCCCCAAAATCCTGTGTGCTGAGTACCTCCCATGCTGTCCAGTGCCTTTGAGCAGATGGAGTAACACTACTGCACGCCTGCCTGGTGTAGCTGGGAAACTAATTGACCATATTTTCAGAATTCATCTGCTGGAAGTGCTTACAGCAGCTGTTGATTTCTTTCCCAGTTGCAAGTAAAATGCAAGTAATAATAAAGACCTCTTGTGGGTGTCTAGGCCGGTGATCATTTTGTACAGGGAAAGCACTAAGACAGCTACAGATGAGAGAAGGCTGATGGAAGGGTTACGTTCACCACAAAGGTACCAAAACCTCCAGTTACATCTGTGTTTTATTGGATTAATGCAGTTACAATGCAGTATGGAGGGCACTTCCCCGGGGCAAACAATACATGCTGTCCACGAGCATCTCCTCCCAAAGCCTAGGCAAACAAAAGAAGAAGCTAGAGCTCTGCTACGTGCTCCAGAGGCAGAGGAACAATGGTTTTGGCTTTATATTCAGAGAGGAAGCTCTTCCCAAGTGGAGGAGCTGTGGCGTGGGCGAGAGCAGGGACAGCACACGCAGTTACACCCAAAGCTGTCAAATGAGCACAGTTAGCAGCACAGCTAGGCACAGGCTGGGGGGTGATCCTGTACAGCGCGGAGGGGGGAAAATGAAAGAAACTCTCCCACCTCGGGTTTGTCTGTACAAGGAGAAGAGCGTTAAACTGCCCGGACACGAGACCTGCTTCCATGGTACAGCAGGGCTTGTCTGGTGTTTGCATCCAGGAGTTACTGGAATGTAATCCAGGAGTTACTGGAAATGGCTTTGTAAAATACTGCTGGGAAAGGAGACGGTGGGAGGGCTGTATTTGGCCAGCCCCCTGGAAGCTGGGATGTACGGACGCCCTGTGTGCTGGCAGGTCTATCAGCGAGGGCAGCCAGGGAGAGTCCCAGGTCTGATCCTGAGGAACATGTCCTTTCTTACTGCTATTGAAACAGCTCTCCCCGGGTGTGGGTCTGAACAGGAGCCACTGCAGCAATCAGAGGGGACAAACCCTTGTTCTAGCAGTGCTTCTGACAAGGAGAGGAGCACAAACAGAGATTGGTTCCCAAGAAACCATGAACAAGTTTTGAAAAAGGGTGCATGCAACCTGCCCTAGCTGAAAAAAACAGGCTTGAACTTATTGCAGGCATGGCAGGAGTTATCCTGGACTTTGTTCATTATTTAACCACCCCAGTAGATGACAGGTTATGTGGTAGTTAAGTAGGGGACAATCTATCATTCTGAGACTGACCCACTTTTATGGGCAAACCTTTTCATGGAGACCACGGGGATGTTGTTGCTTCTCCATCAGCGTTTCCTTTTCAAGTTTCCTTGTCGTTTTCTCACTTGTGGCTCCAGGTTGAAGGGATCAGGATCCTTATGCAAGAGGTCGTTCTATCCTCTTATTAGGATTGCTGCGTGTGACCCTGGTGTCTTCTGCAGGCAGAGGCTCCAGCAGTGCAAATGCATTCCCAGCACATAGGTGGGGGAGATGAGAGATGCTGTCCACTTGGGTCTGGTGTGCTCTGCAAGCCTGGCAGCTCCCAGGGGTGGTGGCTTATCTTCCACTTCATGCCTCTCCTCGGGGTCTGCCTCTCAGCGCCGCTGTGCCCACTGCTGAGGGACTCACTGGTTCGCCTCTGTGTCTTCTTCCCCTCCCTCCCCAGAAACAGGAACCACAGAATGGTAGGAGTTGGAAGGGACCTTTGGAGATCATCTAGTTCAACCATCCGGCCAAAGCAGGTTCACCTAGGGCAGGATGGACAGGAACACATCCAGGCAGGTTTTGAGTATCTCCAGAGAAGGAGACTCCACAACCTCTCTGGGCAGCCTGGTCCAGTGCTCTGTCACCCTCAAGGAAAAGTTTTTCCTCATGTTGAGATGGAATTTCCTGTGTTCCAGTTTGTGCCCATTGCCCCTTGTCCTGTTGCTGGGCACCACCGAAAAAAGTCTGGGCACATCCTCTTGGCACCCGCCCTTTAGATATTTATAAGCATTGATGAGATCCTCTCTCAGCCTTCTCTTCTCCAGGCTAAACAGACCCAGATCTTTCAGCCTTTCCTTGTAGGAGCACTTGTACTCTCTTAAGCAGGAACACTGAGGTGTGGGAAGCCAGACGTGCAGGTGGGGTGGGTTCTTGCTCTTCCCTCTGGTGCAGAGGGTGCCTGGCTGTTGGCAATGACCACATCTTGCTTACCACCACCACCGCTCACCCCCTGCAGCATGTGAAGCAGAGGGAGATGAGGGCCTCACTCCTTGTCCCCAGCCCAGAAGGCTGCTGCAAACCACAGCCCGTGCAGCCCCGTGCCAGCCCCGCAGTCAGCAGCAGAGGATCTTGAGGAAGGCTTTGCGGAAGTCGGTGTTGAAGGTTGTGTAGATGATGGGGTTGAGGGCGCTGTTGACGTAGCCGAGCCAGGTGCTGGCACTATAAAGCCCAGGGGGTACGTGGCAGGATGGGCAGTGGGTGTTGAGGATGTGAATCAAGAAGAAAGGCAGCCAGCAGACTATGAATGCCCCTGGGTTTAGAGAGATGGAGAAAACAATCCATGACTTTAGAGAAGCAACTATGTGGAGAGGGGCCTGCTCCTGTGCTCTCTCCCTCCCGCACCTCCCTAGTTCCATGCACGTGTCTGCATTTGGTAAACGCCGAAGGTGACGTTCATTCCTAATACAGAGGGACTTGGCAAGAGCTCAGGCACCTTGGGACCAGTAGTGATGTGAATGGGTGGATGGGGCTTCAGAAGTAGCTCACTGACAGACAAAAGCAAGTGGCCACAACTTAGAGGGAAAGACTGCTGCCTTGGCAGCTTTATCAGTTACAATGAGGGCTGTTTTATTTCCCTGCTACTAATAAGGGAAAGCAGTGCATCTGATGACCGGGGCACTGGTCTCCTGGCTTCTCTATCCAGCTCTATGAGCTGGTTCCTCTGCTGCTCCTTGCCTCAGTTTCCCCTTCTGTAATTTGACCTAAGAGCTGCTGCCTGTATGGAAACTTAGGATGGTTCCAGCTTTATACTACTACTACTACTAATAATAATGATAATAATAATAAAATACAGGGAAAGAAAAAGCAAACATGTTGGCTGTTGCTCCCTCTAGCAAGGCTTGTTGGCCACTGATTTAAAACAAAAGGGTAACAAAACATAGCGAATAAAACACTAACATACCTGGCTCTGAACATTTGAGAGCATTATCCAAGATCAGCATCCCTAAATGTCCCACAATTGTCTCTCCTGAGTTTGTGGAGCACTGACAGCTGAAATCTGGGCCTAGCTACCATTTTTTTAATCTCAATACTGTATTAGGAGATTCTTGCTCTTGCAAGTACCAAACCATCACCCCTCGCACCCCACTAGACAGAGTGGCTCTTACTCACCCAGGACAATAGCCAGCATCTGTGTAGCCTTCCTCTCCCGAAGCTGGATCAGCCGGGGCTGCTGGTGTGCTAGCTTCAAAGAGCTGATGGTTTTTCCATCACTGAGCCTCCGTACCTCCAGTCCTGGCTTCGTACTCTTTCTCCTCTCTTCCAGCCTGCTGTGTTGTGTAGTCCCTGGTGTCTTGGTGAGGGATGCCTCATGGCAGAAGCTGCGGTACCGCTGCAGGCCGAAGACAGTCAGCAACTTCCTTTTGGTAGACATCTCCTGGCCTGAGCATTTGAGTGGGAGACAGGGGGAAAAGGTTCCTTGGCATCTGTTTGGCAAAGATCTGTTTCTCTCCGTGTGTTCCTGCAAAATAGGATGTCACAGAGGAACTGGGGACCATCCAAACCATTCATTGGGTCAAAGGATGATAAGGAAAGTTGTAGGAGTCATCCTTAGCCCCACTTACTTCTTAGGTCAGCGCCACATCCTCTGAAGCAGCTTTAGCTTATCAGAGGGGTGAAACAGCACCAGACAACTCTGTGCCTCCAGCCCACCAAGGAGAAGCATGAGAACAAGAGCTGAAGCACCTCCTCTGCTAACCTTCCACTTGCATTTTTGTGTTGGCCCTGCTCCCCTCAACATCCCCACCCTTTTTAAATGTAGCTTCACTGTGAGAAAATGGGTAAAACAAGCAGATATGCATGATCAGGCGATCCCTTTCAAACCATTGTGCTTGTTCCCATGGTTGCAGATATTTCATCTAGAAAGGTCAGTGGAACAAATGCTCTGTGCACCATGAGCGTTATGACCTCTTAGGTCTGGCAGATGAAGAGGTGTTTGTTTTTGTTTTTAAATAATCTGGATCTGTGGAGCCTTGAGAATGAAGCCTCATAGAGGAAAAATCAATAAATGAAGACATTAAAATCAATAAATGAAGAAATTAGCCAGACTTCCACATGGTTGAGAAAGCCCTGTTCTAAAGAAATATTGAAGTAGGCTGTGCTCTTTTCTAGTTGCCTGGTTCTAGAGGGCAGAGATACACAAGGGGTATCTTCTTTCTAGAGGGCTGAAAAGGGTTTAACTGATGCTTCTGCATCTCAAATATAATGGTGTATGAGTGAGGGATGGGATGAAAACATGCTATGTCCCTTCTTTATGCTTTTTGTTCTATGCTTTGACTCCTTGAGGAGATGATGCATGCCCTGTCCTTTCTGAGAGCTCCTACTGTGTGCATGTGGATCTTACTTTGTGTGTATAACACGGTTTGGTGCTGGTGCTGTGGCTGCCCTGCCGGGTGAGGGTTCGCTTCTTTTGCCTTTGTCTTAGCACGAGGTAAATCCGGACATAGAGCAGCAGGGTCACCATGAAGGGGAGGTAGAAGGACACCAAAGAGGAGTAGATGATGAAACTAGGGTTGGATATGGAACAGACACTGGGATCCCCTGGGGAGGAGAAGAGAGAGAGAGAGAGAGGAAAGGCTGAACTGCTTCGGATTAGTACAAGGAGGCTGTGGTGCATTGGCAAAGCAAGTCAAGGTGGCCAGGGGACAAAGGCAGTCTAAGGAGTGCAAGTATCTCCTACCTCTGTTGTTGCAAATGATATTGTGGCTTACCCACTCACCTAACATGCTTAAAATGGACTCTACTGAGGGCCATCTAGCACGACCCAGCATGCATCTTCCTGCTTTTGTGGCCAACAGCTCTGCCCTCTTCTCTCATGTCTACGCCCATCCTTTCTCAGAGGCTCCTTTCTCCTTTCATCCTTTCTCCTATTTCTCTGACAGCCTCTGAGCTGTCTAGATGCAGGGTTGTGCCCTCACCCCACCTGTCTGGACCAGGCAGTGGGGGACAACAGCACCTTCCCAAACCCTGTTCCCTTCTTGCCTCAAGCACTGCACAGGGCATCAATGGGGAGCAGAGCACTTCTGCCTGTGGCCCAGGGGGAAGGACGTGCCCCTACCCCTCTGCCTCCAGGGAGAATGGGCTGCCCTAGGTGAGGGGAAGGAGAAAGACCAACCTGCTTCCAAGGAGGACACTAAATCATCCGCTCTCCTCAAGGGATTAGGTGAGGAAGCAGACAGCCAGTTGGAAAGGAAGGATGTTTCTCACAAGCAGCGCCAACATGCAATCCTTGCTGTTTAGAAATGTGTCCTGATTCAGATTTAAAACTGTGTGTCTGGATGGCAAGATGCAGTAAATCTGGTGTGTGTGTTGGACGTGCTGCATGTCTGGAGATTTGCTCTGTGTGCACAAGAGTGATTTTTTTGGGGGGCATCTGTAGACCTGGACACTTTGATGGGCATTGATTTGGCAGTAAAGCAGGCAGGTCTGTCCTCAGAGCAACACTCAGTGTCTGCCTGAGCAAATGGTAAGTTTATAGACAAGAGCACACTTGCTCTCCAGCACCGGAGATTTTTCTAACCCTTCACAGTGTGCTTTCCAGTTCCCTAAGATTTCCTGTAACTTGGGAAGTCTGCAGGACCAATGTTAAGTGACCTGGCCATACACAGAGCAGCTCCATTTCCAACCCTTCCCAGCATGTCACCTGGGACGTCACATACCTGTAGTATTGAAGCCGAAGAGGAGAGGGCATGACACAGCGAACGCCAGCATCCAGACTATCACGATCATGAGAGAGACCCTCCTGCAGGAGCTCTGCCCAGTGCTGTACTGGTACTGAACTGGTTTCACCACTGCGGTGTATCTGAGGACCAAACCAGCTCAAGAAAGAGGAGAGGTAAGAATGGAGGGAGGAAAAGGAACAGGTTTTAAAAGGAGAAATGAAAGCCACATAGGGAACATGATGGTGAACATGGTGAAGAAATGGAAGAGGAAAGGAGAGAAGATCAGATGATGGCATCAGCAATTTGTAGAAATGGTAAGTGGGGCATTAGGGGGAGGAACAGAGGAAATCAGAGTTAGTTGGCAGCACTGCAGAGAAATGCCCTGCAGAACTGCCAAGGCTTGGGATACCAGATGGACCTAGAAACCTCAGGGAACCCCCATCCCTCAAGCCCCTAGGGTTATATGTGGACTACTGGGAAAGAGCAGTCTCTGGAGCAACCACAGCCTGCTATGCTCTGGCCATCAGCTGCTGCTCTGGTGTCAGTCTTGCTGGCAACCAGAGGATTGTCCACAGGTGGATGTCCAGGGGCTTCAGCTGCTGGGGTGCCTTAGGAGATGCAGCTCAGCAAGGCTAAGATTTGGAAGGCACAGTAGTCTCATCTTTAGGATACCCCAGGGGCTGCTCCTTGCAGACAGGGACAAAATGAAACGGGGACAAAGGTTCCTATGGAAGAACACTGGACCAGCCCAGCATTGAGAGCTGCCTCATCCAATTGCCCTTCAACCACGTATTACAAAGGTACCATGCAGTGTTTTTTCCTTTCCATGTGGGCCAAGGTCTTGGTGCCCAGCCCTCAGCGTTGCTTAAAATAGGCTCAGTTTTAAGATACAGAAAAACAAGGCAATGCTGAAGATTACACAGCAATAATCTTCACTCCTCCCTACGTACATGGCAGGATTTAATTTATTAAAACTTCATGAGTGAGGTCTCCAGAAGGAGAAACCCTCTTGGAGACCCAATGGGAACTGGATGACCCATTTTGGTTCCTGCCTTAAAAAATCATGATGATGCGGTTGACTGCCACGCATCGACATGTGGTGATGTCTTATTTCTTGTGCCCCTCTGCCCCTAAGTGCAGACATCTAGCACATGGTGGGCAGAGCCATGCTAGCAGCAGTAGTGGCAGTGGGAGACTTGCAAGGAGGTTTGTGTTCCTGCAGACACTGCTGCTGCCTGTGCAAACCCCACGTCTTTGCCACCCCGGGGTCCGGGGTCCAGGGTCCACCCCATCTCCAGGCTATCCCCCCAGATGCTGTTTGCTCTCACCTGTCAATGCTGATAGCACAGAGGTTTAAAATGCTGGCTGTGCACATCATGACATCCATGGTGACGAAGATATCACAACAGATGCGGCTTAAAGTCCAGACTCCTCCAGTCACCTGCACCAGCAACCACAAAACCGTCAGTCTTGTTCTGCACCAAGTCCTGGTAAGTTATGTGTAAGGAGGTGCTCTCCTCTAAGTGTCTCAGCACCTAGATGTGTTCACCTCCACTGTGACGTGCAGAGGGAAACTGAAGTACCTATGTCATGTGCAGGATAACACAGTGGTAGGTCATGGAGAACAAGCCACATCTTGATTTCAATCTTTTAGTTACTCTTACAGGCAGGGTGAAGGAATAGATAGCAGCTACCCCTTCCCTTACGGCTTAGCATGATACATTGATTTAAATTTGATATCACTGTGTATATCCTTTGATTAAGGATTATCTGAGAGTATCTAAGGGCTGAAAGTGTTTCTCAGCTTAGCTGCTGGAGTTCTCTTGCAGGCAGTGAGCTGGAAAAGTGCTGTAAATTTTATGCATTTATGCATAAAAAAGAGACCTTGAGACATGAGGGTTCTCTAAAACGTTATCTGGATTCTTATCTCAGTTACAGACTTGATTATTAGATCTGAGTGAGAAATCACAAGCTATTCAGATAAAGGGTTTTGGTTTGCTACCATGTCGAGCTTTTGTTCTGGTTGTTTTGAATTTTTAATCTGAAGTGTGTAATCGTGAAAGCTTAGCTGTGGGCAATCATTGTGATAGAGAAATGCGGGTTTTTTTGGCCCAGCCACCAAGTTCTTGACAATGACCTTTTCGGTTGACAACAATATGCTCCAAGCACAGCGTGGCACTGCCCTCACCGGGGCTGGGATGACAGCCTGATTCCTGGTGAGGTGGTCTGCCTCAGCACCCAGGGAGGGGGTAGGAGAGAAAGAGGGAGGAAAGTCCTTGCTTGGAGAGAGCCTGCACGTTAGCCTTCGGCCCCATAGATCCTGCTGGTTCAGCTGGATCCTGGGAAGCTACCAGGAACAGGCACCAATTCCTGATCTCTCTGCTTGCTTTTAGACTGTATCTGCACCTGGTTTTGGGGCCCCAGTACAGGAAAAACATTGATAAACAAGAGCAAGTCCAGCAGAGGACCACCAAAACAGTTCCTGGGGGCTGGAGCACTTATCCTGTGAGAAGCAGCTAAGGGAAGAGGGCTTCTTCAGCCTGGAGAAGAGGTGGCTTTTGGTGAGTGGAAGGGCCAACAGCAATCCCCTAGCACCTAGTGGGAGATTATTAAGAAAGTTGGAGCAACAGGCATGAGTTGAAAGAAGAAAGGTTACAAACTGTTTATGAAGGTAGGCTCTCTGACTGAGAGGACAGTGAGGCAGTAGAACCAGTTGCTTGGTGAGTATGTGCAGGCTCCATCCTTGGAGGTTTTCAAGACCCACTCAAAAATACTTATCCCAGCTCAGGCTAGAGAGGGTGCCACAAGCAAGCTTGGCTTCTAAGGCAGTGGGTCAAACCTGCAGCAAGTGTTGATGCCTAGGAAGGATGCAGCTCCCTGCAGTGAGAAGCACGTGTATTAATACAGAATCCATTCCAGGTGACTTGTTTTCAGAGCTGTTTGAGAAATAATCCTGAGAAATTGAAATGGTTTTGATTGTGCCAACATTCCTGCACATGGGCACAGAAACTCACTGAGGTGAGCTGTGGCTTTAGGGTGTTCTCTGCTGGACCCAGCTGCTACGTGTCAGAAGTCAGGTGCTGAACGAGGCAGTCTTCCATTAGACCCCCTGAATGCAGAGGAGAAATGGGAACTGGCTTGCAAAATGCAGTAGGGAACTGTGCTTTCATCCTCGGTTCTCTGACACTTGTGAGGCTCCTTTGTTTTCTTTTAAAAATAGCAGTGAAGGAAAAAAAAACCCCAAACCAAACCCTTAGAGCTTTTCTGCACAATGAGGTGGGCTAAAAGACACGCAAACTGCAGGCTGTCCCTCTGAAATTAGAGACCTTAATAGGTAGGTTCAGTTTTCAAAGAAACCCCACACCTTTTTTACCTTAGTTGCAGATTTTGAGATCTGCTTGACCATCTCAAAATATATTAAAAAACCCCAAAAAACTCTGGAAGCTTTTGCAGTGGGATCCAGTAGGGGTTGTTTCTGTAGTCTGAGGCAAAATCCAAAGCAGTGTCTGTGTGATCTGTGGAGCCTGAACACTATTTCACCAGGAGCTAGTGCCAGGTGTTCGCATGAAAGCCAGCTGCCACTAGCCCAGCAGATGTGCAAGCACTTAACTGAGGGAGTTTCCAAGGTCCTGAGCACATTCAAATGCTAAGCCCAAGAATACAAACATTTGAAACTGAGGAAGGTGGTGGTGGGAATGGCTCTGAAGTGAATCCTCTCAGGGTGATGCATTCAGATCACACCACCTGCATTATACACTGTAGCTTGTATTAAGAGGATGCTTGACAGAGCAAAACATTTGGACTTAAAACCCATCCTCACTTCCACTAGCCACAACTTCTAAAATAGGGAGTGACTGAAGTCGGTGAAGTAGTTAATATTTACCTCTGGGGTATGTGAACCCCAAATTTATTCCAGAATCTAACAATGAAGAAGGACCTTTTTACTATAGGCCTCGTCCATAATTTTCAAAATTCTATTTCTGCTCTTCCTTTTATTGCTCTGTTCCGCTCATCTTTGCTACAGCAGCTAGAACTTGCCAGTGTGCATTTCTGGTTTTCATGTGCTGGCAGGGTACATGTTCTTTATCCCTCTGGTGCCTTTTGTCCAGGAATTTCAAAGCACATCACAGGTATTAATTGAATGAAGCCTCACAACTGCCTGGGTGAGGTGGATGGTCAAATATTATTCTTTTACAGCTGATGAGAGCAAACCATGGAGAGAGGAGCTGATACAATCTCTCATTACCACTCAGTGCGTGTGCAGCAGAAGTGGGAATAGAGTCCAGGATGAAATCCTGGCTCTGTCAAAGACAATGCTAAAGCTCCCTATAAAATATTCAGGTCAGGTTCTCACCTCATCTTTCTTGATGACCAGTCTGCTTTACCCACAAAATTGAGGTATTATTATTTTTCATTTTCCAACCCTATAGGAAGTCTTCCAGTTTAAAAAAAAAATAATCATTGTGTGTTCATAAACTTACGCAAATCCATCACACTCCTGATCCTTAAAAATACACAAAAGAATCTCAGTAATTCAGATATGCATGATGATGCTGTATTGAGGAGTAGCTGGATGGGAAAGTATGAACACAAAGTTGGATCAGGGGGCAACAGGCATACAAGTGGCAGTGCATCTAGGCATGCTCGCTTAAGCCTTTTGTGTTTAAGAGAATGTTCTTCTTGGGGGTGCTGTTAGCTCCCTGCAGCTGTGAAATGGCTGCTAATGTTTTTGCACGGCGGGAATAACTACAAGCCTGCACGCAGTCAGGCCTGCTGAGGAGTGGTAAGCTGCTGAGCTGCAGTAACTCAGTTGTCTGTCCTCTCTTTGATGGTGATCTGGTGAGTAGTTGTAGATCTTGATCCTCCAATGTGAGAGCCACAGAAAGGAGACAGCGTTACTCTCACAACATGGTCTGAACAGAGCTGCAGACTGGACCTCAGTGACAATCTTCTTCTGAAGCTTTTTTTCCCTTTGGAGGTAGAACTGGGTGTTGTGAGAAGACTGAGAAGGAAGGTCCAGGCCACACTGCTACATGTCATCCTCCATTCATAGAATCACTATAAGGCATGATGGTATTTAATGCCATCAAACTCTAGTGGGCATGGGCAGGATACCCTAATGCCACTGGCTTCAGTAGTTGTGCCAACCACAGCATCAGAGGCCAGTAAAGAACTGGGGTAGCAGTATTCATATATTAGACCTACCCATTGACCCCAGAAAATTGCTCACGCAGTGCTGAATAGCATTTTTTGGGCAAGAAACATCATTAAGTGGAGACCAGGATTTTGAGATTATAAAATCTTCCTATTGTTGCTCTGTCACAGCCTTCCCAAAAGACCTCTCAGAAAGAGACAGTTCTGGTATGCATGATTGATAAAATACATTTCCTGGAGAAGGTTCAGGCCACAGATGGCTCTAAAAATTGAGTGTAAAGCACCAAGTTCACAGCTGATATTTAAATCTAAGGTATTCATCCACCTTTAGCTTCTCTGTAAATAATGGCCAGGTCTCAGATGTCTGCTTTGGCAAACATTCAGTAGATTAATAGGTATTGTACATGGTTTTGGGGACTGAATGATTTCTTGGCAATTTCCAGGCCCATCGTGTACTGAAGCATGATGCCATTTGCGCTTCATTGGTAGCATCGTTGATCCACAAACAGCAGAAAATATCTAAATGGCTTTGGAGCTTTTTGGACCATTTTAAAAATCTTAATCTTGCTGGAGTCCTATAGCCTAGTTCTCTAGGAGATACTGTGCAACGTTGGGAGTGGTAGGTTGGGTTTGAGATGCGTGTGTGTTCTTGTCACTGTTGTTTGGGTGACTCTTGGCTCAGATACTGTGATTCTGCAAGCTCTAGAATTGATCTTGAATTGGTCTACAAACACAACTAAGGAATGGGTCTACTGTGGTCCTCACAAATTGTGACCACAGTACTGCATGGGGGCAGAGGCTGCTTCACAGATGTCTCTTGGTTCCATCATCTCCACAGTGATAGCAAGTCTTTTCTAATGCAAAGTGTATTGTGGTTTCATTAAAGACTGGAACATGCTTGAGGTGATGGAATATTCCTGTATAAGCAGTCTGAAATAAGATTTTACTTTCAATAATATTTTTTAGTTGCAATCAAATTGCAGAGTCTAATTCTATCTCGCCAGGATGGTTCCCCCTCCTCCTGCCCCTTATTCTTTGCTTTTAAACCATTCAGTGTAACACAACTGAGCTGTAGACGTCCTGCAGGCCAGCTCCAGGACCGCTCCATGCAGATTAGTCTAAATGTTGCTACCGACTTCATTAAGAACATGATCACACATGCAGTATCATGGTGCTCTCCTTGTTCTTTCACTCCACAGCGATGCTATACATAAATAATTAGCCAGTAATGCCCTTATTAATAATGCTTATATACAGAGCAAACCCTTAATTTTTCTTAATTGTAGCCTTGCTGAGACTGCAGTTTGTGGGCGCAGTTTGGGAGAAAGAATGGCTTGGATTAACACAAGGGAAATGCCTAGGCTGGGTGCCAAAGCTGAGAGCTGTGTTGCTTATTGAATGTACCCTGGTGGCAGCCACTGCCTGTCCCCTGCTACTTGACCAAATCTCCTTCTACCTGCATAGCAGGTCTGGCATTTGCTGGTGGTGTCCTGTCTTGTCCTACTTTTTGGTTCGCGCGCTGCGCCGTCCATATGGGCAAGTCAAAATCCCTATCTGCTTCTGCTTTGTTTTGCAGGAAAGAGGTCAGCCAAAAGGTGGGCAGCTGCCAACAGAATATCTACCCTCCCCTTCAGCCTGATCCCAGCTTGCCCCTTGCAGAAAGAGCAGGAGGCTCCAGCGAGATCGTGGCTCAGAGGCTTATTCTGTCTCTCTTAGCATAAGAACCGGGTACCAGGGCTCAGCTGAAAGCTTACGGCTGATAGATGTTCACTCTAATTTTTCTAGACCTACCAATTCTTGTGAATTAGTGTAAAAATGTTGACGAGAGCAGATAAAAATGTCAGCTGTAGCATACCTTCCTGTATTTAGTTTAGTAAAAATCTTTCCCCCAGGAGTGGCTTCAGTGATTCAGGATTTTGCCGCAGTGTGGGGGAATTTGGTTTCCATCTTTGCTGCCCTGCATCAGATGGTGTTGTCCATACTGTGCACAGTTATGCCAGTACCTTTTTATACTGGCCAACGTGCAAAGATCAGGGAAATGGAGAATCAGACCCTGAGGGCCTGATGAGTGCTTTGAAGTTATAGCAAAAAGGCTCACATGACTTAAAGAGATTTTGGAGTGTGTTCGTCAGCTTCATCTCTTTTTCAGCCTGCTTGGGAAATGCCGCTTGGAATTGACCTAACATGATGGAGATTAAGGCTCTTAAACTCTGCAGGAGATGAGGATTTGACTGTCCTCGCTTGTTTTCTGGCTAGCAGGAACAGGAATTGATCTGGGCTCTAAGATGAGTTCCTATAAGGGACATCCACCCTATTGCCTCCCCCACCATTCCTGAATCATCACGCTGCTCACTGGCAACCTTTCTGGTAGTTGGAGTCAGCTTCAAGGATTCTCAGATGAAAGTGGTGTTAGCACATCAGGACCCACAATCTACATTACGGGCTGTATCCCAGCTGCCATTCAAGTTCAAAGAGGCTGTGTTGTGCCAGGAAGAGCAAGGCTCAGAGTATCGACTGACAGGTACAGGGCCTGTGGTGCATTTGTGCAGCATATGTCCAGCATACGAGGACCACCTGTGTGACACTGTGAGCTGCCACCCACCCCACAAGTGCCCCAGAGCTAGACGGGCAGTTAAAATGTGAATGGACTTTTATCTGTACCTGGCCTATCCTGAGAACGTGCACTAATGCTGGAGAACTCATCGTGTGCTTAAGTTCTGCTAATCTTTCCTACGACGTACTCACCTCCAGGTACACCACCCATGGCATCACCAAAGTGGCCAACAGCAAGTCCGCCACCGCCAGGCTCACCACAAGGTAGTTCGTTGTGGTTTGCAAGGTGCGTTCCCTCAGCACTGCTAAGCAGACCAGCACGTTCCCAAAGATGATGGCCAAAATCAAGATGCAGTAGCAGAGGGCATAGTAGGCATGTGAGTGTGGCAGATCCGGCTCTGTAGTGTTGTCTGCCCCACAGGGAATGGGGTCGGTGGTATTAGGATGGCTGCTGGTTCTTGTGAAGAGCGCCATGGGCACACCACTGCAAAGAGAAAGAGGCGACTCAAAATCAGGGCTATACAATAATTCTGGAGAACGGTGCATTTTGTTGATGATGTATGACTTTCATACTTCCAAGCCAGTTATAGAGGTCTTTTTTCTGCTCATATTTAGGCAGAGCTTTGCTTGAAGTCTTGCTTGTTTTTTCATTGGATCTAAGTCAAGAGAAGAATGCAAGATTTCAAAGATTTCACCTCCTGTGTGCGTCTGAAAGGTGCATCTTACCAACCAGTGCAGCTCTATGGAAAGCACCAATGGCTTTAAGATGCACCAAAGTCACACCACGGAACAAGTCAGCTGGGCAAGAGCAAAATCTGAAAGGCAACAATTTGTAGCACTGAGGAAGACACAATGCAGTTACCCAAACTAGGGCTTGGCCAGAAGCTTAGAAGAGAATCATAGAGTCATTTAGATTGGAAAAGAGCTTTAGGATTACCTAGCTTGGACCTAGTATCTTTTCTTCTGGGACTTACCCTCCCTTTCCCCTCATCAAAAAATGTCTTCAATAACTTCACGCAGTCAAGTGCTCGGCAGCCTGGCAGAGAAACCGCACCTGCAATGCTCAAGGAGCCTCTTGAACCCTGGTGCCTGGCAGTAAGCACCACCTACTGAACTACTCTCTTTTCCTGCAACGTCTTTTTGTCCCAGGCCTTTTGTTCAAATAATGCTCTGCTTCAGCCCTGCCTGCCTTGCCAAAGTTTGACTGTCAGTGCTGCCCCCATTTCGTCCATTATTGTGCTCTGTGTTTTCCACGCCTGGCCAGAAGATCTGCTTCCTGTGCTGAAGAGCAAATCACCTTGTCATTTGGGATGAAATAATGGAAGGATGCTTGCAGCGTACTCTGCATTTCTTTCTCTTACAATGGATTCGTGATTGTGCTCAGGAACCTACCCTTTCTTGATTTAGGAGGAGGACAATTTTTTCCAGGTACATGAAGACTGCTGTCCTGGGGTTGTTCTGTGACATTTAATCGCTCGTATCCCAGTTTTTTCTTTCTTTGCTAGTGCTCCCATCGCTGAACTTATCATCAGTGTGACAGGTACGAAAGGCAAGGGCAAAACGTTGCAATGCCATTGGTACAGGTACTACTCCTTGTTCCACCTCACCCCTTGAACAGCAGCATCTGCCATGCATACACCCCTGGAAGAACATGGAAGAGCAGCTGTGCAAGAGGTACAAATTTCTCCAGCCCCCTGGCATATATTCCTCGTTAGAACTGTTGTCACTTCCTCCTGTTGGTTTGTAGTTGGGAGAGGACAAAGGCTGAACGAGATAGAAACTGAATTCCCCTCTGTCCTGTGAACACAGATCCCCCAGGACAGAGGGGAAACAATCAATTATGGGCATGTGTTTTGTTTGAAAGTGCCTGTCCTTGTCTGTCTCTCTTTCTTCTGCTTGCCCCTGACAAAGAAGTTAACCCTTCCATGGATCTGAAGGATTTCCTGCAGCATGAGCCCTGCTGTGAGTCCGGGACTATTTGTTCATAAACCAGTTCAGCTGCAGCCATCCAAAGACAGGATTGCACCCACACAGCTCCCGCTCTGGGCAACCTGTATTGGCTGGGGCCAAAAAAGGCTAGTTCCGTACCGTTGGGAAAAAACTACATTAAGCAGCTGCCTCGCTGATAAGCAAAGCCAGGACAGGGAATGAACAAAACAGCACCCACAATGCAACCAAAAGGCTTAAGGCACTGCGTTTGCCTGTGGGTTTCCTGCCCTGTCTCCTGCCCCTTACATCCTAAAGCACTATTTTCGACTCTCAGCCGGAGACCGGTCCTCCCTCCCACCATCCCTCCAAGCTCCCCATCCCTGCCAGCCCCCGAGCCCTGGACTGTCCCCCCCCCCAACACACACACCCCCCCGGCCCTGCTTGCTCTGCCCGTAGCCAGGGTGCAGCCAAACCAGGTGGGTACCGGGGTACCGATGTGCCAGGGTAGTGGGATGGGGATGTGCCAGGGGCACTGGGACACCCACAGACAGGGTTGGGGGCACAGGGCTACAGGCACACGGGGCACCAGGGGTACCCACCACCCGGGACAGCCGGGCAGTGACAAGGGTCACCGCCGTTGGGGACGGGCGGAGGGAAAGGAAAGGAGAGGGGAGGATGCTCCTCCTGTAGGTCTCAGTCTCAGAAGGGTCTGGGAGCGGGTCTGGGTCCGGATGGCGGGGTCCGAGGGCAGGGTCCAGCCGTGGGGTGCAGGATGGGGAGGCGGGGTCCGAGGGCAGGGTCCAGCCGTGGGGTGCAGGATGGAGAGGAGGGGTCCGGGGTCCGAGGGCAGGGTCCAGCCGTGGGGTGCAGGATGGAGAGGAGGGGTCCGGGGTCCGAGGGCAGGGTCCAGCCGTGGGGTGCAGGATGGAGAGGCGGGGTCCGAGGGCAGGGTCCAGCCGTGGGGTGCAGGATGGAGAGGAGGGGTCCGGGGTCCGAGGGCAGGGTCCAGCCGTGGGGTGCAGGATGGAGAGGAGGGGTCCGAGGGCAGGGTCCAGCCGTGGGGTGCAGGATGGAGAGGAGGGGTCCGGGGTCCGAGGGCAGGGTCCAGCCGTGGGGTGCAGGATGGAGAGGAGGGGTCCGAGGGCAGGGTCCAGCCGTGGGGTGCAGGATGGAGAGGAGGGGTCCGGGGTCCGAGGGCAGGGTCCAGCCGTGGCGGCGGTTTTGGGTACGTCTCCGGCTGCGGGTGCCGCTCCCGCACCCGAGGGGCAGCGGCAGCTCCCGGGGGGGGCGTCCCGCCCCCCCCGGCCATGCCGCGGCGGGGAGAGGGGCGAGGGAGGCTGGGGAAACCCGGGGAGTTGGGGGCGAGGAAGGGAAGGGGGTGGCTGCGAGGAAGGGGACCGCGGCCACCGGGCGGGAGGGGAGTTGGAGGGGGAGCATCAATCGGGACTTACCTCCCGGCCCGCCGGGCCGTGGCACCGCTAACGTGGAAGGCTCGGTCTCGGTCCCGGAGCCCACCGGCCCGACCCGCTCCCTCCTGCCGCCCTCCCGGTGCGGAGCCGTGGGGCGGAGCCGGGCTGGCCACCTCCTCTCCGCCCGCCCCCCAACCCCTCGCCCCGCCGGGGACCCCGCCGTGCCCGGGGAGGGGGCGGTCGGGCCGGGGGCTGCGCTTCCCATCCCGTCCCCCAGCACCCGAGAGGTTGCCCCGCTCCCCAAGGGACATGGCGGAGGTTTGGGGGGGGGGGTCTTGGCTAATTTCGGAGCCAGGGGATGCAGCGAGGCAGGGGAGTGCTTTGCCGAGGACCCGTTTTCTGCCCGGGAGGCGAATTAGAGAGATGGAACCCCAAAATCTGGGCCCTGCGCTCGGCCCCGAAGCGCCCGTGTTGCGGGGGAGCCGGGGGGTGGATGCCCGGGAGGGAGCAAACCCCTTCGGGAGGAGCGTGGGGCTTGGGAGAGAAAGTTTGCACTTTCTTAATCTGAAAATAATGACCGAATTAGAGATTATTTTAAAAAGGGAGAAAATTTTTTAAAAATCTTTAAACAAACTACCTTAAACCTGAGATGAAAAAGTGCCGGGTAACCGGGGAGGAAGCCGTGAAGGAGAGTGATGTTGGGGAAGTGTCCTTCTCCTGGGACCACTCCCAGCACACCATGTCTACCCTGGCCAGAGCGTGACTACAACCCCTGTCTCTGAGATGTGGCTTCCCTTAAGGTCTGAGATCAGGTCTCTGAGGCCCATTCTCCTTGGACTGTAGGTCCCTGGGAGGTCTCTGGGGGGTAAGAAAGATCCCGGTGGGCCTTCTCTCTCTGGGATTTGGGCTGTGCCCACCATCCACTCTGGCACAGCAAGTGGGGCTGGCTGTGGGTTGTCACGAGGGTGGAGGAAGCTCAGCTGCAGGGCTGAAATTTCCTTTCCCAGGTGTGCAAGAGCTGCAGGAGTGGCCCTGTGGCCCCAGCAGGGAGGAAGGAAAGTGATTTTTCTCCTTTATGCACCTGCTGGGCAGGATGGGCAGGGGCTGACTTGTAGGTGGGCGAGAAGAGAGGAGATCCTAAGGAGAGCAGAGTTTATTTATTTATTTATTTTTAAGAAATTAGTTACTTTAACAAGCGTGCCTCGGGACTCTGGCTGCCTGGATCATCTTTCCTGTTTGCAGCCACTCAAGCTGATCTCTTTGTGAGTAAGGGTAGTAGTGGGGAGAAGTGCTGTGGGGAGCGCTTGTACCCCTGAGGAGCGAGGGGTGTGAGAGTACCAGCATTAGCCTGGCTGGGGATGGTGGAGGTGCCCATACAGGATTTCATGGAGACTAATCAGCGCCAATGCCTTGAACCAAGGCCATGACTACCCCAAGGCAGGTCAGTGGATGATATGGGGATGAGTCACTGGATAGTCACTACAGGTGACACATTCCCAGGTGTCCTTGGTGGAGGATATAGCTGCCAGGCTCTAGACCAAACGACCCATGAAGGCCTCTACGGCCCCCTTGTTCCCTTGGGAGCTCCAAAATGGCGTGACCCAGACTACATTTATCGTGGTCTATTATATGTGTACAGTTGAACTTTTGCTATTGTCCATCCTATACTGCTCACCTTCGGGGAAATGCATTTGCTAACTGCATCTGGATCAGCCAAGGCAGGGGGCAAGCCCTCCCACCCATCCCCAGCAGAGGCTTTTTAGCTGCGAGCTTGGAAGGAGTCCAACACACCCCCACGCGTGTGATTAAAACGGGGAGGGAAAAGCACACTTGTTCGTGCTTGTTCTGTCTCGCAGGGGCTGTGGGAGTTGTGGACTGGGTGTGAATGGCCGGTGAGCACGGCTCCTCGCAGTGGGGCTACAGGGCTGCAAAGAGTTGGAGGCATTTTAGCTTCATTTTAACAACCGTGTTTTTTTTTTAAAATGCAGTTTGCTTGTAGGTGATTCCCAGAGGATTGCGGCCAGCAAGGTGTTTGTATCCGCTCTAGGACGCTGGGACCACAAGGCACTACTGCAATACACTTTACTTATGTCATCTGTTCAATGTAATGGCTAGCCAGGGGTGGGTAAAGGGACATTACCTTCCACCTGTCCCCAGCCTCTGAGCTAGGGGGATTCAGCAGGGGGAATCCAGTGCTTTTCCCAAAAAACCACTGTTGTTCTGATTCATATCTTCATCTTCCAGTATTAAAACCTTCCCTATTGCTTTGCCTTCTGTGTCGGTGGAGCCCCTGGTGCTGCCACTCGCAGGAACCTCCTCACCCCTTAATCCATGTTACCCGCCACAAACCCCGAAGGACCTGTTGCAAATGCCCCAGCCCTTTACCCTGCTCTGGTCCTGAGAGGTCTGTGGCAACCTGCCCTCACCAACCTGCTCAGATTAATGAGACAGATGGGAAGTAGAAGCTTGTGAAATTGTTTCTACCTTTAATTATTTTTATCTCTTTTCTTATGTTACTCTGACTTGAGAAAAGAAAAAAATCTAATTGTGAATGTTGCTGCACTGTTTAACTCATGTTCACTGGTGCTCCCTCCCCACCCCCTTCCCAGGGCAGGTACCTTCACGCCCTCTTGTCTGGTTTTTCTGAGACTGGAAGCTCTTTGGGGTAGGGACTTAATGACTTCCTTGTATTTGCTCTGCAGCAGAGGTCTTATGGAGCAAGATAATAATCCTTGTGATCATTTAATTTAGATTAGATTGTACCACATGCAGAAGCGGGGCTGAATTAAAATTGCATAGGCAATCTCAATTGTAATATTTGAAGTGATTTTTTTTTTTTTTATCATTACAACTTCTTTAATATAGTGCTTAGGCAATGCCTCTCTCGTAAACTCTTCTCCTTCTTCCTGCCCCAAAATCAAATATGTGGCAACACTGGACAAGTTGCAGCCCTTGGCTGTGACAAGGTGGTGTCACTGGAGCATGGCAGAGAAACAGGTCAGCAATGAGTTGTGGAAACCTCCAAATGAGAGGATGTGCCAGCAGGTTTCCCAGGTGTACATTAACAGCAAAGGACTACTCAGACTCCTGGATCTCTGGTTCATTACAGGCTTTCTGCCCCCATGTACAGAAAGCTGGGAGAGACCATTGTTCCCAAGCCTGGTCCATTCCCTCTGGATTCCACTACCACCATCTCTCCCAACCCTTCTTTTCAGTTCTATGGGTCTCCAAAGCTCTTTGATGAAGATTTCAAATAACTGGGATAAGTCTCGGTGTTCCCCCTTAATTTTCGCCCATCTCCTTGCACATCTCCTTTCTCTGTGCTGAGTTTGTTCAGTGAGTGTTTGTGCACTCCTGGTCCCTTGTGTCTCTTTCTCCAGCCTGTGCTCGTGTTTCTTCCTTCGGTTTCTAGCCACAGTCTCAGCATCCTATCCAGCTCCCAAACCTCCAGCAGCTTCACCCAGCCTATTTGTCCTTCCTTGCTGCTGCTCCTTCCCAAGCTCCTCACTCTCCACCTTGACATCTCTGGCTGGGTTGCTAGTCCCCTGCAGCCCTGAGGCTTAAAGGATTGTTTGCAAACGTTATTTGCTGTGCTCTCACACCACAGTTGCTGTCACTACAGCCAGTGTTTGAGGTGTGGTGTTTAATACGTGCCATTCAGGTAGAATAAACCTTCCATCCCTCATCCTGAAAGCCAGTATTGTTAAAATACTCTACATCCGCAGTGGTTTTCAAAACCTGGCTGGGTAAAGCCCTAATCTGACCTCGTGGATGACCCTGTTTGGAGCAGGATGTTAGGCTAGACACCTCCAGGAGCCCCTTCCCAACCTGAATTATCCTATGCTGCCGTGAAAATAACCTTGCTCTCTGGATGGAAAGCAAACAAAGATTTCCTTGCTGGCACAACCTGCAAACTTCTGATGAGACTTAAATTCATACCCATAACATCTAAGCAGGATATGCCTATTCAGCCTTGGTTGCTTTAAATTTTTTACAAAACTTACTAGTTTTTGCAGCAGCGACCAAAAGGGATCTCAAACAGCTTCAGGATAATGTATGCACAGCAGCTTGCAAACCAGTACAGACTCCTTGGAGAAATGGGAGGAAGCTACCACAGCTCACATCAAACAAGATTCAGATCCTGCCGATATTGATTCCCTTCTGCTCAGCCTTTACCTTCCCTGTTCCCTCTTCCAGCAGCCTGGAAAGCAGTGGCGCATCCCCAACCCGCACAGCAGACAGCGATGTGAGCTTAGCCCGCAGGGAATGTTTGTCATGTAAATCGCATCTGAAGCAGATTTTAAACAGCAAAATAATATTACTACAAGGGTAGGTGGTAGCATAACAGCTTTCTCATCCGGTGCTTAGGTATTAGGCTGGGACTTTCAGGTCCAAGTCCTTCTTCTGCGTCACCTAAGGCGTAATCTGAGGTAGAGGAGCTCTCTGTTAGACAGAACTGGGGCTTCAGGCTCTGCACCCCATATAGCAGGCTGATCGGATAAAGCCAGCATCCTGCCAAACCCCTCTCTAAAAGTACTGTTTTGATCCTATTTTCCTTTCATAAAATGCTGGTCATGTTAGACCGTGTGTTTTGCATGGATCCTGCTACAGTTAGTTTTCTTCTCCATCTAGTCTTGGGCAATCGGTGCTGCTCATGAGGAGAGGAGATGGTGCTTTTAAAAATGAGAAGGGTGACTTCTGCAGGGACACCTGACCAAGGAAGGGCTGTGGAGGGGGCCAGGGGACCACACTACCTTACTTCACCTTGAGGTGCCTCCCCACGGGCTGCATGCTACACCCAGCAGGCTCACATGGGAGGAGACAGGAGGAAAAATGCTGGAGGCCCAATGCATATGGGAGAAAAAGGTTGTCAGCGTTCAAAAGTACAGTTCTGTTCTTCAGGGAAACTCGTTCACATTTTCATGCGAAGAAACCATGGAGCTGCAGGGCTGTTTTTACCTCTGTCCCTCCTTCCCGCCTTGGAAAATGAACCTGCCTGGTCCATGATGGACTGTGCTGCTGGGGCTCTCACCATGCCTTCTCGTGAGGCACAGCCTTTCAGTAGCTGGGGCTGCCAAGTCGTTTATCAAAGCAGCCTTAAATCTCGGAAAGGCTGGTTATTGCTAAGTGCCTG